CATTTGTAAAAGAGATATTTTTGAAAAGTATGAATGCAAAATAATGATATTGCATATCAATTAATTATATTTTTAATATGTGTGAAAATTTAAACATATCTATTTGGAATAAAGAAGAGTAATCAAGCTTATGTAATGTAATTGGATCAGCACACGAATCTGATTAATATAATGATTTAACATGTTTAGTAAAAAAAAAAAAATTTGAATAATTTGAGCAAAAACCTGGAAAATTACAAAATAATAATGTAAAACCATTGAAGATTAAGGATAAAGTTACAGAAAATCTGACATACAATTATGTTGTTTGGCCAAGTTTAGGTTTAATGATAAATTTTGTTTATATTCTATTGCGATTTAATAATTTCGAATCTATATTATCAAATCGCGCAATTTGAACATCAAAATATTAGAAATTAACAAACGTGATTCAAATTACTCAATCTTTATGATGTGTAACGGTAAGCCGATTTGATCGTTACTTGAAATGTCAAAACGACGTCGTTTTTACATTCCTCTGTTAAATATGTTTTTTTCTAAATTAAAAATATTTTTAACCTCTTATAAAGTATTATAAACATTTTATAGATATTTTAAACATCATAATTTTGAATTTTTTAAACCTTTTTTAATAAAATATTATTAACATTTTATAAAAAATATTTTTTATAAAATATATAAAATTAGGAGGGTCAGCCCTTAATTATGCTCATTTTAATTTATAAACTATATTTTTTAAAATATGAAATTGTGTATTATTAATTATGTTTTTTTTTTTTACAATAACATTTTATAAATTTTTTTTTAAAGAAGTTCAAAACGAAGAGGTTAAAAATATTTATAATTTTTTCTATATATAATTTATAAAATTTTTATAATAAAAAATTTCAAGATTATGGGAGCTAAAAATGTTTTTTTAATTTTTTTTAAAACATAACTAACAGCTGACATTTTAAGTAATGGTCAATCCAATTAATCGTTATACATAACGAAAATTTAAATTACGTAATTTAATATCATGAGTCAAAATTATCAAATTATAATAAAATAATAGTAAAATTTGCTTTTAAACCAATTTTGATGAGGCCTGCACCTTCTATTTTATGAAATTTAATTTCTTGCATTCACCCGAGCCCACACAGCAGCTGTTTGGAAGTGCGTGTGAGACTCAAATCACTGAATTATTGGAGGCATGGGATTAGTTATGGACAAGAGACCTTCGTATTTCGAAGCACGGCAGTTTTGTGTTCTTCTCTTGTTCCTGGAGATGGGGCCTTGTGTCGCCGCGTGCTTTCGCTTAATTAAGTTTGTGATTTCTAGTTATATAAAAATATAACTTGACTGTAAGATAAGGAAACAAGAATTAAAATAAATATTTGTAATAGTGAGTTTGGCCTCTTTTCAACAGAACCAATTTACTTTGTTAAAAGGAAAAAAAAAAACACTTATCCACATACGAAAATCGAACATAAGCTTTCCTTTTCATTTTTTTGTTTTGTATAAAATGGGTTGGGATAATTACGCTATGATTAAACTAATTTTTAACGCTTTCTTAGTATCAATATATTTATTTTATTTTATTTTATTTTCCTTTAAATATATTATTTTATTTTAAAAACTACTAATTAAGTATCTTTTGCCAAACTTACGATAATTGCTCCATTATTTGATAAAGTGTTTTTTTTGTCTAAAACAATTAAATTATGATTTTGTTTTTTTATTCTAGAATAGATTTTTTTTTCAAATTCTTTTATCATTTTCTATTTTTTTCGTATGATAAAGACTCAAATTATCCTTATAGTCAAAAAATAAAAAACGAAAAAATAATTTGAAAATAAAATTTTTTTACTAGAATAAAAAAGAAAAAAAATCATAATTAAGTTGTTTGGGACGAATGACACATCAAGACATAATAGAATAATTGTCAGAAGTCGAACAAAAGTACTTAATTGATAATTTTAAAAAATTAATATATTTAAATGAAAAAAAAATTCAGATATTTGATTAAAAAATATTAAAAATTAGTGTATTTACAAAGAATGCTAGGAGATTTAAAAAACGAGGAACGTTACTAGATTTAACAGGGTCTTTAATAATTCTAGTAGGGATTACAGGTGCTATATATCTCTGTTCATTCATGGGAATATGAAGGGATGCTCAAGGTAACAGAATTTGGGTGATGAACAAAAGAGAACGAAAGATAAATTATGATTGGCTACCCTAATCTGAGAAAGACCGGGGCCACCGGCCCACCAGGCGCTGGCTTCCTCGACTTATCCTACAAGCTGACAAGGCTAGAAAATGATAAGAATGCCAGAAATACTGGCCCTCCGATATTGACTCTAGGGGAAGCAAGGAACCTTACTTTTGTCGCCCTCATGAATGCTTCAATCACCAGGACTTTTTTGGGAGCATCAGAGGAATCTTTGGCATTCTTAATTTCTTATACCAATAACTCAACATTTCAAAGGATAAAAGTTTTGTTTTGATTGCAAGAAGTCTGGAAAGAAGTCAAGGCACCGATGAAATTCTAGTGACCGTATGCACAAAATTTTTTTATAATATTCAAGAAATAATTAGTATATATATGTTAATTATTTCATGGGTTATTTTTTTAGGAGAGAGATAGCTATTTTTCTCTCTTTTTTTTTTTATATGCATGTACCTTTCTTCTAAAAAATATATTTATAAAATAATTATTGTACAATAATTAGTCATAAGTATCACAAAATTTCTTTTGTGCGCACACCATACGGATAATCGAGCACAGTGGGCTAATTTTCAAAGAGCCTTAGATGCCGATGTGGGCCGTCGTCACACGAAAACGAAGTGACATTAGCAGGCCTAATATGCCTTACAAAAGCTTCGGCCCGATACAGATCTAAAAAATACACTATCTGTTTTTCTTTTTTCGTTCTTTGTTAAGGACAAAGCCATAGGATTGCATACGGATCATTGGAGAGGTAGAAAATCCGAAAATATTATACAAATTCTAATAAAGGCGGCCTCAACAAGGTTCCTGAAATTAAGTAATACGAGTAAATATGATTAGCATCTACAACATTTTTACCACTAGGAACACACAAATTCTTTTTTGCAACTGAATATTTTTATTACTCAGTAACTGTTCCAAACTGCTTTATGGACCGCCACAAATTAGAAACATCTGTTAAGAGAGGCAATTCTTTCCATGGTTTTTTTTAAAAAAAAGGGAGACTACTGTATGAAAAATTGAAAAGTACAAGGACTAAAATGGAAAGCAATCGCCTCTTTCTTCCCCGCCATACCCACCATACCCCACCATTACCAGTGAACTAGCCCATGCGGAGGAGGGAGGATAGAGGAAGGATGCGCCATGGATTTGGTTCTATTCAAGTTAAGAATAACATGATTCATGATCTATTATGTTAGGTAAATCCAAAATATCAATTTTAAAAATTAATAGTTAGGATTTACTTATATATAAAAAAAATTATTAATTTTAAAAAGATTCTAAATATCCATTAACCTGGTGAAATGAAATCTTTACTATTAATTTTAAAATCAATGATCTAAATTTACATTCATGACATAACAGATCGCGTTACTCGTAACTTGAGAAGAACCGAATCCTTTTAGCCATTAGCACATTATTCATTGCAGTCTTAAACATATTCTGTCAGCTTGCTGTAGAGCCTGGAGGTGTTTCCAGGTTCTGTAAATTTTTCTACCATAGCCAACCTGACAAGAGGCATTCGAGTTCAGCTCAACATGGCTAATTTGCGAAATTGAAGGGTCTACAGAATAGACGACAAGCTCTATAACTCTATCGTACCTGATCAGGAAAGTTTGCCTTCTCAGATCCGCGACCAATTTTGGTTTGTTGGTGCTCCTTCAATTAGCAACCTTGCACGCTTCATTGCGTAATTACTCCTATGCACGCATCCAAATGGAACCATAAATTGAAAATTGGGGGATATTTTGTTTTTCATGAACTTGCAAGCAACGAACACATCATTCACCAGATCGTTGTCATACTTTACTTTTACTTATCCACCCTTAAAAAAGTATGAAAGAACAGGGTCACAATCCACGGTATAACTTGCACGTTGAATTTTTTTAATTACAGAAAAAAAGGAATGTAGAATATGCACAAAACTTGTGGATTATTTCTTTTCAACCTTTATGTTTTTCAGATAGATGCAGTCTGTTTTGATGAGATGCATTTCAATTGGTATTAATGTTTTCTTTCATTCGAAAGGTTTAGAGTTCAAATCTTTTATTTGTAAAAAAAAAAAAAAATTGTTTATGTGGATCAAACCAATCATGTTTTATATATAAAAAAAAATTTATAATGCTAAACAATAAAATACTTTCCTGAACTAGAGTAAGAAAATAAATATCCATCTTAATTAAAAAAAAAAATTCTGATTTTGTCTCTTAAACAACATGATTTTTTTAATGTGCTCTTTCTATTAGGATTTGGTTTAAAAATTGACCAAAAATTCATAAAAATCCTCATATTTTTTATCTGTTTCTCTACCAATTTAAGAAAATATGTTTATTAATAATGAAAAGGAAGGAATTGAGAAGATTTTTGAGGTTTTTCCATCAATTTCTTAATGAAATTCTAATAGAAGAGACAAATTCAAAAACTCTTATTGTTTAGGAGGCAGAATCAATTTTTTTTTTTTAATTCAAAAAGATATTTTACAATTTAACCAAATTATAAAGTACATAAATATAAAACCTATTATAAAAATTATCCACGGATTTCAGATGGAGACAGATTTTACCGAGCAAATTTTCAAATTTTTGTTATCCCATTGATTTCACCTCAACGAAATTAACTTGGCCTTACTCTCAAATATATAAATACAGAAGTGTATGGCTCACTTATTCGTTAAAAAAAGGTCCTTTGCGGCTTTAAGGGTCACTTGTGGGCTCATTCGGTTGGGAGTGGGTTTCTTTCTTTTGCTTCTCCCCTTCTGAATCCCATTTCGGTTGTTAGAGAGTGAGAAATGGAAAAGTTGTCAGGTTTAAGTCATCTCTTCATGACAATATTTCTGCATAATTTCTCAGCATTCATGGTGATCCCTGCCATTACTGATGTCACAATGTCTGCCTTATGCCCTGGAAGAGATGAGTGTTCATTGGCCATTTACCTTACCGGATTCCAACAAGCGGTATGTTCTGCTTCCCCATGTTTCTGTTTTTTCCTCCTTTTCTTATTTTCCCACATGCCTTTCACCCTTTCTCTGCAATTTAAGGTCACGATGCATGATTCTGTTCTTTGTTATGCACCAGGATCGAGTAAAAAATTATCTTATTTGTTTTCCCGTAAAACATTTCAAGGCATAAATAGTTCTTACTTTAAGTTTAGTCCTAGAAATTATGGTTAAGGTACCAAGAGTATATCCTTCTTGAATCCAGAGACATGGTTTAGACCGTTAACAAACAGAGAATTCTATGTCCTCTGTCCCTCCAATCATAGGAAATTTCCTCTCAGTTTCAGCAGATACGCAATTTGGATGTATTTGCCACTCTCTGTGGGGAAACCGCCAGCATCAAACTCATACCCCACTTTTTCACTCTTTCTGTTCATTTGGGTCGACACAGTCAACTTTAGTGTAACTATCTTAACTTAAACATAGACTATAAAGCCCAAACAAAATTTTTCCTTGATTGATGACTCGATCTAAAATGGGCTCACTCAAAACTCCCATGCCTAGAGAAATTATTACATGGACATTGTGCAGGTGCACCAAACAGCCTCTTATGAAGTTTTAAGGCATGGTGAATTCTTTACACTGCCGCTGGTCATCACTCTTCAGTCATGGAAAATCAAGACAAGAAGAGATATAACTAATGGACCCTTTAAAAAGTTGCTGATTTCTTTGAACATGTTTTTGGAATAGTGGTGGTTTGGCTGTCATGTGCTAGTGTTTACAGCAGTGAATTTGACACCCATTACCTCCCAACGCCCATTTACCAGAGTGAGCTTTAAATGCCAGATGCTCAAGCCTAAAAACGCAATGCACCTTTTTTCCAGGTTTTATGCTGACGTTACATTGGCGGTGCTTTAGGTACATGTTTTTGTTAGGAAGCTTTTGCTTTAGTTAGTTCTTTGTTTATGTTTCGAGAACCTTTGAAGGCAAGGAAGAGAGAGATGGGAAAACTGTCGGCATTGAATCATCTTTTCTTGACTCACTTTCTTTACTCCTACTCAACATCCATGGTGATCCCAGCCATGACTGATGTTTTCATGTCTGCGCTTTGTCCTGGAAAAGTTGAATGCTCCCTGGCCATTTATCTAAGTGGAATTCAAAATACGGTAATTTTTGTTTTTAAATTTTTTCTATATATGTTGTTTCTTCGCAAGTCATTAACCATTTTTCTTGATCAATTTTCTAGTCCTTAACCAAACTAAACTCTCTTTTCAATTAAATTCACCTAAATATAACCTTGATGAGTTTGTGCAAGCAGGAAAAAAAAATCCCATTAGAATGTTGGTTTTTATTTCTTTATAAAGCCTTCTTTTATCTTTAAATTAAAGCCAGCATTAGTCTTCTTAAGGGTCTAGTTATTACATTTTAGGTTCCCGTGATTTTAAATCATGAAATTGACGGAGACCACTACCTCTATCTAGTAGTCCTAAATTCAATGACCTTGGTGAAATTGGAAATTGTAGAAAAAAAAATCACAGATGTTTAAGAAAAAAATTTCTTCCGAATGCTAATTTATTGTGTTCAGAGTAAGTTTTTTGGGTTCTTGTTTCTCTATGTGCTACATTGAGTTAAAAACAGGCCACAAACCTTTGGTTTAGTTTTTAATTTTGAAGTACAATTGGCCGTCGAGAGAATCTTATGAACTGCAAAGCCAAAGTTTCAGGCTTCGGCCTGTATGGGTGTCGACAGTTAATTAAATCTACCTCGTGAAACGAAACTTCTCTTCGGTGACACCATGAAATGCTTTTTGGTCTCTTTCAGGTTTATAAATTTGTCATTATCGAAAAGTAAAGTTACAAGTGTCTTCTCATCCCAAAAAGCATTACCTTTGAGGACCCACAATCCCATTTACTCAAACAGGGGCATGTGGTTTTTTTTATGTCTGGGATTTATCTTGAGAGGGTTCCATGTGTCTAATATGGAGTAAATTATAAGTTAATATTTTTAATTTTATAAATAGTTTTTTAAAATTAATTAATCAATTAGTACATTGGTCATTATAGTATTGATATGATTTATTTTATTTTAAAAGTTGTTTTTTTTTACATTGATATTTTCAGATTTTTACTTGGTTTATTTATTAAAATTAAAAATTTATCACGAGAGGGTTCCATGTGTCTGATATCGTTCTTCGTTCTTCAATTTTATCTTATCTTACGAAATTTAACCTTTTTTCTTATAGATTTATAAAATTCCAACCTATTGCTAAAAAAAAAATTTTAAACCTGAAACTGCACAATAAAATTATAATCTTGACCCCTAGGCCTTCATCTTAAGAACAATGACAGAATTCAACATACAAAATCTCTCTTCTTTTTCATTAGAACTCCGTGTCTTTAAGAACTTTCCCTTCTCTGCCCTTTTTCCACTATCATGCCATAACATCTCAGGTAGCCATACTTGGCCCGCTAAATGTGTGAGATCATTGCAGATTGTGTATTACCTCGGCATATCTTTTTGTTGTTTTTTTTTCCGCTTCCAAGAAAGAAGAAAGATTTGGAGCTTGGAATGTTTGTTTGATGAACCCTAAAAAAGAAAAACATGCATTCCGAGTGGAGGTAAAGAATTGGTCGTCATCACTAAAGATGTCTTGTTTTATGCAGATCATAGGGCTTGGGACTTTGGTAATGATGCCTTTAATAGGGAATATGTCAGACAAGTATGGCCGGAAAGCTATGCTTACTGTTCCACTCAGCCTTATAATAGTTCCCTCAGGTAAGCATGCAATACTCTACTGTCAAATATGGAAGAGTAAAAGATAACTTGGTCCCTGTGGTTTAACAAAATTAATTATTTAATCCTTATAGTTTCAGAAACAACATTTGTAATCTCTACTCTTTAATTTGTTTCTAATTTAATCATCCTTTTGTCAATTCCATTTTTTTTTCCAATTTATTTTGTTTTCTTTCTTTTCTTGAAAAGCATAATAATAATAATAATAAAAAAGAAGTGGATAAATTGGGAAATTTGACGTGGAAAGAAAGTACTTTTTTGGATTAAAAACTTACGATTGAGATGATCAACGCAGGTGGAGAGGCTAGACTAAATTAGGTAATAACTCGATTTCAAACTGCCTATAGTTTCACCGTATTTGTTGGGTTGGAAAATTTCAACATGATGGTTATCTAGTCATTATGTGATTAGGAATAGAGAGCTACTTCAATCAAGGCAGGTGAAGGAAAAATCATGACAAGATGTAGAACTTAATGATAACCAAGTGGATTTCTAATCGTCGTAATTTGATTTGATTATGAAAATGAAACTAATTCAGTCAAAGAAGAAAAGGGAAAGTTCATGACAGGAAGCCTCGCACTTGATGGCAATTAAGTGAATTTAATCCTCACAGTTATCACTCACTCATTCGCAAGTCTAAAGTCTTCTTTTAATTGATTGTTAATAAATAGATTAAAATTTTTTTTCTGACAATATAAATAAAAATTATAATAAAAAACAACTTACTTTCATAGTTTCCGTAGAAAAATATTACAGGAATTATACTTAAATAATAAAATATAATTGCAGCCATACTGGCGTACAGCAGAACGAGGAACTTCTTTTATGCGTACTATGTCGTCAGGACTCTCATGGCAATGGTCTGTGAAGGAAGTGTACAATGCCTTGCCCTTGCCTATGTCGTAAATACCCTCTCTCTCTCTCTCTCTCTCTCTCGTTTTTGTTTTTGTTTTTATATACATCTGTGCTTGCTGTTCTGGTGGATTATATGGTATGGCTTGTATTTCATCATTTTGCACGAACTACAAAACAAATAAATGGGTATTTCATCGTTGCCTAGCTAGCATACTTTCCACGCGTTTTAGCCCACCGTTTTTTATTTGTTTTTTGGGTCATACTAAAGCAACCCCAATGTTATAAAATAAAAGGCTCTAGCATTATTTGGGGCAAGTAGGGCCATTTACCCTAAATTAGTTTCTCAAATTATGTAAACAAAGGATAAATTATTAGGTACTCCAGATGCAATGCTTTCTTAATCACCATATATTTATAGTTATTATTAGTTTTTTTACTTGCATTGTGAGTTGAATAAAATATATAAAATTATTTTTGAAAAATCATTTTATTTTGATATCTTGTACTATATTATACGTTTATCAAAATATATCAAACCAAAACTGAATAAAACTTCATTTAATTTTATCATTTTTTAATCAAATTTTTATATTTAACTAATTATTCTTCATATTTTCATAATTTTTTATTAAAAAATATTATTTATTTATCTCTATCAATATTTTTATTTAAAACTTTATTTTGTAAATTATTTTTTAAAACATCTTTTTACTTTAAAATTTTTAATTAAAAAAACCAAAGAAAAAAAGACAATGACCAAAGTGATCCCAAAAAAAAAAAAAGAGACTAAAATCAAATAAAAATATTTATTAATTAAAAAATAATATTTTAAAAAAAGATTAAAGTGTAATGTTATGACAATTTTCATAATAAATATCTTAAAAATATTTAAAAACTATAAAAATATCATTACATAATTAAAAGAATAATGCATTGAGCGTGGATAAATAAAGTCAATGAATTTAGATAAATACTGTTTCAAATGCTGCACTGAATAGTAATTGATAAATTTAGTTTAGTTTTTTGTTTTGTAACGATGGTTCCAGCGCAGGGTACTTAATATATACTCATAAATAACTTATTAATGACGACCTGGACTCGATTAGCGGATTCCATAACCCGCTTGATGTGACTCGGGAACTAATTCGGAATGGATATTTCGGAACAAATGGCATTAGTCAATTTGCTGGGTACGATCAACGGGATGTGATCATAACGGGCCTTGTTCTAAACCATTTGAAATAGGCTTACAATTGGATCGGTACAATCTCATTAGAAAGTAAATTGGGCTAATCTCAATTGCTTTCCCTCCAAAGAGTACATGAATACAGCTTCGGCCCATTATATCTCGTTCTGAGTTTTGTCTTCGTTTCGTTTTGATTATCGCTCTTCCAATTTCCAGGCTGACAATGTTCCCGAGGGTCGGCGAGCGTCAGCGTTTGGGATTCTTTCAGGCATTGCATCCTCCGCTTTCGTATGCGGAAACTTCTCCACTCGTTTCCTCTCCACTGCCTCCACCTTCCAGGTATGAAACGTTCACCCTCTCTTCCTCTATGTGTCCGTTTCTTAACGTTGTTTGTTATTGATGCAACCTTTTTTCTTCAGGTTTCTGCCTCAGTAGCAGTGGCAGCTCTAGTGTACATGAGACTTTTTCTTCAGGATTCCATCATTGATGAACAGCTTACTGCTCCAATATTGACATGTAACTGGAAAGGAAAAGGAAAAGGAAAAGCTAATGCTGCAAATGAAATTCAAAGTAAAAACGTGCAGATTTTTAAATCAGCGCCTTCCTTGGAGGATATGCTTTGTTTGCTTAAGAGCAGGTTAGCGGTTCCTTCTTTCCGTATCGGAGTTTTTGTCTATTGATATTTCAATTCTGCTGGTTTCAATTCCTTGATGAAAATGTGAAAGAAAGGGAGTTTAGTGCTAAGTTTTTCTATTTGTAACAAGTGCTTCAATTTACTTGCAACTGACATTTTTTTCGAGCTTCCGTTGTCGCAAATATTTATATGTATAGTGCTTCTTTGCAGTGTGACACTTTCGCAAGCTGCCGTTGTCGCGTTTTTCTACTGTCTTGCAGAAGTTGGTCTTCATGCTTCATTAATGGTACCTTTCTAATTACAAGAATTAGGCTTATCGGGTTTGATTTGACCTTTTGTAGTAAGAAAGACTATAGATAAGTGGGCATATTTTCGACATTATCATTTGAGGTTAAAAACTATTCATCATGGTTATATATGAAACTTAGTGGTGGATTTTTCTTTGCAGTACTATTTGAAGGCGCAATTTCACTTTAACAAGGATCAATTTGCTGACTTGATGGTAATTTCTGGAATTGCAGGGACTATTTCACAGGTATTTCTTACGCTATTTCGTTTTGTTTTAATGACATTCTCTGTCATTCGTTTCCCATGGTGCTTTCCCATATAGATATGGATGCCTTTTCTGTTGATCTGAAAGTCATTGGTGAACAACTTGTAGTTGGTTCTTATGCCCGTATTGGCTCCTGCTCTAGGAGAAGCAAGGCTGCTTGCAGTAGGGCTCTTTTTTACCTGTGTACATGTAAGCACCTTGTATTCTATATAATTTGACTTGAGCCTAACTGTTATTTGAACCAGAAGACAGTCTTTAACTAGTTGTTTGATTTGTAAGCTATAACCTTTACGTCAAGTTGTGTCATTTAATAATTTATGGCACTGGATGCAGGTGTTTCTTTACAGCATTGCATGGACCTCCTGGGTAATTCTTTGAAACTTAACTAGCAATAGCAAGCTTCTTTCCTTTTATTTGTGGATGCCTTTTATATTTACAATTTAGTAGGCTTTTCAACGTTACTCATTGTTTCTGGTGTATGCTTCATCTAATTCTGTATGTCTTAGCATCGCTAACTTTTAAAAAGCTGATCTTTATAGGCACCTTATGTTGCTGCCATGTTTTCCGTTCTGATTGTCTTTTCACAACCATGTGTAAGTTCGAGCTTCATTTGTTTTTATGAAGCTGGCCATCATTTGGTTCAAAATTGTCTTTAGATAATGTTTCAAAAATGAATTGCAGATGCGGAGCATTGTGTCTAAGCAAGTTGGATCCTGTGAGCAGGTATTGTTTTTACCAGTGGTTGGTAGGTTGTGTCTTGACAGAAAAGAATGCATGTTAAACAACAAATGAAGTTATCCTGCACTTCGCATTAAACATCCTTCAGTTCAAGACACATCAAACGTCTTCTTATTAGCATATAAATATTGTTTGCAAGGTCATCTCACTTGTCTAAAGTAGTATGAGTACTTTTGATGCTTATAATTTATTTTTCTTTTCAGGGGAAGGCTCAAGGGTGCATTTCTGGAATAAGTTCCTTCGCTAATGTCATTTCTCCCTTGGTGTTCTCTCCCTTAACAGGTGATTGGAATTTCAACTTTTGAAATTATTATCAGGCCCCAAGGTCAATCGAAACTAATATAACAAGTTGTTTTCCAGCTTTATTCCTCTCTGAAAGGGCACCGTTCCACTTCCCTGGTTTCAGTATTATGTGCGTGGGATTTGCATCGGTAAGAGCTTTTACATCATGGTTTGTTAGTACTGAGTAGTAGCCAAAGCTTAATATGTTTTCTAACGAACTTCCCATCATTTCCTTGAATGACTGGGAATCTAGTCAGTTTAGTGGTGTGCCCAATTTAGTTGGGAGTTATGGGACCAGACTGTCGAACACAGATCTAGCCATAACATTTAAACACTTAAGGCTTAGCCTGAACTGCCCATAACTTCAGTCTATTCAACCTAGCCATAATATCTAGTTGCACGCTGCCCGTATGATATATGATAATGATGCAACCCATGTTTGAGGCTGTCAAGTTGCAAGCTGAGCTTGAATATAAGGGCACAAGAAACACCCATAGCTCCCGTGTCCTGTCCATTCAACCTAGCCATAATATCAAGTCGCAAACTGCCCATATGACATCGATGAAACTCATGTTTGAGACTCTCAATTTGCAAGCTGGCTTGAATTCAAAGTATGAGAACAGCCATTCAATCAACTGGGCCTACAAAATAGGGCAAACCAGTCCAATTTTCACACTCGATATGTCCAGGTTGGGAATTATGACTTTTAAGTTCTCCTATATCTTAGTATGATACCAATAATCCTTGAAGAAATCCATGGACCATGACTCTGAATTTTTCTTTGGTTTTCAATATATTCCTTCAACTGCTGATACATTTCAAAAAGAGGATTCTATGCATTTTAATCTTTGCAGGACTCTGTTAGCTTTGTGTGTTGCCATTAAACATGATTTTAATCATGTACTGATAATTTGCATGCTCCATAACAATTTTATGTAGGTGATAGCCTTCATCCAGAGTCTCATGATAAGGATCGCTCCTCCCATTGCAAATGAAAAAGTCGTTAATTCCAATTATGTGGATGCCTAGTCATTTCAGTGGTTGCTCAAAAAACAGTCATAGCTTTTCTGGCTTTAAGCTGAGCCCTAGTCTTTATATTTATCTACAAAACCTCCCATCTATATTAGTTTATGGGGAAGCACTAGAAACCGAGATGAGATTAGAAGTTTTGGAATTGAAAGTCTCGTCTAGCCACATTGGACTGATGCCAATGTCAAAACAAGAACGTTCACAAGAGGAGACAACAAGAACCCGGTGCTTAAATTCTGGAAGGCATTAGTGACAAGTGATGATAGCGCAGTGTGTATCCTTAAGGTCTGTCCATCGCTAGCCCAACGATTAATGGACAGACTTTTTATATGCCTTGTAATATATTTATTTTTTATGTGCATTATACTCCTTGCAGAAAAGAGAGACGTGTAAACGAATTCTTGATGCTAAGCCAAATAGAGACTGGTTCTGTCCTCAAAGAACGGGTTAATGGTTCAACTTTTATTTATATAATAGGATAATTTTCTAATATATTTTTAATTAAATTAATTTTATTTTTTAATATAGGATAAATGTCAAATCTATTTTTTAATTAGATTTTTATTTTAAATTATTAAAATTAGTTATATGATTTGCTCTATTTGATTGATTTGTAAAGGTTATTTTCTGATTAAAAATTAGTTATATGTAAATTCTGTAAATAATTTCGGTAATTTAACTTAAAAATCTTTAAAATATATAGATTAAAACTCATTTTATATTTAAAAATAAGATTAGTATAATTAAAAATATATTAAAAATGATTTTATTACACAAGAATAGACTGAAATATTAATAAATTTCAATTTTTCTATCTTCATGTCTTGAAAGAACAAGCAAAGTCTGTGGCGTGGATACGATGCATACAATTTAGATCAAAATCCAGCTAACAAAATATAAAATATCATACACACGAAATTCAGGGTGAAATTTTAGGTGAGAGTCAAGAAAATACAGCCAACAGAAAGCGAGCAGCTTGAATAAGCCATACGTTTTAGAAATGAAAAGGGTCCCTACTCCCTCATCTTTCGTTTTCAGTGCTGCCAGGCCATGTGACAACCCGTGTAGCCGACAAACTACAGTTTAGTTTATTCTTAACTAGCTGTTGACAATCTTAATCTTGTAATAATAATAATAATGATAATAATAATAGTTTTAAACTAAAGCGTCCTGCTTTAAAAAGCACCAGATTGGGGAAGTCAGATTTCTCGATTTCCTTCGTTCTTAGGGGAAAAAAAAAGGAAAAGGAAAAATTTTGTGGGAGTTAATTCAAGAAACGAATTAATTATTTAGTTTTCTAATTTAATGTTGATAATGATTAATTTAAAATTATTTTATTTTAAAAAATATTTTTTAGGTGAGAGACAAGAAAATACAGCCAACAGAAAGTCAGCAGCTTGAATAAGCCATACTTTATCGAAATGAAAATGGTCCCTATTCCCTCATCTTCCGTTTTCAGTGCTGCCAGGCCATGACAACCCGTGTAGCCTACAGACTACAGTTTAGTTTATTCTTGACTAGTTGTTGACAATCTTAATAATAATAATAGTTTTAAAATAAATTGTCGTGCTTTAAAAAGCACCGGATTGGGAAGTCAGATTTCTCGATTTCCTTCGTTCTTAAGGAAAAAAAAAAAAAAAGGGTAAAAGGAAGAATTTTGTGGGAGTTAATTCAAGAAAAGAATTAATCATTTTTTATTTCAAAAATTAATTATTTAGTTTTTTAATTTAATGTTGATAATGATTAATTTAAAATTATTTTATTTCAAAAAATGTTTTTTTTCTTATGAATGTTTCTATAATATCTATTTAATTTTATTTATAAAACAAATAACAAAATAAATTAAAAAAACATAAAATGAACTGTAAGAATTATTAATTAATACATTTTTTCAAAACTAATATATTAACTTATAATATAATCAATTTTGTGACGCCTTCAATGTCACCTTTCATTCACAGATATCATCATATCATTGATTTATCGTCTCCATTTCTGAAAAATAAAATCTTAGAAAGATCAATCATATCCAAATCAATGTATTTTAAACTTGTTTTAGAGTTCGAACCTGGGATTATTTATCACTAAATTTACGATTCAAGGAAACACCATCCACCCATATGCTATTCATTTACATATTTTCAAAAAAAAAAGAAAAAAAGAAGACATAATTAGGCAATAAATCACTGATTTATAAACTGAGCCAAGAGAGAGATTTTCTATTATTACCTTACCAAAAAGGTAACATTTAAATAAAAAAATAAAATTCTCTTTTTAGATGTCGGCTAAGAAAGCTGCTTCCCTTTTGATTTTTTCAAACAAAAATTCAATTTTCCTTTTTGGAACTCACTTCTGTCCCCATCTAACAACTTTCTACCAGAAGCTAGATTATTAAGAAAATTTTTAACATAAACACCACCAATAATACAATCCACGTGTCACAGTATTCTTCGCTGCTAATACATCTCGCCCACGCCCCAGGTTTGCTCCACCGTTTCTGTCTGCACTCTTCAAGCCTTCAAGCCAGCAGTTAAAGTCCTGTTTGGCTTCATCGGAGAAACCGAGGAGGATACCACAATACGGCTTACTAGAGTTACATTTAGTACCGAACATTTTTACATTCCTCTTCAAGAGTTTTCGATTTTTTCAGATGGCAGTAGAAGACAATGATTCGAAGAGAGCAACATCGATTCTCCACGGAGAACTTGATTTAAAAATAATCGAAGCTCGACGGTTACCAAACATGGATTTAGTATCAGAACGTCTCCGTCGATGTTTTACTGCATTCGACACATGTCGGAATCCGTTCTCTAAAGGAAGCCAGAAACTCAAAAGCCACAGCCGCAAGATCATCACAAGCGACCCGTACGTTACAGTTTGCGTATCGGGAGCAAGAGTCGCTCGCACGCGCGTGATTTCGAACAATCAAAGTCCGGTTTGGAACGAACATTTCAAGATTCCTTTGGCTCATCCGGCTGAAAAGATTGAATTTTACGTGAAAGATAATGACATGTTCGGTGCTGAGTTGATAGGGATAGCAAGTGTTGAAGTAGAGAAGATTTTGTCAGGGGTAGCGATCAGTGGTTGGTTTCCCATAATCGGATTGTACGGAAAACAGCCAAAAACGGACTGTGCCCTTCACATCGAGATGACGTTTACGAAATGTGAGCAGATTGGTAGCAAACTCGGGGTTGAAAATTGTTATTTTCCGGTGAGGCATGGAGGGAACGTTACCCTTTACCAGGATGCGCATGTGTCGGATTCGGGCTTGCCAGAGATTGAATTGGAGAATGGGAATGTGTTTAAACATGAGAAATGCTGGGAGGATATTTGTCATGCTATAGTAGAAGCACATCATTTGGTTTATATAGTTGGTTGGTCGATTTATCATAAGGTGAGATTGGTGAGGGAGCCTTCAAAGCCATTGCCGAGAGGTGGGGATTTGAATTTGGGAGAACTGCTTAAGTATAAATCACAAGAAGGTGTGAGAGTTTTGTTGCTGGTTTGGGATGACGTGACTTCTCATAATAAGTTTTTTATTCGTACGGTATGTCTTAATTCTTGGATTTGGGTTTTCAATTGGTTGTTTTATAATGTGGCTGTTGATGGGAAATAAGTGAACAGTTTGCTGTATTCTCTATGCCCACTGGGTTCTTGCTTAAATTGGACAAGTAATGTACTTGATATTAATTGCTCGTAGTTCGACTGGCTTTTCTGTATATGCATGTTTATTTAGTGGATGTGGGGGATTTACCATATGTTCCTATTTTGGTAAATTTTTCTTTTACAAGTACGTCGCTGCAATTTGGTGAAAGTGATTCTATACTTGAGGTATTGCTGGTTCAATTCAGATTTGAGATTGTTAATCTTAAAGTTGAAAGGGTGTTGCTTGCAGAATGGATTGATGCAGACTCATGATGAAGAAACCCGGAAGTTTTTCAAGCATTCTTCCGTGAATTGTGTGTTGTCGCCGCGCTATGCAAGCAGTAAGCTTAGCATTTTCAAGCAGCAGGCATGCTTAGTGTTCCTCTTACTGTTCCATCATTTTGTTCATCAGTTCTAACATGTCTTGTTACTAATACTGTGATTGTTTTGATTGCTAGAACTACTTATTGTATATGTAGTGGTTTTCCGTGTTTTTGGGCTTAGATGGGGATATTTCTAGGCACACCTTTGATCATCTTGTTTCTTAAAAAGTTCTTTCAAAGGCTTGAAGGAATAGAAAGAGAAGGAAAATAGGTTTACTAGAGATGAAATCTTCCTTGCTGCGGAGATCTTAAACTTGTGCACTTCGGAGTGAACTATTAACAAGTTATCGAACTTAGACAGAAGATGTTAAAATGTCCAAATGTGGTTTGACTATGTACTGAAAGCCTGGTTCATTCATTAGCCAGGGGTTGCTTGATAGAGGTCTGTTGTCATCTGTATTGAATGTCTATATCATTTTCAAATGACATGTATTAGTGTCTTCTATATAAACTACTAAATGGGGAAAGATGTTATTATCATAACATCATCTAATCAAGGATATATTTCTTCGATGTTGGCGATTTCTATAAAATTCATTGGAAAAATGCCTCTATAAGCTTAACGTGCATAGATTTCACAAGAAAAGATAGGTATCTTTTTCTGATCAAACAGCACCTTTGCTGACAGCTTTATTGTGAAATCTCTTTTCAGGTTGTTGGGACCCTCTATACGCATCATCAGAAATGTGTAATTGTGGATACACAGGCATCTGGAAACAACCGGAAGATAACTTCTTTTATAGGGGGTCTAGATCTTTGTGATGGCCGCTACGATACACCTGAACATCGGTTGTTTCGGGACCTTGACACTGTATTTCGGGATGATTATCATAATCCAACATTTCCTGTGAGTATGCAGTTTCTCTGACAAAAATAACTATGGTCTTACACTGATGAATCTTCATGTTCAGGATTTATGTTTAGCATGCTCTTCCGCATCATTGGCTCTTGCAGAGTAAACTATCTATATAACTTGTATGTTCTTTAAATGATAGGCAGGAACAAAGGCCCCAAGGGAACCATGGCATGATTTGCATTGCAAAATCGAAGGGCCTGCTGCATATGATGTGCTTACTAACTTTGAGCAGCGATGGAGGAAAGCCTCAAAATGGTCAGAGTTCGGACGAAGTTTTAAAAGGGCAACTCATTGGCGTGACGATTCATTAATAAAGTTAGAACGTATCTCATGGATACTTGGTCCTTCCCCATCAGTCCATAATGATGATCCTCAATTATGGGCATCTGAGGAAGATGATCCTGAAAACTGGCATGTTCAGGTTCATTAGCATGCACTTTCCTATTCAAAGCTTTTGTACTTTTTAAATAGCTTTGTGACAATAAGCAATCATTAGTGGCTCTCCTCAATTGACAGGTTTTCCGATCTATAGATTCAGGATCTTTGAAAGGATTTCCCAAAGATGTTTATCAAGCTGAAAAACAGGTTATTTATTTATTTATTTTTATTCTTTTTGTAGACTGACAAAAAATATTGTATGATCTTTCTGTTGATTTGGCATGACCTTCACCACTTTTGAATTATCTCATTACCGTGGTCGATCAATTCTATTTCTTGTCATTGCAGAATCTTATTTGTGCTAAAAATCTGGTCATTGACAAGAGCATTCAGACAGCATATGTTCAGGCAATCAGATCAGCTGAACACTTCATATATATTGAGAATCAATATTTCCTTGGGTCATCATTTGCATGGTCAGAATATAAAGATGCAGGTTATTTCACTGTCTTAAGATTCTTCTTGTGCAAGAATAAAAATATGGTTAGTTAAACAGATGACTTCATCACTACTGCTAAAATAAACTCTAACAGAAGCATGTCTGCTGTTATGAACTCATAATCCTGGCTTAAAAAACATTTCAGCTGTTCATTTAGGTCTAGATTACAGTAATACCAATTATACACTTGATTTTCATATCTGCCTTGGAAATTTCATGAAAGGCACTTTTGCATTTCCTTTAACCATGTTTTGGTATGAGTAGGTGCTGAAAATTTGATTCCTATGGAGTTGGCATTGAAGATAGCAAGTAAAATAAGATCAAAGAAGAGGTTTGCTGTTTATGTTGTGATACCAATGTGGCCTGAGGGCGTTCCCACTTCTGCCTCTGTACAAGGAATTCTCTTTTGGCAGGTAACTTAACGTAAAATTTTTTTGTTATTTCATTATGGTGCAAGTTGAGAATACTGCAAGGATGGAGAGGAAGATCCAATAAGATTTTTCAGCTGTTTTTAACTTGTATTCTTTGAGAAAAATAATCTGTACATTTTGGAAATTTGAAAGTCATGACATTTACATTGTTTAATAGCGTGACTATGTTTCCGATAAACATTCTGTATTTCTTATTGCATTTTGATTAAAAAAAAATTTCCGCTTTCATATCTATAGTCCTATGCCTTCTGGCGGTAAAGGCAATTCTATAAATCTCCATATTTGCTGTGATTGATTTCTTGAGCTATGGCAGTGATTAGTTTTATTTCCCTTGGAGAAATTGCTGACTTTTTTCATTTGCGATACGTATTTTATCAATGCAACTAATGTGTTTTTTGCTTTTACAGTCACAAACAATGCAAATGATGTATGAAGTTATAGCAAAAGAGTTGAAATCCATGAATCTTGAGAATTCACATCCACAAGACTACCTAAATTTCTTCTGTCTTGGTAATAGGGAAGAAGTGTCAGGTTCAAACAATTCTGATGATCAAACGGTAACAGTACTGCATGAATTTATCTTCCACTTATCTAATTATTATGCATTCTTTTTCAAGAAGATATAAACTTCTGATAAAAAAAAGAAAGATGGTGATTTCCATTCATTCATTTAGTGGGAAATGGGGAACTTGTAGAGTTATTTTAATTCAGGAACCTCATAGCTTAATTAAGCAGGAGACCCAGGATGGTTAGACCCTGAACAGGATGGTTCATAAATTAGAATTTCTGTTACTACATGCCAATAACTTAGCTTTAACGTGACATGTTGCTAATTCTGATGGTTACGATTAAAGTTTGGTTTAATGGTCATTGTTCATTTTCCTGGCTTGAGACAGCCTCAGCATTCCATCTGTTGGCTTTTATCTTAATTTAGGTCTATTGAGGGATAACTGGAACTGTCAGCTAATCAAGAATAATTCTATAGATAAAGTCTACATGATGGATGTCTAAACATCTTCACTGATTGCATTTTTCCACGTACTTTTTGGGAATGCATAGTGGATTTTACTTGCTAATTTGAAGCATCATATATATACATTCCTTATAAGTCTTGATTGTTTTTCTCTGACCGCTTTTCAGGTTTCAATGTCTCAAAAGTTTCAACGGTTTATGATTTACGTACATGCAAAGGGAATGGTAGTAGATGATGAGTATGTAATACTGGGGTCTGCCAATATTAACCAACGATCTATGGCTGGTTCAAGAGATACTGAGATAGCAATGGGTGCATATCAGCCTCATCATACATGGAGCAATAAGAACAGACATCCACTAGGCCAGGTTTATACCTTCATTATTGCAGTTTAAACTTTAAATCACTGAGTCCTTCAGTTTTATCAGCTTCATTCTAAGATATCCCAGATGAGGCCAAGCCAATTTACTTGCTTTTGAACACGTTCTCCTTGGTTATATATTCTTTTGTAAGAACTTTAACCTTGGTCAGCTGATCAAGCAAGTTGATGTGTCTTCAGGTATACGGATACCGAATGTCTCTCTGGGCAGAACATTTGGGGTTGGTTGATAACTTGTTTAAAGAGCCTGAGAGTTTGGATTGTGTCAAGAGTGTGAACAAAATAGCTGAAGATAATTGGAAGAAGTTCACAGCCGAGGATTTTACACTATTGCAAGGACACCTTCTTAAATACCCTGTGGAGGTAGATAGCAATGGCAAAGTAAGCCCCTTGCCAGGACATGAGACTTTCCCAGATGTTGGTGGTAAGGTGCTCGGAGCCCGTACAAACCTTCCCGATGCATTAACCACATAGGTTTCAGTTTAGCTCTCTGTTCCCTGTGGTTTCCCTTTGATCATTTGAGAGGAAGAAAAACATACAGCCTATACTGATTCAAGCAAGGTCTAGGAGCCTTCTCAACTGTGCCAATTTACTGGGGGCTGCCAAATGCCAATGTAGTGAATGTACCATAATACCAATTTTGAATTTATTCAATAGAACGATGAATAAAAAGATCAGACCGATGAATTTCTGCATCTAGATTTGGCCACAGCAAGAGCTTTGACAGTATATTTTCCACTTCCTTCCATATTATATAACTTAATCTGCAGGAATTATTTGGTTATTACTGTATAGGATACAAAATGCACACAAAAACTACAATGTTGATTAAAATTAAAAGGAATTATACAATCTTGGTTCACCCCATACATTCTCTCATTCCCACCATTAAGATTTATAAACTCTACTACCGTCCAAAAAATAAGAAGAGAAACATGAGATGATTCGTACAGATTCTTCATGTAATTAAACTTAGTTAACGGTCACTTTTCCCACCATGCCAGCTCCCTGGTGAGGAGAACAGTAGAAAGTGTATTCACCTTTATCGCTCAAGGCAATTTCGTAAGTCTCTCCTTTGGCATTGAGGAGATCCTCGTCGCTCATGGAGATTTTTGACACATCAATCCCACTTGGGACAGCATCCTCGTCGAAGACAACGTTGTGTGGGAATCCGGCATTGTTCTTGAAGACAATCTTTTCACCAGAGGAAACGGAGAATTCGCTGGGAACAAAAGCCAATGATCCATCATCACCTCCGAGCAATATCTCAATGGCCATGGCATTGCTAGCGATCATTGCGCTAGCAGCGGTGGCGACAACAGCAACACCAACGTCTTTCATTGAAGCCTTGATGCTGAGCCTTGGAAGTGGAGAGGGTGGAACCTTAGCACTAGCACTGACTTTGGCACTGGAGGCGCCACCTGCCTTAAGACCAGTGAAAGATGGGATTGCAACAGCAGCAGAGGTTACAGTGGCCATTCTTGAGTCGTTTTCTTCTTCTTTTTTCCCTGGTTTTTGCTGGTCTTGTTTGTGTTGTGTGCTGAAGGCGATTAATCAGAAGGAGAAGGGAGTCTGGTTCGTATTAATAACGAAGGAATCCAAGTGTGAGGTTGAGGAGTGAGAGGTTCTTTTTGTGTGGTTTAAATTGTGAGGTGGAATGTGTGATTAGATAATGGATGACAAAGCGAATGGGCAGAGAAAATGGGTTATCTGTGAGGATTGCTCTCATTGGCTGGTTTGGATGGTGTTTCGTGACATGGCATTGGATGTATTGAAGTGAGGTGGAGAATGGGAGAGGTGGGATGGACAAAATTGTGGAAAGGATAAGTGTTCGAGTTGGACAAGGAAACTGCTCGTTTGATTTTTACCTTATCTTGAAATCTTAGGAATAAATCATGCTCACCAATATTTGCCCTTTGACAGGAGATATTTTCTTCATGACAATGGCGGTGATAACGAAATTTAACACTCAAGTCTTAACCTATTACCAAGGAAAAACAAAACCATTTGCTTGCTAGTTGCTACTGCTCCAAAAGTCGATTTTACTTCTTTAGCGTTGTTCTCCTAGTCTGTTATTACTAAATGAAGCTGGAAATGGGATTGACAATTAGTGAAGCAGAGTAAATCCATCGTTTTTCTTTTCTATGGTTAAATTCCTTAGCTACGTTACACCCTCCAAAAAAATCAGTTGAAAAGAAACAAAGCCTAGACCAACCAGTACATCATAGCGAGCTTTGAAACTACATTTTCAACGAAGATGCGTTTGCTTTTCTCCCCCCACAACTGCATACCATCTGATTTCATCATGTGGTCCAAAGCCTACAAAACATGTGGTAAAGATGATTTCCTATCGCAGATATTTTCGCCATTGGCGAACATCATGTGCGGCTCAAGCAGCATTGGCACCCACCACAGGATTTGTTTTTTTCCTAAAGGATCTATTAATGGTTGGAGATAAATCATAAACCATGCACCAAGGCCAAATCGAACCACAAGATGCTGTCTAACCCACCTTTTTCAATCTCCACGTCACTACACTCGACTTAGACAATCGTTAATCAAGCCGCATTTATGCTAATATAAAAGAGGGAAACCGAATAACTAGATGGATGCAGTTGAGCAACACTGAGAAAGAGTACAGGATGGATAATGCAATGAAGCATATAAATGCATTATAAAATAACTCACTCGAGACTGATCACACTGGAAATGCAATGCGCTGCAACAATCCAAGGCCCGTTGGACCTTCAAATAGGCCCAAAAAATTCTTCTCAAGGATTTCATAGTTGTGAGAGAGAGAGAGAGAGAGAGAGAGAGAGAGAGAGAGCACAAAAGCACCATGAAGGACTGCAATTCCTTAGCCTTCAGCCCTTTTTGTACTCGTATTTGCATTGTACTAACTATGTACTGCCTATGTACTACACTCCTGCCCATGTAAAGATATTCCAGGCATGTTTCACGAGCGGATGGTCCTACTGCATGAAAGCTGTCGATAAGAGAAACTCGCACAGCACATAGCTATAGAAGGTTTATGCGTACACCAAAACCTATTTATTAGAGATCAATAGACCACCATACGACCTGAATATATACCGTTAGAAATTGAAATTTTACAAATTCTCCCAACTAATTCAGGGGAAGGGCTCTGATGCCAGGTCTATGTTTTGCTTCAACCTTTTCCCAAAATCTACAGCTGCAGAAGGCAGAATGGGATGGGACTTTAAAGTTAAACTGCATTAACTCGTCAATAATTTCGTCCCATGAAGAAAGCTAGAACACCATAATGCATCACAGTTTGCTGCATCCTATTCGCAGGATGCTTAACAGAAAGTGGTTAACCGTTAGTCATTCAGCTAAACTACAAGTTACAACTCCATTAAACAAAATACACTATGCTTACAGATTGCCGTCTAAGAGAGACCGCAGAATCCAAAGCAATATACAAATGGTTCATCCAACCTAGTACCCCTTCTGATTTTGCAGTCACTAACTACCAAAATTAACAAGCTTAGAAACTATGAGTATAATTTCTTTTGTAAAAAAAGCAAAGAATTTTAAAATCCAAAACACCATTTCCCACCCCTGGATCTAGTTTCTAAACAATATTCCCAGCAGAAGTGGTTGTTCAATTCAAAAAAGTGAAACAGAAGAAAACAATGAAGACAGGTTTAATCTCAGTTCTAATATAAATGTTTGTCAAAACTAAAAATTCATCTAAACTACGAGATGCTAAGTATTACAGATGAATACTGAAGAAATAGGAACTCTCAATCTGCTTGTCTTTCATTCACCAAAACCTGACCTCCCGACTCGTGGCTCACAGAGTCCAATCTCGAATATTGACAGCTCCTTCACTTAGTTTCACATTTATGGAAATTGCATAAATATCATCACAAGTTTCTCTCATAAAAATTACTTGTCCAACCACACTAGTAGCTACTCTGACAGATATCTTTCACCAATCAGAAAAGTTTTGAGTCACAATAATTCTTTTGCCAAGATTAACTGCCTTAACAACATGGGGGAAAGTTAAGAAATAAAAACTGCTAAGACTACCACATTAGCTTTATTTGACCTCCGCTGATATGCCTTCAAAGCAAGTACAGTACAGGCTTAGGTACTCTACATTCCAGAACACCAACCAAATAGAACAAGGTTCCTAGATAAGATGGCAAAATAGTGAACACTCAAACACGAGACCCGCAGACCCAGCACATGTTAATCTTCCATCCTCTTATGATTTAATGATCAAGTTGTCCTAAAGCCAATCGTATGAATTTTAACAAAGGACCCCAACTAAAGGAATCCCAACTAAAGGGCTACTTTAACATATATGAAGAAAAAGCCTGATTAAGATGGAGCTTGCTATTCGTGCAGCTCTTATTTAAACACTAGCTGAAAGACATTCAAAGAGCAAGGAGAATGGGAGATAAAGCATCCTCAAAACATAAACTAGAGAGCTTTGCAACTCGAAAGTTTCAAGAGAACAAAATAGACCTATCACAACTTATGAATATTATAAAAATTCTAATCTCACGCCGTCACCATTAACAAGTCCAATGCTTGAACTTTAAAATTCCATCAACAACAATTGATGCATGCAATTGTAGATAATGAATAAGATTTTTCATTATAAATATCCACCCCTAAATAATAATAGTCTGTTCGGCTCATAACAAAACGTCATTTATTATAAATACTCTAACACACCAATGAGAACCAGTAACAAGAAGAAAGACCCTATATACAACCCCAATAGACACCAGTTCCCAGTATAATAAACAGAATGTACATCTTAAGATCAGTCATTTTCACCTCTTTAGATTGGAAAGACATCGCCGCCATTACCACCATCATCCCTGTCATCACCATCCATATCAAACAACTTGAATCCACCATCCCATTTTGCATCTCGATAATTAAAGCTCGGGCTCACGTAGCACTTCATCTCGTGAAACAAGTTCAAATTATCCACTAGCTTATGAAACACATTGCAACCACAACACTACAAAAAACACAAAACAAGAAAGACCAAATTCAACAACAAACCTTAACACTCCAAAACAAATAATTAAACAAGATTGACGAATGCCAGTGCGATGATTACCTGAACGAAGACGGTGCCATCGGTGTAAGCATGGGGATTGATAGCGCGAGTAGTTCTTTGACCACAAACATTGCAAGTGAAGGCTACGCGCATTCGCCTACGTGGTGATTTTGTGAAGAGAGACCACGGGAGAGTCGAGACCTTCTCTGTGTTGGATCCGTCCTCGGAACCAGCTGGCACTGAAGGTCCTTCCATGCCTGAACCTGTAGTCCATCCTCTCACGGATGCCGCACTCAATACCAATCCCATCGCTGCATCCTAATCCCCCAAATTACCCCCCAAAAAGCCATCAATTACCAATTCGACACCGAATTTAAAAAATAAAAAATAAATTCAAAACGACATTTATTTTACCTTCGAGAGAGTGGGGTTGTTGAAGAGAGGGACGATGCTGGAATCATTAGAATTGGATTGGAGATCGGAGTCTTTCTTATCCTCTGAATTGAGAAAAAAATTTCAATTCCGTCACAAGATAAAAATGAATTGTAAAGGAAAGAAATTAGTGAGAGAGGAAGACTTACTTTTTGAAGAAGTGTGGAATCGGAGGAATCTAGGAGGGGAATTCAATTCCTTTCGTTTGGGAGAGAAGAAGGAGAGAGAAGAAGAAGAGGAGGAAACTATTGCTGCAGCGGAGCTTAGAGTTTCCATGGCGAGGACGCAGAAGAGACGTGAATGTTTCTGCTATTATGACACCTGTAGAGAATGGGGAGGTGGGATTTTATGTTGCAGAGTTTGTGGGCCAATGGGTTTTTGTGTGGTAGTAAGTGCCGGTCTCGTCAAGTTGGGCTTCGGTTCTGGCCAGAAGTTTATGGGCCTAACTCCAAACTTTTTCGCTTAAATAGCTTATTCGTTTTGTCCGAAGGGAACAAGTGTGTGGACTTTTTTATCCATGGTTCATGGTTTATTAATCAACACCTTCATTTGTTAAAACAAATAAGGATAAATTAGCCCATTACCGCGTTTCGCTGCAGAACAAAATCATTTCAATTTTATAATTATAATTTATTTATTTATTGTAAATTTTCTACTTAAAAAAATTTGAATTATTCCTATTTATGCATAGGTTCTAAAATAAAAACTTATAATAATTTAAATTAAAATATTAATAAAAAATTACAAAAATGCTTTAAAAATATAGTTTCATAAAATGTATCCAAAAACTAAAGTTACAATTAGACTTATGTAAAAATTAAATAATAAAACAATAAATTTTTACTCTTATTTAATTCCGATAAGATGATTATTTTTTAAAAGTATATACCTTTGATCTATATATATTTATTTATAAAATAATCAATAATGTTAGTATAAAAAACTGTATTTGAATGAGTGGTTCTTTAAAAAAATATATTTTAATTATTTTAGTTAAAATAAATTGATTCTATAATATTTTAAAAAATATTTATAATAAATAGTTGGTGTAATGTGTGAAGATGTATGATTAATTTTTAATAAAATTGATGATTCAATAGTTTTTTTTTTCCATACTTAGTGGATTAAAACAAATTATATTTTTAATATTTTATATTAAAATAATTATATATTTATATATATAAGAAACTATTATTTAAAAATTTTAAGAATACATGATATATACTTTATCGATTTAGAAAGCATGCACATGGTGTAAACTGTGAATTCGTTTTGTTTTAGTTGTTTTAGTTAATGTTCTACAACATCCATAAACTTCAAATCATCTAAAAATCAGTCAACTGTTAATTACAAATTGAACCTTCTTACAATTATTTTATTTTTTTCAACTATTTTTATTTGAAATTAAATTTTTAACAGTAAAATACACGTAACTTACACATGGTTGATTTTTTAATTTTTCTGACAATTAAAAAACACCAAAACTTATGTACACTCTCATTTTCTTTCTTCTAAATGTTAAGTAAGCAATTAAAAATTATTTTTTTTACATTAAAAGAAAGAATTTTTGGAAAAAAAAAAAGCATTCATAAATTTTAACAAGAACCTAATTTCAAATAAAAAATAATTAGAAGAAAGTTGAACTTGAAGACCGATTCTCAAATAAAAAAGGTTTGCACCATTTAGTTAAAATTTTGTATCATAAAAAAAGTAGTAATATAATGCTCCATCTATCTCGAAAAGATTGTTCTTTTATTTATTTATTTATATTTATTTTAAAATGTTTATCTAGTCAAAATTATTGGATAAATTTTCTCCTAAAAAAGAGATATTTTATAAAAATATTGTAAAAAATGTTGATACGACATTATAATTATTAAGTTTTCGAAAAATTCAAATCAATAAATTTTTTAAACCGCCTAAAAAAGTAAAAGACGATCATTTTAGAGTATGCTAATGATACAGTAATGGTAATGGTAATGTGATATACTTCATCTATCATTCATTTATTAAAAAGTCAAAATAATAATAATTATTTCAAAATATTGGAGAATTTCTCAATTATGAAATTGTACAAATGGGTAAAGAAAAAAACTACATGATTGTATTGAAAGTTAATATCTAGTACATGATTGTATTCCATTCTTTATCAAGATTTTCTAGGTCATACAAAGGGATAGAAATGAAAGAAAAACAACCTTTTATTCCCCACCTACCAACATTCTCCTAGGTCATACTTCGAGGAGGCAAGATATGTCAAAATGGCTGCTGTATTAAACCCATTGAAACTTGACCCAGCAGCTGCCGTATAAGCACCCATATTAGGGAACACAAGCCAGTCACTAACCTGCAATTCCGGCAACTGATGACCCATCAAAACCGTGTCAAGAGCATCACACGTTGGTCCAAAAACCGTCGAACTGTAAGTTCTTACCCCTTTGCACGTGGGATTCGCACGATTAGAATTGCAAGCCAGAGGCGTGCACGTTATAGTTGCATGATCATATAAAATACAGTTCATGGAGCCGTAAATACCGTCGTTAATCCAGTACTCTCTTAATTCACCTCTAACGCGTTTTCCTATAATGTTAGTGGCTAACGTTGAAGCCGACTCCGCAAAAAACCGTCCCGGCTCGGAAATGATTGTCAAGCCCGGTTCATTTGGGAAATAAGCTTGGAGGGCGGATTTAATTGCTGTAGCTGCTTCATCAAATTGGGATCCAGCAGTGAAGCCGCCGCCAATGTTTAGTATCTTCATTCTAGGCATGCCAAGACGAACTGCGGCTTCAAATACAGATTTAGCCGAAGCTATGGCTCCTTTGTATGCTAGAGCGTGTGTGGCTCCGCTTCCTATGTGGAAAGAAACACCAACCACATTGAGCCGAGCTGATTGAGCGGCTTGGAGAAGAGGCGTGACTTCTTCAGGAAGTGCGCCATATTTGGGACCTAACGGACACCTTGCTCCGCTATCATCAAGGGCTTTAATCCGAAGGAGCAATGCACATTTTGGATGCCATTTTCGAATTTTCTCAAGCTCTTCTTCGGAATCAAAAGCAGTTAAATTTACCCCAACACTAGCGGCATATTTGATGTGAGACTCTTGCTTGCACGGATTTGCATAGACGATTCGATCTGGCGAAACTCCGAGGGATATAACGGATTCAATCTCAGCCTGGCTTGCACAATCAAAGTTTGATCCGAGAGCTGCCAAAGAACCGAGGAGAGCCGGCTCGGGATTGCACTTGACGGCGTAGAAGGGACGTACCATGGGAAGGGTAAGTGTCCACTTGTCCATGAGGGAAGTGACGACTCCTAAATCAAGTACGTAAAAGGGCTCTTTGGTTTCTTGTTTCTCGGAGATTATCGACTGCATAAAATCAGTCAGGCCGTTTTTTGGCAAGGCTGTGACCCTCTTGCCGTCAAGACCCGGTGCCCCCAGTATCATGCCCTGGAAGTTGTTAGGGATTGACCCCATGCCTAAAATTAAAGGGCAAAAGAAAATATAAAGGAAGAAGGGGATTTGCGAGTAGAGGAAGGGTTTATATTTGGTGAGTATTTATAGCGATCATAGAAAGAAACAGAAATCAGGACACTTGTACGGTTGCACCATTATTTGGTAGAGAAAGAAAAAAGAATAAAAAAAGTGAATTATTGAGATCCCTTTCTAGCTCAAAGGAATCAGCCCAAATTTTCCTCTGAATAAATTTTGCAGGAGTAGAATAATAATTATACCAGATTCTGTATTCGGCATTTAGTTACCTAGCTGGTTTGGTATTAGCCTATCAGGGATTAGTTTTGTGTGGTAATTTAGGCAGTGAAAAAAAGTGGGTCGTTTGAATTAAGCAAGAGTTTTGAGTTGATCAGAACTCTAGTGGGGTCAGCTTTCTTGGTATGTTCAGAACAATTCTAAGCTGGGAATGGGACGAGTGTAGGTGTAAAAAGCCTGATTCTCTCTCGTACTCAACACGTTTTGCCGTTGGGTTGGGAACTTGGGATACAAGAAATACGAAGCATGGTTTTAAACAAAAACGGTTATGCAATGTAACAATAATATTTTTATTATCATTATTTGCTATTACAAGATTTTTATTATCATTATCTTTATGTGATTTTTTTATTTATTATTATATAAAGATATTATAATTATTTTTTAAAAAATTGAATATATTTTATACTCTTTCAGACGTTAGTTACATGAAATTGTATATTTTAAATTTATAATGTCTTTTATCATTTTTCATGAGATGTTAACCTATTAGAAATATTATTAATATTTTTTTATATAATAAATTTAACTATCATTGTATGATATTAATTATTAAAAATATTATTATTATGATTAATTAATAAAATTAATAAAATATATAAATTAGAAAAAATTATTAATATTTGTTAATATATTTATAATATCGGTTGTTGTGATTATTATTTTACTATTTTGATACCTTCGTAACTGGAGGTTGGTATCGTACAATCGCATTCATTTTTTAAAACTGTGGTACAAAAGGTGGATTTGAATTTTTATTAATGTTGAGATGGGGAGATTATTACCGTTGGATAATGCTAAGAGGGATTAGGTTTCTTGAATGGACTCATCCGTTGGACCGTTGCATCATTCGAAGATGCTCTTTTTGAAATAGGTATTCTATTCCTCTTTTGTTTTGAACAATGGGCTGTGGTTGAAGTTCTGGTAAAGCACCCCTTCTGCGACCACGCCAACCCAAGCTTAGAAGTCTTTTCAAAGTAGAGTTCTTGCTGATCGTAACAGGTCTTACTTCGACCATCTCACTTGGTCAAAATTTCAAGATACACCTCACAATACACGTCGCATAAAACACATGCCCAAGACTTTGACAGACAAAACCCCTTTCCTGATTCCATCTGGAAACAATTAGCCGATTTTCTGTGGCGAAGATATGCTTCGGGTCAAGGGTTTCTTTTTGGTTCAATTAAGTGGAAGGCAAGTGAGGGAAAGAGAATCTCTTACATGGCTAGTTAGTTGTCGAATAAAGCTTTTAAATGATTTTCTAAATTCGTTGTCGAATTTTTCTTATTTGTTTTCAAGCACAATTTTAATTTTTTAAAAAATTGTTGTCAACTCAATCCTGTTTATTTATTATTAATATATTTTTCAAATGATTTTTTCATCTCGTTACTGATTTGTTACGCTTATGACTAAATAGGTTTTAAAATAACCTGTTTATTGAACATATTAATTTCAATCACCAAATGTAAGGAAAATGGTGCTGACGTATTTGCATCATGAATTGTATCCATCTCCCTTGGATGTCCGGTCCAGATCAGCCTTTAAATGTTTACCCAAAACATGGCCATGCTCGCCCATAAGCTATCACCTGGTAAAAATATGTTTGCACACATTTTCATTTAGTCTCTTTAATTAGGTATTTTACCCGTGTTACGTTATTGAGTAAGATAAAATATATAAAATTATTTAGAAAAAATATTTTAATTTGATAGTTTGTTTTATAGTGTGAATGTATAAAAATATATGAAATCAAAGATGAAAAAAATATTTTAAATATTTTAATGTAATTTGAAATTAAATGGATGAGAATTTTAAAAAATGACAAATTAAAGTAAAAAATTTTAAATAATAAAAATAATGAACAAAAAATTTCATTTAAAAAGCAAAAAAAAAAAATTGCATAAATTATAATGATATATTTAAAAAATAAAACACCGACATATTCATATATTAAAAAAATTATTAACAAATAAAATTAAATCAAAAAATTATTTTTATGTGAATTTTAATAAGAAATAAATAATTAAAATTTTAATTTAAACAATAAAAGTAACATATATATCATCTTTAAACTTTACAAAAAACTAAAAAAATAATGATTTATTTTTTATATATTTAATTTTTTTTATTTGGTAGAGTTTTTTCTTTAATTGTTTTTTTTCTTCATATATATATATATATAGAGAGAGAGAGAGAGAGAGAGAGAGAGAGAGAGAGAGAGAGAGAGAGAGGCGCGCGCCTTGGTTGCAAGCCAACTAGGACAGGCACCTGGTTGGCTTGTGCAACCAGGCTGTCACATGAAAAATAAAATATAAAAAAGGGAGGGAGGCCAGCCCGCTTGGGCTGTGTAGGCAGGTCCAGCAATGGCCTGTGCGCCAGGCCTTGCTTGCTGAAAAAACACCAAACAAAACCCTTCAACTTTTGATGAATCCGAGATCGTTGAAAGTTCATCGAAAAATCAGAGGTCAAGTTTTAGATTCTTAGAAATTGAATTCCGACATAGTTTTTTTCCCTAAACACCTCTAAATGATCGGAATAAAGCCAATAAACACATCTAAAACTTTAAAAATCATTTTAATACACACAAAAATAAAGAAAAATACAAAATCAAATTGGATTTTTTTTTCTTTTTTAGCTCCGATCTACCTTTTCTAATTGTTTAATAGCTTGAAACCATTATGGACAAACTCACCTCTCAAAGATAAAAAAATCTAACGAACTTTCGTCGGCCAAAGTGGCCTAAATGAGCTTGGACGGTGATCTCTCTCTCTCCTCCGTCTCTCTTTCCTCTCACCTTCTCTCTCCACCCGAGGATTAAAATGGATGAGCAAATGAACATGTGGATCGAAACATGCGTCCAAAAACTTTAAAGACCAAAGTGTATAAAAAAAGTCATGAACGAGTGAATTGTGAGAGCGTATACAGTATTTCAAATAGTAAACGCTACAATAAATGAGCATTTTCCTTTAGTTTATTAGTAATATTTGGACAAAGTTATTTAGTCTCTATATTTAAAACATTTTATAAATAAGTCCTCAATCGAAAGTTTTTGTTCCTCCTAGTTTTCAAGAAAATATTTTAGTATCTATGTTAAAATGTTTCCAATCAAATCCCTACACGTCAATTTCGTTTTCAAATAGCTATATTAGCAAGGTGAGTAACCATTTTATTATGTGATTCACAACCATTAATTAATACTATGAAAAATCATACTAACAAGCATGTAATTTCATTATCCATACTCGTTTTAATATCTATTGAACATACTTAATAGATTTTAAAATAACCTGTTTATTGAAGATATTAATTTCAATCACCAAATGTAAGGAAAATGGTTCTAAAGTATTTGCATCATGAATTGTATCCATCTCTCTTGGATGTCCGGTCCATATCAGCCTCTAAAATTTTTACCAAAAACATGGCCATACTCGCCCATAAGCTAACACCCGGTAAAAATAGTTTGCACACATTTTTCATTTAGTCTCTTTAATATTTGGACAAAGTTATTTAGTCCCTATATTTAAAACATTGTATAAATAAGTCCTCAATTGAAAGTTTTTGTTCCTCCTAGCAAGAAAATATTTTGGTATCTATATTAAAATGTTTCCAATCAAATCCCTACATGTCAATTTGGTTTTTAATTAGCAATATTAGCAAGGTCTGAAGTGGGCTATGAAAAACCATATTAACAAGTATGTAATTTTATTATTCATACTCGTTTTAATATCTATTGAACATACTTAATGGATATTTATTATGTCATATTAAATGGTTATTTATTTTATACTCAGTTCATTATTATTATTATTATATTTATTGAGAGTCTTTGGGTCTTCGGACTACACAATCTGAGTAACTATTTTTCACTATATAATAATAAATTAAATTAAAATTATTAGGATTCGAATCTGTTTATTATGTGATACACAACCATTAATTAAGGTGATGTTATTGTTTTTGGATGCACAAAAAGAATCACACGTTTTCACTACTAATTGTTTAACACATCTTTAAAATTCACATCGCTTGATTTTCTTGTTATTTTAATTAGATATGCTTCAAATTTAGAAAAAAAATGGAAAATCATTAGAAGTTCTCGAGTGAAGATCCAGTTCGTGCATTGATTGTAACCCAAACAGATGGTGGCAAAATGAAAAAGGACCGATTATGTTGCGGCTGTTTAATCTGATACGAGGGCAATCCTAGACGCCGGACATTTCCATCTTGGAAGTCAAATATGCCAAAATCATGACCCTCCCCTATAAAATCACAGCAGGTCCTAAAATGATCATCAGTAAATTAAATACAGTTCCCTTTGCAGTTTGTGAGATCTAGAGCAGATATTGAATGTGAGCAATGCCAGCCCAAAAACAAGATTTTATCCCCCGGACTGTCTATCTCTGATCAATTTGATCGCCCTGCCTTCACCTTGTAAGCTAGGAATTTACGAGTTTGGTATCGATAATCAGGGACCGTATATTTCCTGAACCGACCTACCAATAATAGATGTTCGTTTAAGCTTGCCAAGTACCATTGCTTGTGTCCCCATTTTGGTGGGGGCAGGAGGTGGATCTGCAAGACGGATCAATGTTGGAGGGTTTTCTGTTTCACAGATCGAAACTCTTCCCATTTTATCAACTACGTAGAAATTTCCTGCACGAAACATAATATCTTTATAACTCACTGGTGGTGAGATTTCTGCAACGACAGTCCAAGGTATATCTCCTGATGTACAAAAGGCTAAACTTTCTTTCTGACCACATATAATCCCGACCATGAAGTTGTAAGCCGATGAAGGGGTTGCAGACAGTATGGCTTTTCTGATAAACCTGTCTTTTAGGCGTCGTTTGGATGCTGTAAGGGAATTCGGGTCATGCCAGTTCTGTGGATTTTGAAACATCATTACAGTAGGGAAATTAGGGAAGGTGGATAACGAAGGAAGGTCAATTCTGGCTTTGGTTTACGGATTCAAGAGATAAATCGCCGGGCTCTCCTCGACCATAACCAACCTACAATGTGAAGTACCACAACACCGTTTTCGTACGCTTCAGGCAAGTCCAGGCGGTATGTTTTTCCGTCTGCAAGGTTGTAGAAGCCTCTGTGGTTTGGACTGTCTTTTCGGTGAGGTAGTAATAGCCATGAAAGTTCACAAAGAAGATTATGAGGCTTCTTAGGTAGAGCTGATTGCCATGATTTGCAAACAGCTCTAATGTAAATGTAATCCACATAATTGGTTGCCTTTTCGGCAATGATTTGAAACAGTTCCGATAGAAGGTCTGACCACCTTGACATGATTCTTGCTTTGGCCCAATGTTTTGGCCTTTCAATTAAATAAAGGTCATATTGTGGCCCAAGCTTCTGGCCTCAGGTATCTTGGCCTTAGATCATATTGGTGTGTTGTTTTTATGTGAAATCTTCATGTGTTTTGGCTTTTGTTCCTTGCATTTTCTTCTTCTCATAAATTGTATCTTCTCTCTTTTGCTAAATGAATCTTCGCAGCTGTATTTATCTTCTTTTTTAATACATTTCACGGCATTGGAAGCAACGTTGAATTTGTAGGAAAGCATGTTGGAGTTATCACAGTAATTAAGGAGCATTTCATTAGGACATAACAGATCATAGATGACTACTTTTGCGTCCAGGGTGCTTGCTTACTTTTAGGATGTTGATGCCCATGAGGTTGTGTTGGTTAGGGAAGGTGGATGATGAAGGGAGCTCAATTCTGGCTTTTGTTAATGGATTTAACAGAAAAATTGCAGGGCTTTCCTCGACATAACCAACCATATGAAGAACCACAATAATGTTTTTCATAAGCTTCAGGCAATTCCAGGCGGTATGTTATTCCAACTGCAAGATTGTAGAAACCTCGGTGGGTTGGGCTGTTGTTTTGGTAAGGAAGCAATAACCATGGAAGTTAACAGAGAAGATCACGAGATTTCTTCTGTAAAGATGATCTCCATGATTTGCAAACGGCTCTGACACAAAGTTAATCAACATAGTTTGTATGCTTTTGGGTAATGAGTTGGAGCAATTCTGGTGGAAGATCGGATCATCTGGACATGATTCTTGTGTGTTTGCCAAAAGTTAGCTTTCTGAACTAAACAGAGGGTCTTATTCTCCAAAGCTTCTGGCCTCAGGTATCTTGGGTTTGGAGAAATGGTCAAATGATGTGTTGTTTACTTGTTTCTATGTGCAATCTTTTTGTGTTTTGGCAATCTCCTTATATTTTAGCTTTAGTTCCTGGCATTATTCTCTTGTCCATTTTACTATCTTTTTTCTTTGATGATAACTAGTCTTGGCATTTGTATTTGTCCGTAGTTATTTTGGTTACATACGCTGCATTATTAGAGCATAACAAAGGAATTCTCACTAGTTTTTGCATCCAGAAGTACTCCGGGAGGAATAAAAACAAGATGTTTGTTTCTTCTTAATTTCCTGCATTGGTTTCAAATGTTTCTCAATCTAGTCTTAGAGGTTGTCAATTGAGAATTGATTTGGGGACTGTTTGCGAATAGTATGAATTGCTACGATGCTACTAGATGGAAGCGCATGGCGTAAGTGGTTAGGGACAAAGGTCTTTGGTAGTTTCTTTAAGCCAATCACTTCTTTTCTTTCCTGCAATTAAGGTGATGATATTTTCAACACAGGGTTTGAATGGTCGATGGGTGATGGCTTGATGCTATTTACTTGTATAGCAAAGAAAGAAAACAAACTGCATATTTTCAGTACCAAGTATTGAACAACTTAATTTAAAATTCACATTCCATGTGCTGGTAGTCGTAGAACAACTTAATTGTCTTGATATTCATCAGATATGCTTCAAAATCAAAACGAAAAAGAAAAATCAATATAAATTCATAAATGAGGGCAGAGTTCATGCCTTCATGGACTAATTGTAAGCCAAACAGGTGGTGGCAAAACGAACAAGGACCAATTTCGTTTCAGGCTTTCCTGATGAAAGAAAATGCAAGGACTGCGCGGCTGTTTAATCCGATACAAGGGTAATCCTAGACGCCGGACACTTCCATCATGGAAGTCGAAAATGCCAAAATCGTGGCCCTCCCATTTGAAATCAGAACAGACCAGAAAGTTATCATCAGTAAAATAAATGCAGTCCCCTTTGCATTTTTTGAAATCCAGAGCTGATACAGAATGAGAGCAATTCCAACCCAAAAACAACATTTTATCCTCCAAACTCTCCACCTCTGACCATTTTGATTCCCCTGTCTCTAGCTTGTAAGCCACGAATCTAAAAGTTTCGTATCCATAAACAGGAACATTATATTTCCTGAATCGACCTACCAATAATAAATGCTCATTTAAACTTGCCAAGTACCATTGCTTGTATCCTATTTCTGGTGGGACGTGTGGTGGATCTGCAACATGGATCAATGATGGAGGCTTATCTGTTTTGCAGATTGAAACTATTCCTATTTTATCAACTACGTAGAAATTTCCTGCATAAAACATAATATCTTTATAATTTGCTGGTGGTGAGGTTTCTTTAATGATAGTCCAAGCTAGGTCTCCTGATGCACAAAAAGCTAAACTTTCATTCTTGGTACCGTATATGGCCATGACCATGAAGTTGGAAACCAATGACGGATCTGCAGACACTCTGACTTTTCTGATAAAACTTTCTCTTAGGCGTAGTTTGGACGACATAATGGAACTCGGAGGCAGGTTCCGTGAATTTTGGAACACCACTTGAGTAGGAAAATTAGGGAAAGTGGATAAAGAAGGACGCTCGATTCTGGCTTTTGTTAAAGGATTTAGGAGAAAGATTGTGGGGCTTTCCTCGACCACAACCAACCAACCATGTGAAGAACCGCAGCACCGTTTTTCATAAGCTTCAGGCAATTCCAGACGGTATGTTTTTCCGTCTGCAAGGTTGTAGAAGCCTCGGTGGCTCGGGCTGTCATTTTCATAAGGAAGCAATAGCCATGGAAGTTGACAGAGAAGATCATGAGGTTTCTTTGGTAACGCCGATCTCCATGTTTTGCAAACGATTCTGACCCTAAGGTAATCAACATAGTTGGTTTGCTTTTGGGTTATCAGTTGGAGCAATTCTCGTGGAAGATCTGACCACCGGGACATGATTCTTATGTGTTTTCCAAAAAGTAAACTTTCTGAATTAAATAGAGGTCTTATTGTCCAAAGCTTCTGGCGTCGGGTATCTTGGATTTGGAGAAATGTTCGAATAATGTGTTGTCTACTTATTTCTATGTGCATTCTTTTTGTGTTTCGGCAATCTCCTTGTGTTTTAGCTCTAGTTCGTGGAATTTTCTTTTTGTCCGTTTCACTATCTTTTTCCTTGTAAATAAAGTCCTGGCATTTGTATTTGTCCATGGTTTATCTTTGTTAGGTACCCTGCATTAGAAAATAACAAAGCACACGACAATAGTTTTGCATCCTGCAGGAATACTCCAGAAAGGAATTAGAACAAGTTGTTTGTTTCTTGTTAATTTCCCCGCATCGGTTTTAAATGTTTCTCAATCTAGTTTTAGAGGTTGTCGATTGTGAATTGATTTGGAGACCGTTTGCAGATAGCATGAATTCCTACGATGCCACTAGATAGAAGTGCATAGCGTAGGTGGTTAGGGACAAAAGTCTTTGGTTCAGTATTTTTTTCTGCAGGAACAGTACCTGATCTGTTTCTTGTGTAAATTTCACTTCTCAGTTATTCCATAAAGTGAGTTTTGCTTCTTAAGTAAATTAATCCGTAAATAAAAAGAATCTGAATATAGAGGACTAGGTTGAAGTAGCCACTAGTGAATTGGAATGTGACTAGATAAATTGAGAGCATCCTTAATTGAGGCTGCGTTTCTTCAAGGTAAGAAGTTACTTCTGTGACGACAAAGAGATAAAAAGAAAGGAAATTTTGGAGCATTTCTCCTGAGACTATATATTTACACCTGACTCACGGACTGATTGTAACCCAAACAGGAGGTGGTAAAATGAACAAAGACCTATTGCGAAATAGGCTTCGCTTATGGTAAAAGATGTTAATAAAGCATGGCTGCTTAGTTGGATACAGAGGTAAACCTAAGGTTCGGACACTCCCATCCTCCAAGTCAAAAATGCCAAAGTCATGACCTTCCCAGACATGATCTCTACTGGTTCTCATATAATCATCAGTGAAATAGATGCAATTCCCTTTGCAGTTCGTGTAATTTTGAGCAGAAATGGAGATTGAGCTATTTCAACCCAAGAACAGCATGTGATCAGACAAGTTCTCCAGCTTCAACCAGTTTGTCCCATCAGCATCTAGCCCATAAACATCGAATCTATCGGTTTTGTACTCATAGTCAGGAATGACTTTCCTGTACCTAGCCACCAATAATAGTTCTTCATTTAGACTTGCCAAGTACCATTGCTTATATCCCATCCGTGGTGAAATCTGTGGTGGATGAGGAAGATGAATCATAGTAGGCATGTCTGCCATAGTGCAGACTGAAATTCTACCCATTTGATCAACCACATAGAATTTCCCTGCACAGAACATTATGTCCTTATATCGAGCAGGCTGTGATGTTTCATCAATCAGAGTCCAATCTACATCTCCTGATCTACAGAAGGCTAAATTTTCGTTGAAACCATAAATTATTGCAACAACGAAACTGGCAGTCAACGAAGGATCAGCAGATATTGTTGCTTTAATGACAAAAGTGTCACGAACATAAAGCTTCTCTCTCCTGACGTAGTTCACATTCAAGTTCCTGGAGTTCTCGAAGACTACTTCAGTGGGGAAAGTGGAGACACTAGATAAAGAAGGAAGCTCAATTCTGGCTCTTGTTAAGGGATTTAAGAGAAAGATTGCTGGGCTGTTTTCCACCATAATTAGCCATCCATGAGATGATCCACAGCAACGTTTTTCGTAAGTCTCCGGCAATTCAATACTGTATGTTTTGTCGTCAGGAATGTTGTAGAGCCCACGGTGATCTGGATTGTTTTGGTGGTAAGGTAGCAATAGTAATGGAAGTTGGCACAGAACATTGTGTGGTTTTTTTGTTATGGCAGCCTGCCATGACTTGCAGGCGGCTCGAGTAAAAAGATAATCTACATAGTTAGTGTGTTTTTCAGCAATTAATTGCAGAAGTTCTGATGGAAGTTCCGACCACATGGACTTGTTTGATATTTCTCAGCTTTGCTAACTGTTTTTCTGGGTGTTTGATTTGGTGAATGGTCTGAATGCTCTGCCTTAATCCTGACCATTGGTGCTTTAAATTTATAATTTAAGGCAAAGGCATCTGCCATTCTAGTTTGTCCAAATTCATTTTTAAGGTTTTGGCCTTTCTCAAATTTCCATCTCATGTATACTCTTATCTCATCATCACCCTGCCGGCAACGCCAATTTAAGAAGACTTGTAGAGCTGCGTTCACAATATCCCACGTACTAAAAATGAGCCAACGCAACCCTTACCTCACACTTCACTGTCAAACTTGAAATTTCTATTCGGCTAATTATTAGTCAAAAGAAAACGTCTTTAATCTTTCTTTTCCTATTTAAATGTCCAATAGTTCAGATACTTTATAGCCAATTATTCTTTCTATAATTAAATTTTTTGTTATTTATATATGAAGGACGTTCCTAGCTCGTTGTACATTTGACAATGAAGAAAACGCCATTATCAGAACTATCAAGGAAACTGAAGAAACTTCCAGCCCTGTTTCGATTTGACCCTTCCCCACTTCTCTGATTGCCCTCCACCAGGTAAACAAAGTTAATGCTGTCTACTTCACAGACTAAATTTTGTATGCCATATTTATTGGTTGTATCTAAAAGCTGGTACAACATTAATTTGGTGCGCATTCAATATATCAGATTAAAAAGATGAAATGCTGTAAAGAAAATGTACAGTGTCAGTGTTGTTCTTGCAGGAAATGTAGACCAAGGAAAAAAATGGAATTGGATGTAGACCAAGGAAGAAAAATGGAATTGGAAGAGAGAATAGTATTAAGGTAGATAATTGATATTGAGTTTCTATCCAAAAGATTTAAGCTTTGTGATGGGTTGCTCATTCTCAATTTTATATATTATTTATTATTAGTTTAACTATTCAATGTGAGATATGTTCTAACACTTCCCCTCGCTTGTAGTCCATCTTTTTGGGATCTGTCAAGTGGCTTGAGCTTCGGGATCTTTCTTGAGCCGTTGGGTCTCTTTAAGGCTCCGATATCATATTAAGTTAGATAATTGAGATTGGATTATATCCAAAAGACTTAAGTCTTGTGATGAATAACACTTTCTCAACTTTATATATTATTTAATAAAGATATGTTATAACAAATAGCAGTCCATGGCAGTAAATAAAATTATAGAGGAAGAGCATGCACGCTAGCTAGGAGTATTGAATGCGGGAATCTTTGTCTGACTATGAAAAGTGATGATAGCAGGCATCCTTTTACTCTGCTTATTAAAGTTCGTCCGACCTTCCATCTTCACACATTTACTCACCTCAACAAACTTTCTCTAGAAACAACATAGAAAGGAGGGAAAATTTTTGTTTCTTTGCCACCGACTCGGCAATGAAAATATATATAAAAAAAAATTTGAATGAACAGATTATCTATTGTTATATAATACCATGAGTTTTCTATTTGTCATTTGGATTTCTAATTGTCTTCCATGTCTTTAAAATTTTTTGAAATATTCAATATATGTGTAATTCAGACTATGATATTTTTTAAACTGAAATATCTCCAGGTGAAATGCAAAAAAAAAAAAAAAAAAATCTTAAACTTTAAAAATAAAACATGCAGATAATATAATTTTAAATATTTTTTTAATTTTAACACAAGATTTTTCAATTAAAAAATTTGCAGATGATCGAAAAAATATATTAAATATTTGAAAAATATATGAAAAATTCAATTTATTATATGTCCGATTGAATTATTTATTTCAAAAATCTTTAACATGTAATTTTAACTTTGCTTAATTATTTCTCTCCATAAAAACAAAATTGCTTACCGCACTTAGAAATGTGATTCAAGAGAAGTGATGATGGAGATGGGGATGGGAAAAGGAGTCGATTTTCGAAGAATCCACCGACCAAATTGTCTTCTTTTGTTTAATTTAATGTGAAATGTTGCTTACTTATGTACTCACACAGATTTTTTTTTCCCAATTTTTTTTGCTCATGATGCCTCGATCTTGTTCATAATTACCTCATAACTTAATTTGCAAGGATTTAACTACAACTGATGATGCATGGAGACCTAGCTAGCATTAATTTCCCTTCTACTTCAGCAGCAATTATGAAAATACGATGCAACAAAAATAATAGATGACTGTCCACTAAAAGTAGGGACTAAACCAATACAAACTGCGTAAAGAAATAAAATACAACCCTTTTCTTAGAAGATGAAGGTCCAAAATTTATCTCTGTTATAAGTTGGTGATTTTTAAGATACATTTTTCATTCTTTTCAGCCAACGAAATTGATGAAAACAAAAGAAGAAATGGGGTCGTCAGTCGTCACCATCTACCTATTCAATCTGAATATACTTACAGGGGAAGCAGGAGAACAAGAGATTGTCAAGGTAGGCTCCGAGATGCAGATTTGAAAGAAAGAAAGAAAGAAAGAAAATCTGAACAAACTAACAGCGAAAGCGGTCGATCCAGACCTAGTTAAAATCCCTGACTATTATTCTATTTAACTTTTGTTTTCTACTTAACTTTAAGAAGAAGAGACAAAAGGGCAAACCTTCTGGCAAACCTGTTCAAACATAGAGATGGCTTGAAAAAGCAAAAGAAATGAAAGAGCACTAAGATATTGGCACGGCTCAATCAAAGACATCGACCACCAATATTCTTTCAAGCTTCGATCTGCTTGAAAAAACGTAGTGCTTGTTTCTCTGAGTGAACCGGGCCAACATCGCAATGGCACTTTCAAGCACACAAACATAAACTTCGTCCCATCCTGCGTCCACAAGGAGCTGGTTTTTGTATTGCAGGAGAGAAACAAGGCTGGAGAGAGAGAGAACTAGCTGATCATGAACCAAATGAGAATCCGTCCTCTATCAAATTTAAGCAAATCGAGAAAGAGAAAGAGAGGCTGTAATTTTACAGGTGTGCATTAAAAACCCTGGACAACCTAAACCCGCATCATGGACAGAGCATTGAATGGCAACCCACGAGCCAGTCGGCCACCACTCCGTAATATTCCCTGCAATAAATTTCTTTTGTGTATAAATCGGGGTGTTGGCCTTGGCCCCCTCATCATATTAATAATGGGAATGGCTACATAATTCTGTACAAGTCTCTCTTTTGACCACCCTAGACGAACAAAGCAGAGCAAACTGATCAGCACTGCAACCGTTTTTAATGAGGGAATCGTCCCATAGGGTCATAACTCTCCACTCTGAACTGCATCTTAATTACTTTTTGTGGAATCTCATCCGTTTTTTGTCCGTTTATTACCCAATACACTTGAATTTAAGAGTAGGAAATTTGAAACTTATTTATTTTCAGTAGGCAGTTTCAGAAAATATGAGTAAATTATAAATTAGTCCCTCTTGTTTTGATAAACTAATTAATTATTTCTTTCATTTTAAAAATTAATTTTTTAGTTTTTCATGTTTTAATTTCATCAATAATTTAGTCATTTTATCAGTTTTTTATTAGATTAGTATTATTTTTTTCAAACTACTCTTTTTCAATGTCTTATTTCTCTCTTTCATCTTTTTTTTCTCTATCCTCAATTTAAAATAAACAAAGATAATTTTGAAAAAAAATCACTAATCTAACAAAAAAACTGATAAAATTATAATTTATTGATGGAATTGAAGCATTAAGGACTAGATAATTAGTTTTTGAAATGAAAAAATTAATTCATTCATTTTTCTAAACAAGAAGGACTAATTTATAATTCACTCCAGAAAAAGTTGGGGAAAACACAAGAGAGAAGATGGTTTGGGCCTACAATGAGCCCTTTCTTCAACTATTTGACGAAAGCTTGATATTGGGCTTGCGCTAGTTTTTACTTTATAGCTTCGGTTTATTTTATCGGGTTATTATTGTAAAAAGCTCCAATTTTGAGAAAAGTTTTGAGAACGTTTTCTAGAGGTAAAAGGTCAAAGTCCAACGATTTATCATGACTTTTTCGTTCAATATTTTCGTGTTTTAAATATTTATCAGCTAATTTTTTGGAGTAAGTTATAATTAATTCTTCTATTTTTAAAAAACCAACTAATTAGCATTTTTTTAATTTATTATTTAGTTTTTTAACGGACGTTGATCATTTTTATCATGATTTTTTTTTGTCACATATTTTTTTTATAAATATTTATATGCTATATTTTCAGAGAAAATTATAAATTAGTTTCTCTATTTTAAAGAAACAAATTAATTAATTTTTTATTTAAAAAATTAATTATTTAGTCTATTAATCAGTGTTGATCACATTTAGTTTAATATTATTTTATTTCATAAAATGTCATCTTTTTTCATCAATCTTTATGTATTTTTTACTTTTTTATATTTTTAATTTCTCAAAATAAAAAATAAATTAAATTAAAAATAGCAAAAATATTAGATTACAAAAAAAATTAAAAGATAAAAATTAAATAATTAATTTTAAAATAAGAATGACTAATTAATTTGTTTCTTGAAATTAAAGGGACTAATTTATAATTTACTCTATTTTTTGGTTACTCTTTCCTAATCAAATTACTCTATTTTTTGGTTACTCTTTCCTAATCAAAATCCTTCTTCTTCTTTTCCAAATCGGAATCTAATTTATAGTCCTTCTCTTAATGCTCTTCTTTAGTAAGCAATACTGCAGTTCCTTCTTTCGCAAGTCATTATATATGCATATAGATGATTACAACCCTCTGAAGCATCGATATAGGTTATTTTGTTTTTCAGGACCACGCAATATCGTTTTAAACAGTTCAACCTGCAGTAAATATTTTTCATCTTTCTCTTCCCAATGGTATCCTTGGCACTTTCGTTGGATAGGTCAACATGGAATGGCCAGGTAAACGTTCTAACTCTCCCTTTTCTAGTCATCGCAATTTTTGTTGATCTCCTACTTTTTCTTTATTCTGTTTCTTGCAAAGCTTATATATATATATATATAGACACACACACCAATAAAAAACCTTAACGTACATGACGATAAGCTACTAGGGTTTTGATTTCTTTCAATCACTTCAAACTCAAAGACTGCACAGCTTCTTTTTTCTCTCTTTTTTTTTAATATATAAAATTGTTTTTATTTTAGTCATAAGGAGAAATTCCATTCTAACTTCTTATGAAGGGGATATTTAACTTTACTTTTTTGTTTTTTGATTCAAATTTCAAGATTTTTTTCAAGTACATTAAAAAATTTAATTTCGATTAATGTATAAATTAATAAAAAAATGCTTTTAAAAAAAAAAGAAAAACAATAAGTCCTCTTCGTAGTTGATGCTACAGTTTTGGATTTATTAAGCTTCCTTTATATATTTGATTGACATAAGCTAGATTGACAAGATATTGTTTGTTCAATTATATTATATGAATTTTTAATTTCTGAAAGGAAATCGAAACCTCACACAGCCACACTGGTACAGCGATAGTAATTTTTCACTATGTGCATGTGTTTAAATAACAGTAATATATTCGAAAATAAATTAACCATGAACTTTTGACTCTATGGTTTTTTTTCCCCCTATCAAATGCTATTTTATGGTTACATAAGTTAATTCCCAATTTCGATTTTCGCAGATCACAGTCAAAGCTGGTTTTTCTCTCTTTCCAGTTATGTTGTTCTTCTTCAATTTACTGCTTTGCTTTGGCGCTGTCCACACTGTTGAGAGATTTCCTACAAGTTTTTTGCTTATGAGTACGGCATATTTGGTAAATTTAATGCAGCTATCCTTGTGGGAATTGGACTCAGTTGATAAGGTAATCAAATATTTTAAAAAAAAAAAAAAACATAAAAGAAACGGATTCTCCTAACTGTATATTTTATAATAGACAAAGTAATTGATGCCATTCTTATTGTTTTTGGAAATTCATCTAAAAATTTACTCCTGAGGAATTAATCTTTGACAAATTACTGTAAAAAAATAAATAAATATTACTGTTTGATTATATGTTTCTAATCGTTATATAGCAGGAAGACTCAGAGGAGTTGTTTTCTATTGCTTCGACAGCACAAGAGCATCAGGTATGTATCCCTCTGCTTATGTGGCACTGTCTAATTCATAAACCATAATAATAAGGATAATTGGTTATAAAATACAGTGAAATTTTTTCAATAAGAAAAATAATTTTAATTTTTTTATTTTGATTTGAATTTTTAAACTTTTTTTCAGTCTACATTAAGCATTTTCATGAATTTATTTAATTTCAAACAATATTTTATGAAATGGTACATATTGTTAATTTAACGATTCACATGTTTTACATATAGAAGAGAATAATTTAATTGTGAATAAAAAAATCAAGACCCAAATTAAAAAATAAAAGATTAAAGTTGCTTTTTTTATGGATAAAAAAAATCATGATACTTTATTAGCAATTAGCACAGTATAAGTTTTTGTTTTCGAATATTCTGATTTCTTTCAGCTTCCATGTTTGTGAATGATATCATATTAATCCAATCTTTCCTTTCATCTTCTTCTCTAGATGACGTTTACAGTTTCTCCATTCGATCAGCCACATGCCGCCCTACCCTTCCTTATCATATTGTCCTCCTTGACAGCGTTTTACACAATAGGAACGAATGTAATCGTAGGCTCTGGATTCATTCTTACAGCATGCGCATCATCCTTGGCCCTGCATCAACTGATGTTTCCATCTCATTTCAATTCATCAACCTTTGATTTCTGGACTGAATGGACAGGTCTGAAACTGTGCAAGGTAATTTTAAAAATTAAATTAAATTGTTTCTAAACGATACTGTAACCCGCACGATCAGCACATCAATGACAAGCTTGATGGTCATAATTTTTATGGCTTGAAATTGTGATTAGGGTCACGATTTAATTTTGGAATAGAAATCTTATAATACTTAAATAATAATTAGTATAAATCATTTCATACACAGAAGTAAAGAAGAGAAAATTTTTTTTAAAAAAAATTAAGCTCGTATGAAATTTTTTTTATTATTTTTAATGAGCCTAGATATAATTTTTTTATTATTATTATACATGTTCATTAATTACTTATTCAGTGTTATAAAATTTCTAAATTTGGTGTGTACCGAAAAACAAAATTTAATACACATAAGTTTATTAATCATTCATTTTATCTAATTCAAATTTATCATGACGTGGAACATGGAATGTTACAATTATCCAGATGTTGGTGCCTGCTTTGTTGAAAGACAGAAGCCAACAATCTGAAGTACGAAGTCACTATATCTTTGGTCTTTTGGATGACGAGAGAGAGACAAACGAGGAGAAAAGTTTGATTTGGGAAGCTGAACATCTGGACAGAGTGGACGAGGTAGGAGTGGGTGAGAACAACGTCCAAAATCAAGGGGCTAAAGTTGAAGGATTGAAAGTAAAAGGGCCAGAATTTGGCGTCGTCGTTGATAGTAAAACAGACGAAGACGAATGGGAATACATAACAAACATCTCACTTTATGTCAAAGAAAGCCAGAGTGTGAGTTGGAGATTGGGTTTTTAATTCTGAAAAAAACAGAGAGATATGATTAGAACTCGATTGAGTTTTTGTTTTTTTTTTGTTTTTTTTCCTCCCTTAGCTTGTAAAGTCAAAGCTAGTTCGGTATTTGATATTTTTCTTAAAAGAAAAAAAAGAAAAAAGAAAAAGATAAAAAGAAGACCGAATTCGTTTCGCTCCTTTTTTGGGCACATGTGTGTGTTTTGGTCTACAATTTAGATCCATTGCTTGACATATTTAAATATTTTTGGTACAATAATTTATTTTCAAACTGGAATTCTTTTTAATTATCGAAATGTGAAAATCTTTCTAGGGTGATAAACTATATTCTCAACCCTTTAGGTTTTGCAATATTAGTCTTGGTAGGTTAATTTTTGTGATGTGGACCTCAAAGTTGTCTTTCTTTTAGTTTCTTTATGGATGAGTCTCAGAGTTGTCAAGAAGTTCTGATGGATTTTTGGATTTTTTATTTATTTAGTATTTTGAAGTTTGGTTTAGAAATAAAAATTAGAACAGTGGAAATGCAAGTTGAAGTTTTATTTCAATTAAACATTGTTTTACTTCTATTGAAAGAAGTGAAAATAAAAATAAAAAAAACAAATAAATATTTTTAAAAATAATAATATATTATTTTTATTTATTTTATATCACTTATTTCTATCATTCTGGTTATTTTCATTACCTAAACAACCACTACCACTCTTCTGCCTTGACAAGTGGAAAAAAATTCTTTTTTTTATTATTCTAATGCCACTCTTTTGTTAATATTTTTTTTTACTCCACTTTCTATAACGGTGGTATTAATGTTAAAAAAATATATCATTGTTATTATTATAAAATTAGTACCATCACAATGTTTTTCACTACTACCACAATTACTTTTATCATTTTATATTTAGTTTTTAAAATATAGTATTATTATTACTATAGTATTATTATTGTCACTATCTCCTCCACCAATATAGCAATTATTTTTATCATTTTATTATCATTATAATTGATGAAATAGTTTTTAATTATTATTTTTATTTATCTTAAAAAACAAATGTTAAAAATTTGAAATTTGATTTCCAATTTTTATTATTATTTCAAATAGATATTGAAATGAAAATGTTATTTCAATTCTTTAATTTTTGATTTGGATTGTTATTTTTTTTAAGACTTTTTATTCCTTGTCACCAAAAGACTGATGAGGATTTGTGTAGAGTAATACCACCTATCTAAGATTTAAAAAATAACACAAACCAGGGAGGAAAAAAGAAAAGGAAAATCTTTTGTCGGCTTCGGCTGGTATGCCAACAGAGACCATTAATATAGGCCTTTTCAGTTCCAGCGACATCGCCGTAAAATAAAAGGCCCTCTTTTCTTTTTGTAATGGGCTCAGTGCTGGTTTAACTGGCCATGGACCAGACCACGGTCTGTAATTTTCAGTTTTGGACAGAGCAATAGAAATGGCTTAAAGCGCAGCAAAAAGATGGCGAGCTCGGCGTACGTTCCGTCACGCTGTAGCATACCCCAAAACTTTATCGAAGAAATGACACAAACTGACTCCACATTGGACTGTGATGGGAAAGAAATGGTACGGGTTAATTTACAACATCGTACACTGTTCGAATCATTATTTTTTGGACTGCACAGGATTTTTTAAAAAAAGTAGGGCATAGGTTGCTAGATCCAGAGAGACCAGTCACTGTCTAGTTCCCTGATAGGCTAGCTTACTGCAGTGGATGACGAAGCATCTTTCTGGCCCATCCTTAAGACTTGTGGTAATTTACATGTATCGGTCTCGAAAGTAGGCCAAATAGGCACTAGTGACAACCCACTATTCATTACTGCCAAATTACAGTATTGCAGGCAACGGCCATGCTTCATAATCTTCGTTTGCTTTCCTTTTATCACTTTTAATAACGTGCTACAACTTCAATGCTTATAGCCCTCGAGAAGAAAATGTTATTTTAACACAAAAGGACTAATAGATTCAGTGGATCAGTGCCCAATCTCGGTATTAACATAACACATGCAAAATGAGTCGGATTAGGCAGAAATAGAATTGCAAGGGAGATTGGGCAATCGTGGCCTTGAAGTTGTTGGGGGTTAGGTGGCTTACTTTAAGCACGAATTCACTATACTTGACAATGATGTTTGAATCTTGGAATGTTTTAGTAAATTATAAACTAGTCCCTTTAGTTTTCTAAAACAATTAAATAGTCCCTTTAATTTTAAAAACTAATTAATTAATATCTATTATTTTATATCTATTTCTGACTTAATCTTTTTCCTTCTTTTCAAATTTATTTATATTTTTATTTCAAAAAATAAAAATATAAAATGATCGATGAGAAAAAATATTTTTTAAAAAATAATATTAAATTAATTATAATCAATACTAATAAAAAAATTAATTAATTAGTTTTTAAAACAAGAATTACTATTTAATTAATTTTATTAAAAGCAATAATTTATAATTTATTTGAAGTCTTTTCTTTTTTTCCAAAAAAACATCTTTGACTCTTGGAATTAGTAGAATAAATCCTATATCCTGGTTTTTTTTTTTTTTTTAAAATGTGTTTAGGATTAGTCAACTTTGACGTTTTTTTGACTTTTGTCTTGACGAATACACTGAAAATTACTCAAATATGAATTTCTTAGGCATCATCAACGAAATGATTGATATAAACACACATATGTGTCAGTGATTTCTCTAGGTCCCTATATACGCACGTCAACATCTTACATGCTTGTGTTTTCAGAACATTGAAAGAAAAGTAATGCCCGATTATGTTGACAAGGTTAGCATCCTCAGGTGAGAATTCAACTCGTGTTTATTTTTTGTTTTGTTTTTGTTTTTTTTTTTCCTTTTCCTAGTAGCTACATCATCTAAAAAAATTATAATATTCCACTAAAAATCAATATATATTTTATGGACTCGTTTTAAAAAGAAATACAAACATGAAAATAAAAAAAAATAACACCCCTAGACATATTAATCAGAAATATTAAAAATGATAAGAATATTTTTATTTAAATTTAAAAATATTTTTTAAAAATTTTCTATAAAAAATTCCTCTCTTAAAAAGTTAGTGATTGCGCTCATGTTATTCTAAAATTTCTTTACTTAAAGGTAGGGATTGTGTTTATTGTCGTTTACTAGAATGTTTAACAAATTTTGGACAATGCACTAAAAAACTATATTTATTATTTTATACAAACATGTAGGCTAACAGCTGTGTGTTTAGCACCTTTTTTAGAAAAATAGATGTTATGTTGAACTTGATGATTTAGAGATAATTTGATATCATTTGAGATTTAATTATTCTTAAATATTTTTTAAAAATAATTTTAATTATCGAAAAAAAACTAAAATGCTTAAAATAATATTGTTTTAAATATTTTACTTATCAATAAATACTTTAATTACAAAAAATAAAAAAATAATCTAATTTATAAAAAAAAATTAATAATTTAAGGTTCAAATCTTACATATTTGTAACGCAAATCCTATTTTACCACAATCTCAATAATTTAGGGGATAAATTAATGCCTTTAAACCGTGAAAAATAGTGCTTATAATAATAGTCCGTCTGGTGAGTGATGACTCATTGTACATTTTATTTTAACAGCCACATGCAATAAAAAAAAGCAACTCAATTCCAATTGGCATACATATCTGTGCAAGGTGAGTGGAGAGTTGAGATAACATAAGAAATTTATTGGTTAGGAGTGGAGATGTGGAGGTGCTTGATGCCATCCAGTGTAAGATTATCCATAGAAATAGACCCTTTCGTTCTTTCCTTTTAAAAAATCAGTGCACTTCGCCAATCAACTTTTATTAGTCTAAACATAGAGATACGCCATCTCTCTATTGAGATTCTTTTTATTAAATAATGTAGTTTCAAGTTGTTGGTGATCGATAAGTTATTTTATTTGGTAATAAAAAAGTTTATCATTAAAACTTGTTTTCTTTTATTCAATGATAAAATATTTCTTAGCTTAATTATTGGATTGACCGAAACTTAATACTTCCATGGACAATCTTATTATTAAATTACGATGAAATTTACATTTTATGTTTAAAAAATGTCACATCACCTAACAACAATTTTTTTCCACTCAAACTTAAATATTGTTGACATTGCATTTTATAGATTTTAAATTAATGCCTTATTTTAAATCCATATATTTGAAATAAATATATCCATAAATCAATCAATTAATCCAAATTAGTGTATTTATAATTTTGAAAAAAGAGTGTTTTTAGGTAAAAAAAAAAATGAAAGTTTGCTTAGATAGGATAAGTGAAAGTTTGTTTTGAAAATAATAATAATTTATTATTTATTTGACAGGAAGAGATATTTTATATATCAGTGAAAAATTAATACGTATATATTATATGGAACTAGTTTATTAAGGAAAAAAATAAATTTATTGGTATAGTAAACTTAAAATCAAAAAATAAAAAAAATGTTCACACCTTCTTAATCACAGAACATTTTCAAATAATTGGAGATACTTTCATTTTTCCAAGAAAGAAAAGAGTAATTTAGTTTTTTGTTATATATGTGATACAAGCAAAGCGAGAAAGCATTGTTAGAATCCACGTAGATGCGCTTATGGGTGCGCATTACGCCAACAAATTAACGTCTTCATTTTTCCTTAACCTCCGAATTAATCATGTTTGTAAATTACTCAATAAACGGAGACAAAGCGAGAGAGAAATAGAAAGAATTAGACACAGCGCTAATTTTTCTCTTTCTTCATGCAAACGGTCTCGAATTTCTTTGTCGTTTACTACTTAAAATTAACCGATTCATGTGATTGATCGCCACCGCCATTGAACCTCTTCAAAAAACCACTTCGCCTTCTATTTTTCTCTGCGTTTAATGGGAGACACAGAGAGTTGCAGCAGTAGAGCAGTAGATTCCGTGCCTCGAAACCAGAGGCAAAAGCTAGATGTTTTTAACGAAGTTCTTTGCCGACTTAAAGAATCGAATGATGAAGAAACGAGTCTTCCTGGCTTCGAAGACGAGCTCTGGACTCATTTCTGTAGACTTCCTACTCGGTAATCACAATCGGAAGATTCCGTTCACTCGATTTTTGTTTTTATTTTAGGTTTAATTTGATGAATTTTTATTTTATTTTAGTTATGCAATGGATGTGAATGCGGAGAGAGCGCAGGATGTTATTATGCACAAGAGATTGTTGCAGATGGCACATAATCCAGCTACTCGGCCGGCAATTGAAGTGCGACTTGTTCAGGTATGGAAACGGAGATTCGGCTGTGGATTCTCTACTGTCTCTCGGTATCTTCGATTTTAATTCTTATCTTTTGGCTTGCGTGATACTCTTTCAGATTCTTCTATCATTAATTGGTAGGGTACGCGTGTCTTATTCCATAAATGCTGCTATTAAATATTTTTAGCAAGTTGCCTTTTCTACAGTAAACAATAATTAAAAAAATTAATGATTATCCTTTTTTGCCCGTTTTTTGTTGTTTTTATCTTGGTTTTATAGTTCCGTGGTATCTTCGGGCTAGCTCTTGTGTATGGAGACTTCAGTTTAATTTCGCAAGTTTATATATAATTATTATTATTATTATTTTGGTGAGGATGGAGCTTGTTCACAATATTCCTTGATTTCACATAAAATTGAACTGTATCTGGAAATGTAACTGTAGAATTCCTCTCTGGTCATACTTAGGAGTTGACTGAAAATGTTCTTAAAATAAAAAAATGATGTGCTTGGAATTAAGTAGAGGAATAGGAATCCGTTTTAGATCAAGGTGGGAAAAGTGCTTGCAATTAATAACAAGTTTTACTGCTGATGTACAAGGCAAAATACATACTATACTGATGTTTCTATAGTTGTTTTTATCTAAATGGAAAAAAATAAAAAATTCTCTTGTTGTAAAAGGTTATGGATTAACAGTGCAATTCAGATAAATTAAACTGTTGAGTGTCTTGAACATCTTGAATTTTCACTCGAAATGAAATTGATAATTTTGACTTTTGTGCGACTAATTTTTCCGGGATTTGCAGTTAATTTTATTACATTCATATAGAAGCTGTACTGTGTTATGCTGTTTTAGCCTCTATTGGTTTACCATGTTATGTTTCTTTAAAAATGGCAACACTCTTACGTTTTCATTGCTGCTTTTATTACAATCTGATTGTGGAATTGGAAGTTCATTGCTGGCACATTGCATCTTGTCATATATTTCTTATGCAGGTTCCTTGTGCATCTGATGGACATTCTGGTGATTCAGTAGATTCAGACTCTCCAAGGAAATTGCAGCTTCAATATTTTGATTATCTCGGAAAACAGAGGCACGGTTTTGCAAATTTTATTCTTTGATTTGCATTTTCTTTTTGAAAATTGCAACTATTGATCACTTACATTTGTCTCTTTCTTTCATATTCAGCATTCATCCACCACCAGCCTTTGGTTCATTATCTGAGTTTGAACTTCTTCATAAATATCAGGATAAGGATATTGACGTGATTACCAGGCCACTTTACTCCAGGTAATAGTTCAAATTGTTCTCTCCTGGTTGTGAACTCAAAATCATACTTTTGTTTAATATTTCTCTGGTCGCTTTATTAGATTTCCTATCTTGTAGTTGTCTGTTTCCTTATTGCCTCACCCAGATTAGGCTCGCATGTGATTTTTCAGAACATACCATTCAAAATTTGAAACAACTTCTGGTGCTGTGCAAAATGTTTATGTCTCATCCAAACAAAGGAAAAGAGGTGGGGGATATTCTGAATCAAATTGAAGTTTTCAGGATGTTATGGGTGCAACTTAAGGAGAAACTCCTTTCTTCTTTCAATTTTTTCCTTGCTAGAAAAAAAAGAAAAGAAAAGAAAAATGAGCTGCAACACACCATCAAAATGTTTTCTTGTAGTGTGACATATGAAGAAGATGGCTTGGGTAGTCAGGTGCTTCTTGATGCAACCAGCCCAACCATTAGAATTAACTAACTAGCTTTTTTATTTTTTGTGTCGATAACTCATGTGATCAGTAGCATAAGCATTTAATGCTAAAGTACGGGCACATTGTCAGAATTCTGGATTATGAGTAATGAACCATGAGGTTGGGATCGTTTCTATTTTCATGTTTATGGATTCAAATAGGATGGTAAATGTGTTGGCTATCTTCCTCCCTTGTTCCTTAGCTGTGTTACTCTTTTGCTTTCTTGGAATGGGTAGTTGTGCAATACGCTCTTTGAGGCAAATATTTTAATTAGCTTCTGGAAATGCCTTTTAGATCTTGCTGAAATAACACTGCAATACTTACATTATTTTGTAGGCTGATGCATGAAATTACAATTTCAACTGATGATAAGCCAAAACTCCTGAGTCAGGTAGCTGACCTTTTCTACTTTCTGAATCATTTGTGGATGTCATCTGCATTGTATTCACTTGGTAGGCGTCTTGTTGACATTCTGCCATGAACATTGCATACATGAGATTTATTCCATCCTTGATTTAGCATCTTTTATTTAGGCATCTTCTGGACATGGGTGAAGGAACAGTCTTTGACATATATGAGGCATCTGCCCTCAGATTTATTTTTGGAGTAGAAAGTTGACATACAAGAAGAGAGAACTTTACATCATGATTTGAAGGATGAAGTGTGCATTTCCATTCATTGTGCTACCATTAGTGGAGCAATCTTACTGAAACATTTGTCATGTAATTACTTGATCTTTGGGGATCTTTTATAAATCATTCTTTTTTGATACCTTTCTTTAACTTCTGTTGGGGGACCTATCTATAGCTTTATTCTTTCCTGTCTCTCAGTTAATTCACCTTAATAAAGCCCTTCCACTTGCATTTTTCAATGTTGACATTTTTATTGTATTCCTAAATCATTTCATGAGCTCCAGTTTATTTTCTGATCTTTTTATGATTTGATACTTTACCACCAGTCAAGAGGCAACTCTCCATAGTCTGCCTCTCCTCTTTGACCTTGTCCACTAACATTCACATGAATTTCTAGATGGCATATGTTTGTTTGCATTTTTATTGTATTCCTAGATCATTGCACAAGTTTTGGTATATTTTCTAATCTTCTTATAATTTGATACTTAAGAGTCAAGAGATTAGTGCCTCCACTTTGATCTACCCTATTAATCCCATGGATCTCTAGACTCTAGATGACATATGTTTGATGTATGCTATTGTTATTTTTCAAATTCACAACATAACATGAATACATTGGTATTTGAAATGATGTCAAAATTTACTGAAAGACTTGTATTAAGATACTCTAAGTGCAATTGAACTATCTGTGTAATATTGTTGCTGTAATTGACCTATTAAAATCATTTTTGTTTTTCTATTTTTTCAATTTTCAGTTGACTTTCTTACTTTCTGAGATCGGGCTCAACATTCAAGAAGCTCATGCTTTTTCTACTATGGATGGCTACTCCTTGGATGTGTTTGTTGTTGATAATTGGGCACCTGAGGTACTGCCCCCAATTTGCCCCCACATAGGATAATCATTGGATACTAGTCCTTTAAGACTGTCCATGTCGTTTTCAAGATTCACTGTACAGATTGCTTGAAAATCAGTTCATTTGTTACCGTTTACAATTCTTTGTGTGGAGCAGCATATATCAGTCTGAATCATTGTTTCTTTCGCCTCTTAATTATGAGATCATTAAAAAAAAAAAACCAGTAGACTGGAATTCTAAATTCGTCTCGTCTTCTGATAATGAAACTCATGACTTACTTAAATAATTATTTACAGGACATAGAGCAGCTTAGAAGCATGCTGGTTGAAGAAATTCCAAAAATTGAGGTAGCTCTTCTACGTGCCACTTGTATATTGCATTTGATGCTAGTGAATAATTTCCCGCAAGTTTGTGGGTTCCAGTATGTTTTGTTTAGTTTTTTTTTTTTTTCCCCTGTTCATTGTTATGTTAATTCAAGCTAAAACGGCAAACAAGTGACACTAATTATCAGGAACTTGGTGCCACTTTAACGCTCTTTAAGTAATATATCTGTTTATACTTGATAATTTGAGGTGCTATGCAGACGAACACTCAGTTAAAATCTCATGCCATTTATCCTGTTGTGGAGCAAGATCAAATAGGAATCAGTCTTGTCTCTGATCACATGTACGCTCCTGCTGATCCAATTGATGTTTGGGAAATTGATGCACGCCAGTTAATATATGAGAAAAAAATTGCAACTGGATCTAGTGGACATCTGTGAGTTCTTGTCAGCTTAAGATTCATGATCTGTTCTTATATGAATGCTTTTTGAATAGAATAATTTAATTGAAACAGGTACAAAGGCACCTTCTGTAGTCAAGATGTGGCTATTAAAGTTCTTAGAGGAGAACATCTAAATGATAAACTTCAGAGGGAATTTGCTCAAGAAGTTTTTATCATGAGGTTGGTTATATTTTGGTTCTTTATCTGTCCATCTAAATGCTTACAAAGTCGCTCTCTGAAATTCTGAAAACATTTGCAGTTACAGCTGGAACTTCAAATATACCAGTGGAATCATGTTTATATACTGGCACTAGATCCAAATGTAAATGAACCAGGTTAATAGTCCTGACAGTTTTGAAAATTTATGATTGGATGAATTGTCATCATTCCTAACAAATATTTTCTGTAGCTGTTTTTTAGTAGTCCAAATATCCCAAGAAATGCAATTTCATTTTGCAAATAGCAAGCAGTGGGTGATGTTTTCTTATGTGCTAAAGGGGTCCTATTTTAAGCGGTCATATGCTTAATGAAACAAGTGAAGTAGTTTTTATAAATTCTCATGGAATTATAAATTCTCATTTAATTTGTGACACTTTAGAATTTGTACACAAATGCATCATATGTGACCTTTCCACAGTATCAAGTTCCAGGATCTCTCTTGTTATCTAGTTTTCTAGCAACCTCTGGTCCTTTCTCTGTCTTGGGAGGATGAATATTGCATTAAAGTGTTTTCAAGGTTCCATTTCTGCTCAGTGAAGTCTACTCTTGGGGATCTTAAAAGAAAAATTAAATGCTGCCATTGTCCTCCTACTTGCATGAATTTCTTCTTTGTTACCCTTAAAGACTCCTTGCAATTTTCAGGAAAGTTCGTCACAAGAATGTTGTGCAATTCATAGGTGCATGTACCAGACCTCCAAGCTTGTGCATTGTGACAGGTAATTTTGAACAAACTCATAGATATATGCGTGCCTTCAACTAATTATATGTTGGTTTGTAGTGTAGTCTTAATACTGCACCACATAAACGACCTTTTCAACATGTCTATTGTTTTTCTGTTTGCATTTAACCCTTCTCAGAATTTATGTCTGGTGGAAGCATGTACGACTTTCTGCATAAACAAAAGGGGAGTTTAAATCTTCAGTCTTTACTCCGAGTAGCAATTGATGTTTCCAAGGGAATGCACTGCTTGCACGAAAATAAAATAATACACAGAGATCTGAAAGCTGCCAATCTCTTGATGGATGGAAATGGAGTAAGTGATTTGTTTTTGCAGTATTTAATTTACAGTCTGGTCAGTGCTATACTTATTGTATCAATTGACCACATATTGCATTCAGTTTTAATCAGTGCATCAACATTTTCTGCTTCTCAGAAACTACATCATGTTTCAAATTGAAATTCTGCAAGAACTTATGAAGGAAGAAAGGCGGTTTTGTGATCAGCTTTTTCTATAATAGAAAATAAGTTTACTGCTTCACTTTATGGGTTCTGACTATCAGTCTTTCTTAAACTTTCAAAAAATTGGCAATCAGGTAGTTAAAGTTGCTGATTTTGGTGTTGCTAGAGTGCAAGATCAGTCTGGTGTTATGACTGCAGAAACTGGAACTTACCGCTGGATGGCTCCAGAGGTTGGTGTTGTTGCTCTGAATAAAATGGCTTCCTGAATCGCATGATGATTATTGATTAAAAGGTTTTTATGCATTTGGTTGTTTCATCCTGGCTCTCTAACGTATGTTTCCTTGGTGTTTGGTGGGTATAAGGTTATTGAACACAAGCCATATGATCATAAAGCTGATGTTTTCAGTTTTGGCATTGTGCTTTGGGAGTTGCTTACTGGAAAGGTAATGCCACATCCTCTCTGTTTTGGTGAAATAATAAGATATTCCTTTTCATATGTTTAGTTTCTCCAAATCGATTTTCAGTGTTTATTTCGAGTTCTAGAAATTTATTATCACTCAGATTTCATGACAAACATCTATGTTCTTGTGAATGATATCCCAGCTTCCATATGAGCATTTGTCCCCATTACAAGCAGCCATTGGCGTGGTCCAGAAGGTATTCCTCCACAATGCCTTTTCTTTCTGCTTTGGAAGGGATTTTAGTGTTCCTTTTGAGATATAAACCAGCTCACCTTTGGCATTGTCTGTAAACTGCCAAACTGCTTCTCGACCAACACAACCATGTGCCTTGTATAAACAAAGGAAGACCAAGCACATGACTAAACGACTTTTTGGTTAGTTTAAATCTTGTGTGAACTCATGTTAAGAAGTCTCAAAGGTTGTCAATGAGGCCCATGCGCTGGGCAGGCCCTAAGTAGCTCCAAGCATGCTTTCTAATGCCCTGCATCAAAACTAAGACAATTGGGGGAGGTCAAAATTTTAGTTCAATCAGCAATCCCGAAAAAAGAAAAAAGAAAAAGAAAAACCAGGAAGAAGAAGAGAGAAAAAGAAACAATTAGGGCACTTATTTCAGGTCTGTAAATTCTTTTTCTGATCAGCCAGTGGCCATACTGCTTGGTGGTACTGGGATCTGCTGCAATAGAAGCATATTTTGAGCTCAAATTAACAAAGGACTTGCTAAATTACTAATAAAGAGCTGTTGTACTGACATGGATTTCAGGGTATAAGACCAGAAATTCCTAGCCATTCTCATCCCAAATTGGTAGAACTGCTCGAGAGATGCTGGCAGCAAGACCCCCTCTTGAGACCTGAATTCTCTGAAATTTTAGAGCTTCTACAGCAGTTAGACAGGATGGTATGGGAAGATTATAAAAATTCTCCATTTGTTATTGTTGTACATATTTACAAACTTTTCTAATCCTGGAACAGGTTGCTGAAGAAAGAGAGGACAAGCAGAAAGGAAAGTCTCCCAGAAGAGTTGTAACTGCAATTAGACGAGACAGACGGGTGAAGCCACGAGATGTGAGTAGTAGTATACATCCATCGTAATGCTTTCGTCTCGAGGCATTCTCTCTTTACATCTGGCTTTTGTTCAATCAAGGGGTTGGTATGCTCCTTTGCTGAAAACAAATATAAACACATCTACATATACACACGAGTACATGTATAAAATGTTGGCGATAAGCACGCATGTTACCTAACCTTGGAAGTAGAACAGTTGATCTTACAGTTGCTCACCAAGTGTAGAACGTAGCTTTAGTTTGTGTTGTTCTAGTCCTAGGGCTGTATCAGTTTTTCAGCCAATGGAAGAGTTGATTCACGGAAGAAGTGTTAAGCAATCTTCTAGTTCTTTAGAAATTAGGATTTCTTTCTGTCAAAAGCTTTGGAATTAGAAGCTAATGCTCTAATGAAATTTTCATTTTACAGTTCCAATGAATTTGCAACCTTGAAATACAGAGGCAACATTGTCCTACCAGTGATGTAACTTTTTTTTCCCCCTTGAAGAGTAGAACTTGAGAAAAGCAGGCCTTTTCCAGCCTAGGCTTGGGAGGGGCAGGCCTAGGGTGTCTGGTCGGAAGTACTTTTTTAGATATTTTGTCTGGCAAAATAAGAATAATTGTAATATTCATTAAACTTTCATGCATTGGGGAATTTAAAGCTTCAGCATATATGCTAAGGGAAAGATTATCATTAACGGAAAATGTTTTTATGCTTCAATACCGGATTTTTCCTGATATCTGTGCTTGGCATCACATCCTTTTTCCCCCTCACCAGCAATGGAAATTCTGTCTGTAAACCATTAAAAAAAAGTACGTATAAAACCCAAGAAAAATTCTCGAACTCCAACAGATGATAACTAACGGTGGAAGAACTTGTCAAGAATATTTGAAGGAAGAGAATATATGAAATGGAAAAGCATATATGCGAGAGAAACATCATAGAGTCTCAAGGAAAAGAACATAATTGATTGTCTGGAGGGATTTGTATTTAGAGGCCATAAAAGCTCATCCTTTGCTGAAAATTGAAACCCAACTTTACAAGTATCAACTATTGAATTTCCAAAAATCATTATTGAAATTTATTTATTTAATGCATGAAATATATATTGATATTTTTTCGGTAAGTGAATTTTGTAGGACTGTAAGATTAGCATTACTCTTCCAGCGTTCAAATTTTGCCAAGCAATCTGTTCTGAAATTCACGTATGTTTCAAGTGAATTAAAGAAGAACTAATATTAGTCAAACATCCTTCTTCTTTACTTTATAACGTCAGCGAGAGTCTAACGCCAATGAAAAGCTGTATATAAAACTCCATGAAAATTTAGGAAGGAAATGCGATTAGAGGTTCACTTTAGCCAAAGCCAAAAGGAAGAGAATTTGTGCCAAAAAAAGGAATTCCATTAAAGAATGGAAGACATGGAAGTGTACACTACAAGAGGAAAAAATGCTGATTCCAACACAAGTTTTGGCATTTATACTCAATCAGTGCAAACCGATAATGCTGCACTATCGAAATTCGAATCTTTCTCATCAACTATAGTTTACACGCTTAAAAGTACTTTACACCAGTAATTTATTACCCACACGAGGCATTGGAGATTGCCCTAAGATCCTCTAATGGAAGCCTTGAGAAAATCCCTGAAATCTCATGGTGCTCTGGCTAAGCAACAACCAGAGCACCTAGAAGAAGAAAAACGACCTCTACTGCACCATGACAGCGATTGTCTCATGGCACAGTCCTCAGGTTCGCTTGACCAGTATGAGGAAGTTATTGTCAACATTGACAATGCTGATGTTTCTGACAAAGAACCAACCCTTGGTTCAAAATCCTGCACTGAAAGTCAGAGCAGTAAAGTTAGAGGTTCATCAAAGAAATTCAAAGTGTCATTTGAGGACGTAATCAACGAAACTGTCCGGCAAAGAAGCAAGGAATTCACACACCAACCATCTTTCAGTGCTTTTGAACAAAATCCGTGGAGGTCAGTCGTGAACAAGGCAAAGTCAAGATTGGTAGACCTGCCTGAGGAACACTATCGAAGAACCGAGAGAACGGTGAGGTCTGATGGAGCTTTTGGTGAAGATGGTGGTCATAAAGAAGATGATAATGAAGACGTCCCAGAAGAATATAGGATCATAAAACACAATACCTTGATCATGCTTCAATGGGTGAGTCTTGTTTTAATTACTGCAGCCTTAGTTTGTAGCCTGTCCATTCCTGCAATAAAGAGGCAAACATTGTGGGATCTTCCACTATGGAAATGGGAGATAATGGTTTTGGTACTTATCTGTGGTCGTTTGGCGTCTGGTTGGGGAATTAAGGTTGCTGTGATCTTCATTGAACACAACTTTCTTTTGCGGAAACGGGTTCTGTATTTCGTTTATGGGTTGAGGCGGGCTGTTCAAAATTTCCTCTGGTTGGGTTTGGCTTTGCTTATTTGGCATCTTATTTTTGGTGATAAGGCTGAGAAGAGCAAGAGCAGGATCTTGCTCTATGGGACCAAGATTCTGGTGTGTTTCTTTATAGGAACATTGATATGGCTTTTGAAAACCCTCCTTGTTAAGGTTCTTGCTTCATCCTTCCATGTAAACGCATTCTTCGAACGAATCCGGGAGGCTCTGTTCAATCAATATGTAATTGAGACACTCTCTGGTCCTCCATTGTTTGAAAGGCGAAGCACCAAGGAAGAGGAAGGGACGGTCCCCGAGATTCAGCAGGTAAGAAATTTTGGGTCTGCTAATCCTAGTCCAGGTGACCTCAAGGAAACTCTCCTTGCAAGGGAAGGGAGTGAAAAGCTACGAAGATGCACCACGGTTGGGAAGAACTCCAGAATTTCCAGGACAATGCCTCATAAGAAAGAAGAAGAGATTTCAATTGACAACCCGGAAAAGCTAAATCGTAAGAATATATCAGCTTGGAATATGAGGAGGATGATAAATACCATCCGCCATGGTTCCTTGTCTACTTTAGATGAGCAAATACTTGATTCAGACATCACAGATGACTCTTCACTACATATCAGAACTGAGTGCCAGGCAAAAGAGGCAGCCAAGAAAATATTTCAGAAGGTGGCTAAGACAGGATCCCAGTAAGTTAATTTGCTTTTTTTTTTTTTTTTTGCCAATCCATATTATCTCCATTCAAGCCAACCATGATGCCAGGATGAAAAGATTTGAGGTATTTTCCTTCCTTATTGCCTCCTGATATTTGTTGATATCCATTCATCTGATGTTTCTCAATGTGTATCTCCGTATTAGCGAATTTTACCTTGATGACTTGATGCGCTTTATGGATAAAGAAGAAGCATTGGAGGCAATGCATCTCATTGGAACATCATGTGAGAATGAAGGCATAAGCAAGTCATCTCTTAACCACTGGCTGGTACTGATCTCTAAATTTACAGTAGGCCTTTGGTGTGTGGATATTCTTGATCACATTTACTGGTTTAGAACTTCGTCCTGTCTTTTAAAAGAACACGATGAAAGAAACTTTTTTCACCTGTTGTTTTAGGTCAATGCATTCAGAGAGCGAAAGGCGCTGGCATTCTCTCTCAATGACACAAAAACAGCCGTGGATGAACTCCACAATATGTTGAACATCCTTGTCAGCGTCATCATTTTGATAATCTGGCTCATTATACTTGGAATTCCTATCACTCATTTCCTAGTCTTCATAAGTTCCCAGCTTCTTTTGGTGGTATTCATCTTTGGAAATACCTGGAAGACTGTATTTGAAGCAATCATATTCTTGTTCATAATGCACCCATTCGACGTAGGTGATCGCTGCGAGATCGATGGAATCCAGGTATACATGGTAATCATACGAAAGCATCTTTTTCGATATGACAATGTTTAACGAGAGTTAACTTATGTTTCTTTGAGCTTCAGCTGAGGGTTGAAGAGATGAATATATTAACAACAGTGTTCTTGAGGAGTGATAACCAGAAGATCAAATACCCCAACAGTGTTCTAGCAAACAAGCCTATCGGTAACTTCTATCGCAGTCCAGATATGGCAGAGACAATTGATTTCTGTGTCCACATCTCCACTCCAATGGAGAAAATTGGTAGAATGAAAGAAAAAATAAAAGGGTATGTAATCATGTGTGAAGCTCCACCTAACTTTTTCCTTTTCATGGCTGGATGCTAGCTCAAGGAAATCATTTCGCAACCAATGCAGGTATGTTAAAGGAAACAGTAACCACTGGCATCCAAGTTCGATGGTGGTCGTGAAAGACATAGAGGACATGAACAAAATGAAGATGTCGCTGTGGGTTACACATAGGATGAACCATCAGGAAATGGGGGAGAGATGGGCTAGGAGAACTCTTCTCCTAGAAGAAATGATCAAAGTGTTCAAAGAGCTCGATATGGAATATCGATTGCTGCCCTCAGATGTGAATGTCAGAAATATGCCACCTTTGGTCTCGACCAGGCTTCCCTCAAACTGGACCACTTGTGCCAACTAATCGGTAATTGAAGAAATTAAGTACGAGGTGCGACCATCTATTTAGTGCTAGGAAGACAAGATTGGATCACTATGAGTTCCCAAAAAGAAAGATGTGATTCGAATACGATAAGTCAAGGTTTCAATTAAGATTACTCCTCGGTCAAGGCATGCGAACAGCATATGTAGCTTTATCCTTTGTTTGAATGTTTTTTCAGTTTATCTAAAATGGGTTTGGACAGCATAATGGAAGATAATAACCCGCTAAATTAGAATCATTAGAACTCAAATTTATTTTATTAAAAAAATCCACTGGATACACAACTGCTAAATTATGTATTATTATTTGAATTTAATAAATACAGTTTGTGAATTATTTTGTGTTGTGGTTAGACTAAATAAGTGCATTCTCATTGAGGAATACCCCTGATGTAATGGTGAGACCTCATTCTGCCTAGCAAAGCACAAAAGGCAATGCTAATACCTTATCTTATGAGATGATCAATCAAACAGTTGAACCTGCAAAGGGGCAAAGCTCCACACCAATCCTGTAACAAATATGGATCAAAAAGTCCATAAGGCCCATAATTTGGGTTCACAAGCCCACTTTCAGTCCTCTTTCGGGTCCTGTTTGGAGAACCCGGTTCACCAACCCCTGTTCACCAACACCTTAAGCAAGGGATAAAGTAACAGGAGAATCCTTTTTTCTGTGGTCGTAAGGCGCAAAACTGAGAGAGAAAGCAGCAAGAACCAATCTTCATTCAACTACCAAATCTGATGGCAACTCCAGTGAAGGTTTACGGACCACCATTGTCCACAGCAGTGTCTAGAGTCCTAGCTACTCTCCTTGAGAAAGATGTGCCTTTCCAGATCATTCCTGTTGACATGTCCAAAGGGGAACACAAGAAGCCTGATTACCTCAAGATTCAGGTACTCGTCTTAAAAGGCCCATATTAGTTCTACTATTTTTGTTACTCTCATCTTGTTCTACTCACACACTCAACAATTGCTTAATTTTGATTTAACAGCCCTTTGGCCAAGTCCCAGCTTTTCAAGATGAAAGCATCTCCCTCTTCGGTAAACTTCTAACATTATCAATTTCAAATTCTAATTAGACTGTTTTTTCTTAATAATCCCTTTATAAATCTTTTTTTTTTTTTTGGTGCCAGAATCAAGAGCAATATGCAGGTATGTGTGTGAGAAATATGCAGATAAAGGAAACAAAGGGTTGTACGGTACAAACCCATTAGAAAAGGCATCAATAGATCAATGGGTAGAGGCTGAGGGGCAGAGTTTTGGGCCATCAAGTGGGGCTTTGGTGTTTCAGCTTGCATTTGCACCAAGAATGAATATCCCACAAGACCAAGGCGTTATAAAGCAGAACGAGGGGAAGCTTGGAAAAGTGCTTGATATTTATGAGCAGAGGCTTGGAGACAGTCGGTTCTTGGCTGGAGATGAATTTACTTTTGCTGATCTTTCACACTTGCCTAATGGGGATTACTTGGTGAATGCCACTGATAGGGGACATCTTTTTACCTCCAGGAAGAATGTGGGTAGGTGGTGGAATGAGATTTCTGACAGGGAATCTTGGAAGAAGGTTGTTGACATGAGGAAAAGCGGTTGAAATTGGTAATCTTTTGCTTGCTTTCAGGTTTTTCAGTGGGTCTGTAACCTATGGGGTTGCTCTGTGTTTTCTGTACGTTTTGTGGTGTCATTTGGGCTGTTTTTAGGACGGTTTCCTGTCGGCCGTTACTTGTTGGTTCAGTAATAGTAAGGGACACTCTCCCAGTTTGAGTACTTTGCAATCTGATGGAAAAAAATAATCGGCACAACTGACCATTAGGTCTATAGTTATCAATATCGAAAAAGATAAAAAAGTGATGCTTTCGGTTTATCTCTTTCAGTCTCCCCTTCCTTTCCCCTCTGCTTCTTCATGGCAGTCACCAAGAAACCAATCATGGATTCTCCAATGATTTTATACATAGTTTCTTCTTCAATTGATCTCTTCCTAAGTTTCTTTATTATTGCTCCTGTGTTTCTTGGATACCCATATGGAGATTAGCTGCTAGATTTGTTTTGGATGGAAGATATACGTTTCACTTTCAGTTTTTGCATTTCATTTCTGTTAATGACTTAATTTTTTTATTAGTTGTTTCATATATTGATGATGATGCGGTGCCTTATTAAATAATTTTTTTCGTTAATTTTTTCATATTTTTTAAATTTCTCGAAGCATAAAAAAACAAATAAATTGAAAAGGAAGGAAAAATTTAAGTTATAATAAAATATAAAAATATAAAAATAAATAATTAGTTTTTGAAAAAAAATGAGAATAATTAATTCTCTTTTCGAAACTAATGGGTGTAATTTATAATTTACTCGGAAAATCTTGTCTGGAATCACTTTTCAGTAATCTCATTTTTTCGAGTAGGCCAAGAGAGGATAAAGCTCATGGCTAATGGGCCCAACAAGCTGAAAGCCCACTTATAGGGGCATTCATTCAATTCTCAGATCCGTTAACAATGGTATGATTCCATAAAAACAAGATGTTCAGTGATATTAGTGTTGCTTTTGAGCATTTAGAGGTAAATGATTTATTTATTTATTTATTTATTTTTGTAATTATTATGAGTTTTTCAGCTAGTCCTGATGGTGTAAAAAATTATAAGTTAATTTAAATTTAAAAAAAAAACATTTTAAAGAACAAGTAAATTTTAAAGGACTGGCAGTTGAATGATTTGAGTTAAAAAGGATGGAAAATTTAATCAAAGAGATTTATTAATTATTTTTCTAAACACACCTAAATAATAGTTCAATTTAAAAAGCATGCCCAACAAAAAAGTAGATCTTCATGTTCCCTGTAAGCAGGCAAACACAAAAAACTCACCACAAATAGTTTGAAGCTTTTGTACTTTTCTGACCAAAATTGGTGAAAGATGGATCGACCTTACCTAAGAGTAAATTATAAAGTAATCCCTTTAGTTTTTTTTTAAATGATAAATACTCTCTCAAGTTTTAGAAACTAATTAATCAACCTCTTCAATCCATTTCTAGTCCTTTTTTCCAATTTATTTGTTTTTTTTTTAAAGAAATACTAACATTAAAAAAATATATATATATTATCAAAAGATGGATGATATAAAAAAAGATTTTTTAAAAATAAATTAATATTAAATTAAATATAATTAATACCTATCAAAAGGTTGATTAATTAGTTTTTGAAACTAAATAGACTATTTAATTTATTTTTCAAAACTAAAGTAACTAATTTATAATTTACTCATCTTATCTATTTTTTTGCGGCTCGTATGCATTTCCCACTTTCCGACCAACAACCATTCTTTATCTTATCTTATGGTTAATGTGAATTTCGATCCTTTTACTCTCAGTTTTATATTATTTTGATCATCTCACTAGTATTTATTCCAATTTCATCCTTTTATTTTGTCATTCCATTAATGAATGCTTTAAATAATTCCCTTAATTTCAGAAAATAATGTCACGTGAAATCCATTTTTAAATGAGACATGGTATTTAATGCTTTTATTGACGAGAGGATGAAATCAGGACAAAGAAGAGAATAGGAACTGAAATAAAATATATTAATAATACAAGTAGTAAATAAACCATAAATCTGCTTTTAATGGGCTGAACTGCCATTTAAGTACGGCATGAGTGGCAGAGGCCTTTTGTCTGTTTTGCGTGGCCATAAGTAAGTGACCATGGCACGCTAAAATCTATCCTAGCAGGAAGACCCAATCTTCCCTGTAACTAGCAAATCTAATGGCAACTCCGGTGACGATATACGGACCACCATTGTCCACAGCAGTGTCTAGAGTCCTAGCTACTCTGATCGAGAAAGATGTGCCCTTTCAGCTCATTCCCATTGACCTGTCCAAAGGTGAACAGAAGAAGCCTGAGTACCTCAAGATCCAGGTACTATCAGCGTCTCTATTTTGGTTATTGCCATTTTCTTGCCTCTGTTCAAATGCTTACCAGCTCCTTTGACTCTTGACAGCCTTTTGGCCAAGTACCAGCTTTTAAAGATGAGAGCATCACCCTCTTTGGTAAAGTAACATTACCAAATTCTAGATTCTGATCTTTAACTGAAATTTCTTCATAATCCCTTATTAATTGTTCTTTTTGTGTGTGTTTTTTGATTATTTGGTACAGAGTCAAGAGCAATAAGCAGGTACATAATTGACAAATATGCAGACATGGGAAACAAGACCTTGTACGGTACAGACACTTGTCAAAAGCAAATATAGATCAATGGGTAGAAACTGAGGGGCAGTCATTTGGTCCGCCAAGCGGGGACTTGGTGCATGACCTTCTATTTAGTGATGCCCCAGTAGGCGAAGCCTTGATAAAGAAGAATGTAGAGAAGTTGGCGAAAGTGCTTGACATTTATGAGCAGAAGCTTGGACAGAGTCGGTTCTTGGCTGGAGATGAATTTTCTTTTGCTGATCTTTCACACCTGCCTAATGGGGACTACTTAATTAGTTCTACCGATAAGGGATATCTGTCTACTTCCAGGAAGAATGTGAACAGGTGGTGGAACGAGATCTCTAACAGGCCATCTTGGAAGAAGGTTCTTGGGATGAGGAAAAATGCTTGAAATCGGTGCCTTTCTGCTTGTTCTGCCAACAATCTGCACTCTACAGTATCCTGTGAGGGTTTTAATAAGTTGGCCGTCTCTTCCTCTGTTCTGATGGTGTTGTCCATGTTTATGAACCTTAGCTATGTGTTTGAGCTTACGTTGTATGCTGTACGCGTGTTATGGATATGGAGACTAAGGTTGCCTGTTTCGTGTTGATCCAATAAAAACTATTACCATGTCCTGGGCTTAATGACCCATTCTTCCTTTTGGATTTAAATTCAATAATCTTAAAAGTATGGCTTAATTGACGAGTAGATTATAAATTAGTCCCTCTCCTTTAGAGAAATAAATAAATAATTTTTTTAGAAAAAAAAACTAAATTTTTAATTTCTCGTTAATTCAATTCTATCAATAAATTAGTATCTCTCGTTTAGAGAACTAAATTAATTAGTTCTCTTTCTTTTTAAAAGCTAATTTTTTAGTCTCTTATTGTTTAATTCTATCAATAACTTAGTGTTATTTTTATGTTAGATTGGTGATTTTTGCTAACAAATTGTCTTTTTTTTTTATTGATAAGAACAAAAATAAGCGGGTGAAATAGAAAAATAAAACATAAAATCTACTATAATTTAGGAAAAAATTATTAATTTAATGAAAAATTAATTAAATAATTGACGAAATTAAAACATGATTAATTAAATAATTAGTTTTTAAAACAAAAATGACTAATTAATTTTTAAAATAAAAAGGACTAATTAGTTTGTTTCTCAAAACTAGAGGGCACAGTTTATAATTTACTCCTTAATTATCGCCCGTGCCATACTTCCAATGATATGCACCATTTGAATAGGAATTGTATATGGAACTTTCTTCTATGAGATGGAAGAGGAAGTGTAAAAGGCTTAATATGCTATTGGCAAACTATAGAATAATAATAATACCGTAGAGTAGTCTTGCAAGAGGTTCTATGATCCAATTTTAGAAGAATGCACAGTTGTTTTGGCAGTGCTGGCTACGGTTTTTTTTTTTTTTAGCCCGAATAAACCAATTTGTATAAAAAAAAATGAAAAAAAAATCAAAATGAAGAAACATATACATCCTTTCTAATTTTACCTAAAATCTTTCTCCAACTCATTCCTAAAAAAATAAAAATATCGTATAAAAAATTATCTATTGTTAGGTGTGCATATATTATGCATTGAACAAATAAATGTTAGTGACGAATCTCATAAATTCAATTATTGATATTATATATTTTTTCATGAATCAATTAGAAGAATATCATGTACGATGAGGATTCATCTGTTTTATCTGGACGAGATTTTTAAGATTGTGAATAAGTGAATTTTTTTTTTATTATTATTATAAAGTTAGCAATCAGGACAGAGAGATCAAAGCCCATCAGTAGTGGACCCAACAAGTAGGAAGCCCACCTTAGACGTGCTTGCATTTGATTCTCAGGACCCAAAATGTAGAAAACACAAGGCGTATCCAATACGAGACAGAGGGATATGGAGAAATTTTATAGTATTTAAGAAATAATTATTAATATGAATAATAGTTATTTTATAAATTTATTTTGAAAAAAAGATAAATATATAAAAAAAAAAGAAGAAGAGAAACATAAGAGAGAAAGTTAAAAAAAATTGATCTAAAAATTTTTTTTATCACTTATTTTTTATAGTATTTACTTTTGATAGGCGTAGATGAAATTTTTTTTTTAATGTATCTATCTTATTTTTTAAATTAAATTTATAAAATAATTTTTGTATATGTAATTAGTTATAATTTAATTATTATAAAGTTTATCGGGAGACCACAGTAGAGAAGATGACGTCGGATGATGCAATGATGCAACAACTTTAAAAGGGCCCAACTGCAGGCCAACACTTGATGCTCTCTTCGTTTTCTATTAATAAATGTGTTTTTTTTTTTTTTTTTTTTTTGTGACAAATAAACACTACCTCGAATGATTACAGTATAGAGCAAGAGGGTAGCATCAGGACAATTAAGAATAAAATGACTAATGCATTACAAACCGATGCTTTAATAGACATAATTATTATATTTATCACTAATTATATCTTAATTATTATAAAATTTATCGAGAGACCACAATGGAATTCAGTTCCAAGGGAGAAGATGACGTCGGAGGATGCAATGATGCAACAATTTTAAAAGGGCCAAACTGCAGGCCAACACTTGATGCTCTCTTCATTTTCTATTAATAAACGTGTGTGTGTGTTTTCTTTTTTTTTTTTGAAATATAAACACTACTGGAATGATTATAAAATAGAGAAAGAGGATAGCAACAGGACAATTAAGAATAAAATTACTAATGCATAACAAACCGATTCCTTGATGGACATAACAAGCATCTCAATTAAGAGATAAATGTAAACCATAATTAACCATTATAATTAAGCAAAACATAAATTCATCATACCTATAAATACTAAAATTTTATTCTTTTCACATAGCTTTAAACATACTTGATTCATATTGAAAAACACGTAATAAATGAAAAATAATTTCTCTCTTTCTCAATTATGAAACTATTAATCTTTTAGTTTTGTTATTTTTCATTAAAAGATATAAAAAAGATCATACTCTTCTATTTATTCTTTTTATAATTTTAACCTGTTTTTATATATAACCAATTAGATACATGCATTATAATTAATATATGTATCTTAATTAATTGAATATACTTTATATATGTATAATCATCACATAAATGAAAATTAATATTATATATTTTAATTAATCAGATATGCTTCAATATAATAGACGATATGAATCACAATCAATCTTGTGTACATGTGCGATGTATCATTCTAGATACATGTACTAATGTGAATCATAATTAAATTTCCAATAAAGTGACAGAGGCTTATCCTTTTTTCGGCTATAAGTGAAGAGGGGAACACAGAGATCTCAACAGCATCTTTCCTGTTACTAGTTCAATTTTATTGTAACTAGCAAATCTAATGGCATCTCCGGTGAAGGTATACGGGCCACCAATGTCGACAGCAGTGTCTAGAGTCCTGGTTACTCTGATCGAGAAAGATGTGCCCTTTGAGCTCGTTCCCATTGACCTATCCAAAGGGGAACACAAGAATCCCGAATACCTCAAGATACAGGTACTGATGATCAGTATTCGTATTATTAACATATTCTTGCTTCCATTCACACACTAACCATCTACTTTGACTTTTAACAGCCCTTTGGCCAGGTACCAGCTTTCCAAGATGAGAGCATCACCCTCTTTGGTAAAGTTCACCAAATTCTTAACAACCGAAAGATCTTAAAAATCCCTTATTAACTGTCCGCTTTTCTTTTTCTTTTTTTGGCATCAGAGTCAAGAGCGATATGTAGGTACATATGTGACAAATATGCAGAGAAGGGAAACAAGGACTTATATGGTACAGACTTCTTATCAAAAGCAAATATAGATCAGTGGGTAGAAACTGATGGGCAGACTTATGGTCCTCCAAGTGGGGTTTTGATGTATCAGCTTCTATTTGTTCCTAAGAATGTCAAAGACGAAGGCTTGATAAAGCAGAACGAGGAGAAGCTGGGGAAAGTGCTTGATGTTTACGAGCAGAGGCTTGGAGAGAGTCGGTTCTTGGCTGGAGATGAATTTTCTTTTGCTGATCTTTCTCACCTGCCTAATGGAGAGTACTTGGTGAATGCCACTGATAAGGGACATCTGTTTACTTCCCGGAAGAATGTGAACAGGTGGTGGAATGAGATTTCGAACAGGGAATCTTGGAAGAAGGTTCTTGAGATGAGGAAAAATGCTTGAAAATATTGGTCTTTGGCTTGGTTTGCCAGCACTCTCGAGCAAGGTTTAATAAGTTGCGGTCTCGACCTTGATCTGTGTTTTGTGTTTCTTTGTGCTCTCGTTACCTGTGTTTTTTTAACCTTATATCTGTGTGTTTGAGCTTGCCTGTTTCTTGTTGATCCAATAAAAACCACTACTATGTCTTGGACTTAATGACTACTTTTTCCTTTTGGATTCAAATTCAACAATCTTCAAAATTTGGCTTAATTAACGCTCATCCGATACCTGAACTAGTGGCTCCTAATAATTTTTCCTCCTAATTTTATCAGTATGTTTCTTCATATTATAATTATTATATAAATAAAAAATAAAAGATAAAAAACTAAAAGAACGGAGGAGTATGATATGTAGATTGTGACTCGGTATTACTATTGGCTTCTGTTGCATGTATCTCGACCGTCACTTCTTTTCTATGTCTGTTGTGGCTTCGTTCCTACCGCATGATTTGCCAATAATTTTTTCGTTATTTTACTCATTCTACCTCTCAAAGCCCGCCTAATTCCCTTTCTTTTTACCTTTATTTATGTTTGTGCCAGTTAGTGCTCTTTTGAACTTACCTTAATGCCCTCATTTTCTATCCTTTGTTGGCGGCCTTTTCTACCCTGTTTTGTAAGTTCCATTATTTCTTGCTCAGTGCATTCAATGCAGCACAATGATGGTGCTACACCCATTTGTTTAAAAAATATTATCCCCTCCTCTTTCTCCATTCTCATCCATTTGGATCCTTCTGATAGTTCATTTTCAAGGAGTATTAATTAACAAACGGGTCAGGCCGCTTCTTTGCTCACGTTAATTATACCCAAAGTCCCTATATTATTAGGGATTGATTAATAATGTCCTTTTACTACTAATATGATTACTAGAGTGTCTTTACAATATATTCTATTTACAATTAATTTTTTCTTTTGTCTAAAATGCTATTAACATTAATTTATTGACTCACAAATTGAAAAGAAAAAAATAAAAAAGAAATTACCCTAATGAAATTACATTTAAAAAATAAAAAATATTCTTTTAAAATTAGGAAAAAAAAGGACACTACTCCCATACGTAATGAGTCAAAAAAATTAAACTATACGTAGACGTATTTATTTGGGTTTTTTACCTTTTAAATTATTTTTTTATTTCAACTTTTCACCATTCATTTACTGTAGCTATTAACCCACTAACACTGTTCATTGAAGTTCGATTTTTGAATAATTTTTGCTTCCTTTTTGGGCAGTTATGTACAAAATATACAATCTTTTATATTTTTGTCTTTGATATTTTTAAGTTTTTATTTCGATTCGGATTTTTTTTTAGGGGCTGGTTAGGACCCAAGGCCAGGAGAATCAGGCCCAAGTGGGGCTAGCCTCACATACAGCCTATAGAAGCAGGGCCACATGCACGAGCTTGATTAAGCAGGCTTAGGCAGGCTGCGTCGGCCGAGCGCGGGCCTGACCTTTTTTTCTCTTCCAACAATTTATTTGTTGTTTATTTTTTTTTCCCATGTAATTGGGTCTGAAAATTATAGAAAATATATCATTTTTTTTTATTTTTACTTACAATTTGATGATGATGAAATTTATATGATATGTTTTAAGATTTTAATTTAAACATATATCATATTATATTGCTCTTATTGTTTAAAATCTATTTCTTCAATTTATCATTTCTTATTGAAATTCTCATAAATTAATTTTTTTTATATAACTTTATTTATTAAGAAATATGTTTTTTTTTTACATGTTTATTTTGAAATAAAAATTTTAAAAGGGATTATTTTATATATTATTATAATTTATATGATGAATTTTATTATTTGTAAATGAGAGTAGCTTAGTTGCATGTGTGTGTGTGTGTGTGTGTGTGTGTGTGTGTGTGTGTAAGGCTAAAAGTGTGTTTTAAATCATTTGAATCAATTCTTTTAAAAAATATATTTAAATAACCAATTAAAAAATAAAATTCTTGAGTTTTATCTTCTTTTTTTAATATATATGATTAAAATTTATCGAACTAATTTTGCAGTAATTTTTATTTCAATCTATTGACTTCAATATATTTCATGCAACTTAAGTGATATATATATATATATATATATACATACATGCACACATAACATCAATTATTTATTTTTTATTCTTTTTCATATTGTAAAATCAATATTTTTTAATAAAACAATTGAAATGAAGTTTTGAAAAAACCTCTTAATTATTGAAATACAAATTTTTATGTGAATTTTATTAATTATTTTGTTAATAAATATATATAAATTAAATTATTTCTCTCGACAAATAGATCCGATTTACATTGGTCACAAGAAACAAAATTTCTATCCATGTTGTACCGTACGAATTGTTGATCTTATGCATATAATGGTTGCCCGACCATAGCACGGGTATCTAACTAGTGAATTCATAAAAATATCTCAATTTAGTAATTTTAGAGGGTTAACTTAAGTGAAAAAACTTCTAAATGGTTTAAAATTCAAGTATTATGTGTGTGATCGAATTTATTTTCCAAAAATTAATTCCTAAATAAATTATTTTTCAGAAAATTATTTTTCAAAAAAATATTTTTTACCGTTTAACAATTATATGGAAAAACTGTTGAAAAATATATTATAGTTTTTGTTTGATATAGAAAATCAAAATACAAAAACAATATGTGATTGTTACATCAACAAGTTTTGAGAAAATTTCAAAAAGGCATATTCACAATTTTACAATATAAGCATAAATCTTCATAAATACCGACTCTAAAATTTTAATTCAAAAAAATATATATTTTTTTAACTATCAAACCAATTCATCAAAATTATTTGGGACAAAATCAAATTAATATTCACATTTATTAAAAAAAAAATAAGTAATCCTAACATTGTTATTTTGGTAACTCAATTAAGATTTTGTTTTTTTTAAAAAAAGAAAATTGAACCGATAGTTTAGTCTAAAAAATGGTTTTACAAATAATTAGTTATCATTTATAGATAATCATTCATTTGGTTTCAAAGATTAATGTTAGAATAACTTGTAACTAATTATTCACTACAATCACTAAAAAAAATTTATAACTGATTAAAATTATAAATTATTGATTTAGTTGCAAGTGAATAATGTTGAGAAAATAATATCTTTATTAATAAATTAATTAATTTTAATTTTTTTTACAAAAAATTGCAGTCTTGTAATAATCATATTCAATCATTTAAGTATAGTTTAGGTAGTGTTTGAGATAATAATAAAAAATAGAGATAAGTTATTGAAATATTTATTACAAAAATAATTTTAAGGTGTAAAAGTGGTTTTTAAGAATATTTAATGTATTTATAAATCAAAAAATCAAACGTTAGTAGATATAGAGAAAAAATAATAATAATTGATAAGGAATAATTAAAAATTAATTTGATATATTTAAAATAGAAAGAAGTTAGAGAAAAATTATTAAAATATATCGAGAAAAAGATAAGTAACGTAAGAGCGAGAAAGTTCGTGAAAAGAAAAATATTTTTCTCTTTTTTAATTAAAAAATATTTTTAAAAATATTTTATCACTTTTCGTTAATTGAAAATTATTTTTCGTTGACTGTTTTGCTAAATATGACACAAACACATTTTATTCCAAGAGGAAAAAAAGTTTTGGAAACTTGTTTTGACAATCTTAGTCGTATTTTATTCTACAAGGCCAAGGGAGAATGAAGCCCATTACTCATGGACCGAACAATGTAGAAAGCCCACTTTAGACGTTTCTCGCATTTGATTCTCGGTTGTCCAAAACCAGTAACTGCGAAAACACAAATGGAAGCCATTCTTCTCCTTCCTGCTTAAGCATCCAATTTGAGACTGAGAGACGATTATGGAATCGAGTTCCAAAGGAGAAGATGAAGTCGGAGGATACAACAGCAGCAACGTTAAAAAAGCCAAACTGCAGTCGACACTCGCTGCTGTCCTCGACGATCCTATACTTTCTGATGTCCCCAAGAAACCCACTTTATCTGACGTTGACACCCTTATCAGCCTTGAAATGGGTAGCGCCATGCGCATATCTGTTAAAAAACTAGACGGAACCTCTTTTGGTAGGCAAAGCTTTACCGTTTTCTTTTTGGCATTTTAACAAACACTTAATATGTAGCAAGTGGAACTAAATTTTTCTTTTGATTTGTTTTCGGTGAAGATATAGCAGTGATGAATTCGGCTACCGTTAAGGATTTGAAGCTTGCAATTAAGAAGAAAGTGATTGAGATGGAGCAATCCAAGATGGGTCATCGTCATATTTCATGGTAAGCTATTGTTCTCCAAGAATTTTTCAAGCTTATCATTACCACAGCCTGCAATTTGCCGTTAATTTAACAGTGCTTTTTGAATATCAAGTAGCATGATGTATTGATTTTGCGTTTCCAGGAAGAAAGTATGGGCGAATTTTGCCCTCTCGTGTCATAATCAAAAGCTGCTCGATGACAATGCTGCACTTCAGGATTTTGGCATTCGCAATAATTCTCAGGTTTCAGATTTATTCTTGTATTTATCGAGTATGATTTTATGTGTTAATTTAGCTGCGGAATGCCAATGATGTTGCAATCTTCATAGCTATACAATTATCATCCCCTGCAGAGTTATGTTTAATAGATGACTTCTGTTTCTCTGCTATGGCTTCCGTTGTCTTTGGCTTAGATGTTTGTTGTGCCTGCGCAGGTGCATTTTGTGTCCTATGTCATGTCAAAGGGTTTTCGAAGGCAGTCTAAGCGGAGAAAGCACCGTTTCTTCCATGGCCTTAACAAACGTGCTTAAGGACTCCATTGTATTGCTTGATCTCATGATGCTGTACAGCTCCTAAACAAACCTTCTTTGTTGATATTTTTACTGAATTTATAGAAAAATTATTCACATGTGAATGCTTCGTTCATATTAGTTCTGGTCTGGACTTCTCTAGTTTTCGTAGAATTCCTTCTACAGCAAGTTTCATTGCCACCTACCTGAAATACTTTGGTACTTTCAGAAGGAAGTGGGAATATTCTGCAACACTTTGTTCTCTAGGGAGACTTTTAAGTTTGGAAAAAAGCTTGAAACATTCTTTAGTTCGGAGTGGGCAATGGTATGGATATTTTTTTCTTTTTAGATTATAGACAATGCAATGGTTCCGTATCTGTTATAAGATTGAATCTACTGATAACTGAGTTTTAAATCCTATAATTAATTAAGTCTCCAACATAGTTTTAAATCTTGAAGGTGGTTGAAAAAAGGTTGCAATCGCAATCGCTATTTCTAACTTATTATGATAGTAAAATAACTATAATGCAATCGATGATGTGAATATGTTAATAACTGTTAATAAATTTATTCTAATTCACATAATTTTAACAATTTTATTAATTATGCATACTAATAACATTTTGTAAGGAGGCTGTAAAATACAAAAATTGAAATTTTGATAAATAAAAATGTCATATAACAGTAAAGCTATTATATAACAGTAAAGCTATTATTTATCGTTGTTCATGTGAATAATACCGAGATCCTTTTTAATGTAGAATAAGAATGTGACCGAATTGACCATTGCATTATGTATTGGCCGTTATTTGAATCAATGGTCTCCAAAACAAAACCTTATATCAAATAAAGTTGATTAGCATACATACGTCCCAAAGCTTCCTCATGAAAATGCCATGAAGAAAAAATGAGCCCAATCGACTTCTTTTTTTTTTTTTTTATGTAATTTAGCATCTTCCTTATTATGTCTCCCAAAGATTGTTTTTCTGATGCAGCTGGAAACAATTGTCTTGTCTCTCCTCTAACCCTTTTCCTTGCCAACGTTGTGTCATCTTTATTTTCTCCTATTAGTCAGGATTGTGAAGACAGATAGTGTGTGCCAAGAAAGAACTTGCATGCTTATTTTGCTATAGGTAGTCCATTTTCGGTCCATGCAGTATATCCCCCAGCAACATCAGTTACACGAATAAAACCCTGCAGAAGCAACAAAAAGTAGATGTTCGTCTTTACTGTAAGCAACCAGACATGGGTAGCTCAATATGAAAGCTTTCCAACTTTCAGATGTCATGTGCATTTCCTTCGGCCACTGATCACTCACCCCAAAATGCACCCCGATCAGTCTTTATCATCTTCTAAAACCAAAAGTATGCCTATTATAAGTTAGGATCTAGGGAAAATCTTCTGCATTTCATTGCCCAACTATTATCCAAAACGTTAGATATGTCGGCTTTATGTTGTCCTTGAATATCTTCTTAATTTCTGAAAGCAATGCAATTATGCGATTCCATATCCTCCACCAAAACAAAGATCGATAAGATATTGAAAGCTTGGTTACAACAAAAACAATCCTGACTTTATATAGAACAGAATATTTGGGGTGGATTGTATTGTATCCACAAGAGTATAGCATGAAATTTCTTCAACAAGTATTACCAGAACATGCGAGGATGAGGAAACTTACAGCTGATTGCAGATCCCTTGCAGCCATAAGCGACCTTCTTCCACTCTTGCATCCCTAAGGAACGAGAAACAATCTGTAAGGCTGGATTTCAAGTCATGTCATTAGATATCAAGGAATAAGATCTAAGGTTATGGCATTTACAACGACAATATCATCTTCTTTTCCAAACTGCATTGATACTTCCTCCAAAAACTTAGAATTCTTGAACATTTCTGCACAATAAGCAAATTCATGGACACTATAAGCATAGCAAATTCTTGCAAGAAACCAAGCAGCTAATTCTCAGAATCTTTGCTTTGTTTCTCCCTTTTATTGAGATAATATTTCAAGAGATTTGCCTGCTCCGTTTTTAAACATGTAGGGAATGTTCATGGCCCCAGAAGGATGTCCAGCACGGAACTCATCATGGGTCCTACAAAGTCAAATCGAAAAATAATAACATGAATATAACGAAACCAGACAAAAGATTACAGCGATATATATATATATATATATATATCTATGCAAAAAGTTTAACAAACTACAGTTCCCACAAATTTGTGGGCATGACAAAACCAAATCAATGGCATGCGTTTGTAATGGCAATGCAAATGCTGACGGCATAATGGAAAAAACTCTATATCATTAATCTGCATTTAGTTTTTGGGTTATATATATTTTGTACAGAATTAATAGTTGAATATGTCCTTATGTTATATAATAATATAATTTTTCAATATATATGTCTTTATATACCTAATTAAGTTATTTTTATTTTTAAATATACTTAGAATTTTTAATTTATTATTTTAGTAAGATTTTTAGGTCCTTAATAGCCACATGCTTTGTCTGGCTTGCAAATACATTCTAAAAATAAAAAATAGTCATATGCAAAATAAGTGATAAATTTTTGTAATTTGTCTGAAAATTTTGTCAAAATCATTCATTAAAAACTTAAAAATAGTCATTTGTAAATTAAGTGATTAATTTCAGTGATTTTCAAATATATTAAAAACTTAACATATTTTCAAATATAAAATTGATTCAATAAAAAATATAAAAACAGATTAAATATTATCCTACAAAAATAAATTGAGTCATTAACTCTCTTATATATGAATAAATACAGAAAATGAAATGAATTCTTTCAAAAATGAGAAGAAAACCAGAAAAAAAAAAAAAAAACTGGAAATTAAACCAGCGAAACCCGTCAAAGAAAAGCAAAGGCTAAGTACCTGACGTCCAAATACTGGTGTCCAGCCTGAAGAAGCTCGTGTGCTACATGAACTGGAACGGATCTTGGCTGTACCTGAAACGACTGTGTTTTTGTATTTCTTTCGTTGTCATCAGCAATGGATCTGCATCAGGAACATGTGCCCATTTTAATTTACTGCTTTTACCTCCGGTTAATGGGAAAAAACCTATAAAGTAAACATGCAAAAATAAATAAAAATATACCCCAAGTCCGAGACCCTGTCTTTTGCATCGGTATGGTGCCCTTTGGCAACATGAAACGCCACCAACCCTGGCCACGATACCCTAGACACAGACCAAAATGCCATTTGCTTTTTATTATTATTAGCTTAGTGACCATTGTCTATTTACGATCGAAGAGAGAAAAAGAATAAAACCAACCAGCTGGTAAGGGCAATATTTTGTGAAGGAAGAAGAAGAGAACGCATGGAACGAATTAGGTGATTTGAGGAGGAGAAGGATGGCATTTTCAATCTCTCTGATTTGTTTCCTTTTTGCCTCCCCTTGATTTTCTTTTGCCTTTTTTATTTGTTTGGTGTGGTGTTGAAAGGCTAGTGCTTAACTGCTAATGGTTCGAAAAAAGAAAAACAAACAGACGGACAGGTTAGTGCTAATGGGAGTAGTAAAGGTGATTAAATGCTTGAGCTCTTGATATGTTAAGCAAATGAAAGAATTGAAGATGCACGCCTATTTTATCAAAAACCAGATTCATCCAAGAACTGGTAGATTCCCTTGGCTTAGGTTTAGATCTCAAATGTAGGGTATCTATTGGTGTTAAATAATTCGTCAAAGTACGGCTTAAAAATTAAAAATTTGTGAATTGTTATTTATTTATTTGAATGCCACCATAACTTGAACAAATTGGCTTTTTTGTGCTCCCATTTTTTCTATATATATACATATATGATTAATCATGTATTTAGTGACTATATTATTCATATTTTCTTAATGTGATCTCTTTAATTTTTATATATGGCTCTTTTTATTTTGAATATTTTTTTATGTGACTTTTTTAATCAGATTTCGATTAGTTTTCTAGCAATAAATAAGAAGTGGACTGCCACCTCAAATAACAGGGACTCGTGTCAAAAAAATTAAGAAAATGAAACTAAAAACAAATTATTTTTTGAATTTTTTTTTTTTTTGACTTGTCGGTTGTTACTATTATCATATGTCATTTCTTGTCGGAAAATTGAAATAAATTTATTATTAGAAGGACTATACTAAGAAAATATTTAAAATATAAAACCACATTAAAAACATATTTAAAATTAAAGGTCCAAATAAATGAATAAAAAATGAAAGAGCAAATCATGCAAGAGTTCAGCTTTTTAAGGCAAGGAAAGTGATTGGTTCGTTCGGGCTTACTGGGCCAAAGGTCCAGGGCCCCTTTTCTGGGCCAAAAAGCATGGATTCGTTGTCCAGGGCACTTCATCTTTCCTAGGAATAATTAACGGTAAGAATTTCTTAAGAGAAACAATCACTTGCAACCATTGATGCGTTTGGTTCAATGTTAAGACAGTCACAGGACACATAGTAGGTGATCAAGATAAGAGGATCTTTCAATCTCTAGTGCTCTTTAAAAAAACAAGCCAGGTAAAATTAATGATTAAATGGAGATGGAGAAGACTTAGAAGTTAATGTTAAAAGGATTATATATTTAAGAACATCTATGGGGTAATAATGACTGTATTGAGCATTCCTAACAAAAGTTTACATCCAGAGACAGGAAAGTCAGAGGCATGCACTAGAACTTTTTGGCACGAAATTTTCTGGTTTGGGTCAATCCTGAGCTTCTTTAGCTCTAATATTCAGCTCCACTTCCATGGCCTGCCCGAGCGTAAGTTTCTCCTTGTACTCTTTCAATTCTCTCTTGTACCTTTCCTTGTCTTTCAACCCAATGTTTTGGTAAACCTGCGGAGGGACAAAGAAATATGGTAAGATCAACTTGAAATGCTTCACTTTGACTCTTGAAATGTCAAGGGCTTTTAATGAGTTATGGTAATGTAAAGACGGGAATTGACAATGTAGAGCATTAGTGTTTGTACCATCCTCTCCTCTGCGCTGAGATTGCTCCAAGACTGGCCTATCATTTTTGTAAACTCCCTTTCTCTATTTGGGTAAAGGGATTTCAGCTTGTAGTGTTTTTCAGCAAAGAAGAAGTTGTAGCCACTCCTGTTGGGCTTGGGGTAGCTGGGATCCCCAGCTCTTCTGCTTCTTCTCCTCCTCCGATGACCAGAAAGATGACGTCTCCGGTTGGGATTGTATGGAACAATGGCCCCGTCGTATTGGGAAATAGAATTGGACAAGTCCGACTGGTCTGGATGGTAAAGTATTCCCTTGAGAACCTCTGACCCTAATTGCACCGAGACTAGATAACCACAGTCAAATTTCCCTTCTATTGTCCCATTGGCCGAAAAGGACGAAGAGCCTGTATAGAAGATTAGATAAAATTAATCTGCTCGTTACTGATTAATAAAGCAAAACAGAAGTATGCTAGCTCTAGATAAAAATATTTTCAGTCAATGAATTAAGAAGTCCTTGGAAAAGTAGAGACTATTGTCAAATTCTACATGAGTCAAAATGAAAAGATTTTCATTTCTGATTGATATCCCTCACACAATCAACTCTATAAAATCAAGTAAAGCATAGACAGAGACAACCAAAAAGGGATTTTCAACACAAGGAACCTCATGTACTGTAAAAAAAAGACATAGACTATAGCCACATATATATACATATACTATATATATATATATATCCGAAATTATAAGATAAATGTCGTGGGACCACTAAGAAAAGGGAAGATTCGGAAATCACAGAAGTATCCACATTCGAATCAAAATGCCAAACGTTTGACATTGAAAAATCTTGCCTAAAAATGTAATTGCAAACATCTCAAACAACAGACTTAAGGGATTTATCAAATTAAAATTATATAGAAGATTATTATACGTGGAGCAAAAATTAGATCAAACATTTGTGGTCTGAGGTTGAAGTTCTATTTATCCTCTTACATTTATTTTCTATAAGCAATGAAATTGGGAGATTCACAAACCAACTTACTTTCGGCAGGCGGATTGGGACAATTTGCCCTTATCGGTTTTTGGGAATATTCCACAATAGCCAATTCAGACTTCGAAGGGCTGCTAAGAGAAAATGCAACTGCAGAAGTAAATAAGCAAAGAGAAATCAGTTAAAAAGGGGACAAAAACAAATGACATGAATAAAAGTAAACAGCAGAAGAGAAACTCATGCAAGAAACAAAGAATAAGCCAGAATAATAAATGATGATCACCTGCTGGAGTAGAGACTGGACCCTGGATCTTGAAGAAGTGAACCTGTTCATAATGATAAAGGAGGCTAAAGTAGTGTTTCCTTAGTACAAAAGAAGCACTTGTTGTTGTTGCGGAGAACCTAAACACAGAACCCACTTCCCTCCATTTCTTCTCTGCAACAACCTACACATGCATCATCCATCACTTTCATTTTAGTGAAAAATGTCTTGCAAAACAGGTTGTCAAATTATAGACCAAACCGACCATTAGAAGCAGAATCGAACCTTCTCATAACCACCCCTGTTAGTTGCCTCTACATATAAAATATGCAAATCTAGCTCCTTCCCTCCAATCACAGGAATCCTTCAAAAAACATAAAGAGAAAATGATCATCGTATACAGAAACAAAACATGATCAGCCAAGCAAACAGTCTGAAAAGATCACCTCTTTTCTTCTTCTTTTTTAACCTTTTCTCAAGTTCCCATTACCATCAGACACAGCGAATCATTCATTTCTCACATAACTACAGACAATAAAAGAAAGGGAAAAGGAAGGCTTACATGAATTTGGTTCCCATTACAAAATGAAAGCGCCTGAGAGTGTCCCAAAAAACAGAAGGGTCCTTAACAGCGTCTTCATGAGAGGCAAGTGGTTCAGGGTAATGCTTGTTCTCCATTCCGTTCTTGAAACTTTTCTTGCTCCCCGGCGACATTTCCACGCCGTCGCCGCAGAAACCAAGAAGAGGAGATTGTTATTAATATTATTATTAATCTTACTAGACCATGGATTTGAAAGAAACAGTAGTAATGAGGACAAACGAAAAAAATTATGATGCCAAGATAAGACAGTAATTAAGACTGAGCAAAGGCAGAATTAAAAGAAGAGCAGTGACGCGTGGTAGGCAACGGTTACACAAAATTGGCTTTTTCTTGCATTTTGAATGGCCTAGTCCAGCCGGTAATAAGAGAGGGACAGAGAGCAGCAAAGTCCTAATAAGCTAAGCCTGTCTTATTTATTTTACACAGGGCTATGCTCATTATTAAGCACTACTTACTATACGATAGTCGCAAAGTACTGGGCTACTTTCCTTCCCTCTCGTGTCAATCGAAGCCTGACATCTCTGCAGCAATGAGAGCTTTGATTTTGGTTCTCTTTCTACCCATCTAAGTGTAACGTTGACATGCACTTGCTTTCCTTTGCTCTGATAGAGTCTTCTGACCATATCTTATGGTACATCTGTAGAAAGATATAGTAGTCTTTTGGGTTCGGTATCTACCATTTGGTGCAGTCCAGTGCATTAAGCCTATTACAATTTAGGTATCTGAAGCCTTCCTATGCATTAAAATCCTCCCTCCCTATTTATAGTTCTAATCCTGCTCGATGGATCTTTCTTTCGGGTCTATCTCTTTATCCTCCCAAAACATATTTGGGCCTTCCAAATATAAGCTTTGACTGGTTAGGCAAAAGGTTTATATGGCAGGAAAATTTTTTGAACCTACTACCTTCCAAGTAGGAGCTGATTCTAGAAGATATGATTATAAGCTCGATGTTGAAAGATAATCATGTTGTTTAATTTTTAGACTAAATTGATCGAAGTTCTTCTAAACTTTAACTCATTTAAAATTAATTCTTTGACCTTTAAATTTAATTTTTTAGATTTTTAAACTTTTAATTTTTAAAAATTTCATCCATTTTTTTGTTTTTTGTTTTTTCATTTATCTTAAAAAAAAAAAAAAAATTATATAAATAGTTCAATAATGAAAATCATTTTGTGAAATTTATATTGAATTTTTCAAAAAATTGAGATCATTTTGATTTTTTATATTTTTAATATTCAAAAAATAAACAAATATACTTTTTAAAAAATTTTGAAAATTTTCTAAAACAAACTGAATTTTTTCCAATACATGTACATAGTTTCATATTAAAATATCAAAAATTGAATCTTTTAAAGATAAATATGGTAGTTGAAAATTATTAAATAGACTAAATTTTTTAAAAAATAAAAGTTTAGGAATTTTAAAAACCAAAATTAAAGTTTAAAAGATATTTAAATTATTTAGCTTAATTTTTATGTTTATTAAACTATGGATACGGATTCTAGAAGATTATTAAATAAATCAACTGATTATACAAGTAAAACTTTTAATTATATCAACTAACTTGTGTTATTAGACATGTTAGAAACAAAACTTTCTATTAATATCAATTAATCCTTCCTTAGGACAGATGTTAGAAAAATCGTACATAAAATAGGATACGTTTGAGTCAGTTTTCATTCACTGAAATAAATTATTTTTTAATTAGATGTTAAGTAATGTCATTTATGGAAAGTAGTGCCAAAAATTATCCACTCTTTAGGCCTGTCTATAAAGGAGAAGGCCCATTAGAAATGGTAAGGGGTAACCCTAAATAAAACCACTCTTGAGGCCCGTCCATAAAGGGCATGCCACCTTCAAATTGACATGATCACATGATTTTGGCTGTCATGGTTGACAGAATTTGAAAAATGGCAGATGATAATGCTAATTCCTTTTATGCAAAAAACTTCACAGCGTTTCCTTTTACACAAATTTATAGGCTCAATAAGACTCTACAATGCCTTTCCAACTCTAAAATTTCACTCTTCTTCAAATTTGGACTCCCTTGTTTCAGCTCTAATCACTGCTATAAGCACTTGCAGTTCCATCTCGTATTGCAGGGCAATTCACGGTCGAATAATCAAATCTGTGAATTACAATCAAGGGTTCATCGGCGATCAGTTGGTGTCTGGTTATATTAAATTGGGATGTACAAAAGATGCATTTGATCTGTTCGATGAATTGCCTGAGAAGGATTTGGTCTCCTGGAATTCTTTGATTTCTGGGTTTTCTCGCCGGGGGAATTTGGGAGTTTGCTTGAATTTTTTTTCAGGATGAGATTTGAAATGGGTTTGAAACCTAATGAAGTTACGGTTATTCCTGTGATTTCAACTTGTGCTGGTGTTAGAGAACTTGATGTTGGCAAGTACATCCATGGGATTGCAGTGAAATTGGGTATGCTTTTGGAGGTTAAAGTTGTTAATGCTCTTATTAACTTGTATGGGAAGTGTGGATATTTAGAGGCAGCTTGTTGCTTGTTTGAAGGAATGCCGGTGCAAAGTTTAGTGTCATGGAATTCAATAATTGCAGTTCATGTGCAAATGGGATTGGTTGAGAAAGGGGTGGGGTATTTTATTATGATGAGAAGAGCTGGAGTTAACTGTGATCAAGCAACTTTAGTGAGCTTGCTTCTAGCGTGTGAAAATTTAGGTTTTAGGAAGCTGGCAGAGGCAGTTCATTGTTATATCTTGAACTGTGGTCTGGATAAGAATTTAACTATTGCAACTGCATTGTTGGATTTGTATGCTAAATTGGGTATTTTAAGCGATTCATGCAAGGTCTTCAGTGAGATGATTAATCCGGATGCAGTGGCTTGGACTGCCATGCTAGCGAGCTATGCTATGCATGGGCGTGGGCGAGAAGCGATGGAGCATTTTGAGCTACTGATTAGAGAAGGTGTGGTGCCTGATCATGTTACTTTCACTCACTTGCTGAGTGCTTGTAGCCATTCAGGACTTGTGGAGGAGGGGGAAAGTTATTTTAAGATTATGTATGAAGTTTATGGAGTTGAGCCAAGAGTGGAACATTATTCATGCGTGGTTGATCTTTTAGGTCGCTCGGGACTCCTAAATGATGCTTATAAGCTCATCAAAAGAATGCCAGTGGAGCCAAATTCTGGTGTGTGGGGAGCTCTTATTGGTGCTTGTAGGGTTCGTGGTAACATTGAACTTGGGAAGGAAGTTGCCGAGCAATTGTTTGCTTTAGACCCATCAGACTCTAGAAACTATATCATGTTGTCAAATATTTATTCTGCAGCTGGTCAATGGAGGGATGCTTCGAAGGTGAGGGCTTTAATGAAGCAAAGAAGCCTAATCAGGAATCCAGGATGCAGTTATATTGAACATGGGAACAAAATACACCGCTTTGTAATGGGTGATCAATCTCACCCTGACACAGAGCAAATATATAACAAGTTGGAAGAACTTATAAGAAAGAATCGGGAAGCTGGATTTACATCAAAAACAGAATATGTTCTGCATGATGTTGATAGGGAAGTGAAAGAAGATTTGATCAATAAGCACAGTGAAAAGTTAGCCATTGCCTTTGGACTTTTGGTGGTTAATGCTGGTATGCCATTAATTATTACAAAGAATCTTAGAATTTGTGGTGATTGTCATGGCTTTGCAAAGCTCGTATCGCTGATTGAGAAGCGTCGAATCATAATTAGAGATACTAAGCGATTTCACCATTTTTCAAATGGATTATGCTCTTGTGGAGATTACTGGTAAGCAACCCCTCAATCTATGATATTGTGGTGCAAAATTTTCCTTCACCATCTTACAATTGGTACTTATGACTTGACATGAGCTATCTAATTTCGTTGATTTTTTTTCGGCCAGAGTATATGTTCTTTACTAGTTGGATATCCACGTTATGTTACGAGAAAACAATCATTACATACGTAAGTTTAACGATTCGTACGGTGTAATGTGAATAGAAAGTTTTATTTTTAGTTAATAATGTAAATCAAATCTATATATCGTGAATTTCTAACAAAACTAATGATATGTATATATATATATATATATATAATACTTAACGATTCGCATTCGAGTATATAGAATAAATAGAAAAATATATTAAAAAAAACCCACCTAAATTGTATAAAATATATTGAAGTCAACTGAATGAAATTATCCTATAAACTAAAGCAAAATGGTTTTTACTGTATCAATGAACAGTGATTTGTTGTTTTTTTAAAAAAAAAATTCATTTTTTTAAAAAAAAATTCATTTTTTTTAGGCCATTGCTGGCCTTCTTTCCCCCTTTTTTCCTCATTTACTGTTCATTTGAACGGTAAACAACCGCCCCTCTCTCCATTTTTTTCTTTCTAAACACTGAATATTTTTTTTTATTTCAGTCCATTTACCGTTCACATGAACAGTAATGTTGGCCCTTTTTTTTTCTAAAAATTGAATTTTTTTTTAATTTCCATTTCTTAATAATGATGAGTGTTAAAATTTTAAAAGAACCAACAATTAATTGAGTGTTAAAATTTTAAAGAAATCAATAATTTATTTCCTTTATTATTTATTTCTAAAATTTAAAAACACAAATAAGAAATAATTAAATACAAAATTTTTTATTAAAAAATTATAATTATTTTTTATCATAAAACAAATAATTAAACTTAAATAATTTTATATATTTTATCTAGCTCGCGGTGTAGCGTGGGTCAAAAATCTAGTAAAAACTATAACAAAATTGGTTTCGATAAATTCGAAGAAATATATATAAAAAAGCAAATAAAACTTGTGAATTTTTTTAACTTATTATTATTTAAAAAAATAAGTCAAACTATCTAAAACATACTTTTAGCTTTTATATATATTAAAAAAATAAAACACTCATTTAAAGATATAAAAATAATTTATTGTACAAATTATAATAATATATTTTTTAAAAATAAAACATTAATTTTCTGAACTTTTATTTTAAAATTCATATATTAAAAAACCAAATTTATTAACAAACAAAATTACATCAAAAATTAATTTAATGAGAATTTTAATAAGAAATAAATAATTAAAGAAATAATTTTTAAACAATAAGCATAAAATAATCACATATATATGTTAGCATTAATGTCAAAGATATAATTAATGTTGGTTCAAGGATATTGAAAGAACCAATAATATATATATTTTCTTTCCTAGTGAAGGGACCAATTATATCCGACTCGCTTAACTTGTACAACACTTGCTAATTATGCCATGGTAATGTGTATGTTCTTTTAAGGGTTTCATTTTGTCTCTTGGTGATGCAATCCTAAAACACATCAAGATTAAAAATAATTAGTCAATTTTTTTTTCTATCATGAGATTAGTGGCGAGAATTTTAAAAACATAAAAAAAAATATATACGAAGAAAAAAAAAGTCAAGCTCGTGCCTGGTTGGCTTGTGCGGCCAAAAGAGGCTAACGTGCTTAGGCCTGCGAGTGCGGGCCTGTGCGCTAGGCTAGGGCTACTCAGGCCTAAGCCTAGGTCTTTTGGGCCTACTTCTCCAGGCCTTAGCCATTGTTCAACCCTAAAAAGAAAATCTACAGCTTTCGACAAACTCTAGCTCATCGAAAATTCGCGAATCTTGTTTTAGATTCCAATAAACTCAATTCTGATATTATTTTTTTCTCCAAACACCTCTAAATGATCAAAATAAAGTTAAAAAACACCTTTAAAATCTAAAAAATCATTTTAATGCACATTAAAACAAAAGAAAAATACATAATCAAATCAGCTTTTTTTCTTCCGTTTTGGCTTTGATCTAACTCTTTTAATTATTTGATGCTTTGAAATCACCATAAAAAAAGAAACTCATCTTTCAAAAATATAAAGGATCAAAATGTTAAAAAATTATAATCTACAGTAAATGAACAATAGCCATTGTTTAAATACCCTAATTCTTTATAATAAAAGCCTCGTGAATTTTTTAAAATTAATTATTAATTTTTTAAAAAAATTGAGTCAATTTAATTTTTTAATTGATTATTATTTTTAAAAAAAATTAAGTTAAATTATCTAAAACACACTTTTAGCTCTCTCTCTCTCTCTCACTCATCGTAGTTTATATATGTAATATGCTACTCTCATTTAAAAATTATAAAAATAATAAATCGTATGAATTGTAATAATATATTTAAAAAATAAAATAATCAAGTTCTAAAATTTTATTTCAAAATTTATATATAAAAGAATCAAATTTATTAACAAATAAAATTATATAAAATTAAAAAATTAATTCAATGATAAGTTTAATAAGAAACAAACAATTGAAAAAAAAATTAAAACAAAAACAATAAATCAGATATATGTTTAAAATAAAATCTTAAAAAATATTATATATATTCTATTATCTTCAAATTTTATGTAGAAATGAACAAAATAACTATCTTTTTTATATTTTCACATCTAATTTTACGATAAAAAATAAAAAAACAAAATGAGCAAGGCCGGCCCTTAAAAAAGAGAAAAAAGAAATCGCTACAGTAAAGCGAGCCAGCTCAACTATTTGAGCCCATTTCTCCAAGCCAGCACCTAAAAAACAAAACAAAAAAAGCTACAGTAAAAGAATAGGAAACGCCATTTCCTTTAGTTTTTTTTTAGAATGGTTAAACGATTGATGCTGGTATGCCATTAATTATTACAAAGAATCTTAGAATTTGTGGTGATTGTCATGGCTTTGCAAAGCTCATATCGCTGATTGAGAAGCGTCAAATCATAACTAGAGATACTAAGCGATTTCACCATTTTTCAAATGGATTATGCTCTTGTGGAGATTACTGGTAAGCAACCTTTCAATCTATGATATTTTGGTGCAAAATTTTCCTCCACCATCTTACAATTGGTACTTATGACGTGATACGAGCTATCTAATTTCGTTGATTTTTTTTTCCCGATCAGAGTATATGTTCATCATGGTTAAATGATTCGTTAGCTCACCAGTTCATATTACTGTCATAGAAAACAAAATAGCTGAAACAGATGGTCCTAAATAGATTTCCTTTGAAAGCAGACTCATAAAAAAACGAAGTATTGAACCGTGAAGTCTAGAGAAAGGCTTGAGTACCTAATAGGGGAATTTGGTTTTTACAAGTTACAATTACTTTTGACATTCTAGAGGAAGGCAACGGTGGACAGTCAAGTGGTAGAAAGCCATTCAACAACATTCTTCAAACCTGAAAGGAAAACACAGCAGTTTCTGATCCACCTTATTGCTCAGTTACTGAAACTTAAAATTAATCTCCATTTGTGAAAAGCAATCATCCTTGTTCGCATCCGAACCTTGCACCGTTGATTCATAGGGAAGAAGAGCATTATGGGAAGGGATTTCACTTGGGTTCAATCCATTGGTACCTTGTTTGATTCTCTTCAACTCTGCATAGACACACAAAACGGAATCATTATGGCTAGCTTTCCTTAAAGTTTTGCATTTAGGTGATGTTGTTAAGCTAGTCCAGATTGAATTTCCTTTTTCCCGCTAAATAGCTGCAATTCCCATTCCATAAGTTAAACGGAAATAAAGAATAGCGTTGGGCTTACAATATTTACAGGAGCCCGATTTCCTAATGCATCCTTGAGAAATAGAAAACTTGAAAGGGAAACTCTTTTCTTTTCCGGATAACTTGCAAGAAAACTCATTCTTGTGACTTGATCTTGGGTTCAAATCATGATCAATGGTCAGCATGATTTATATATGATTTTTTCTTAAGTTTCCACGTTCCCTAGATGGATCTTCGTAAATGGTTCACATCCTTTCACCTATTAGGCCAGTCCTGAAAAAATGGTTCTATATTATATTGCTTGGTCCTACTAACTAGATGGCCTACGCAGGCCACATGAGGGAAAGAGAAAAGCACCGGGAACAGTCCCGAGTTGACTTATCGCTTAAGTGCCCAATTATAGAGCAGCGACCAGCCGACCAGCACGTCCAGATAATTAGATTTAAGCTAAGCCACCATTTGTTACGGCACCCAAAAAGAGAATAATAAAGAAAGGGCTAGCAGCTCAATTAATTTTTATACAATAAAATAATATTTAATATGTATTTGTATCTCATCTCTAATTGAATTAATTTTTTAATGGTCTTCAAATCAAACCATCATAATCATTTACGGGATTTGCACATAATTATTATTTTTTAGATGTATATTGAAAGTCACTTAAATAAAAAATTGTTATGTGCAAATTACGTGATGAATTTTAATAGTTTAGTCTGAAAATTTTATTATGAAAATAATTAAACATTTAATAATAAATTAATCAATAAAAAATATAAAAACAGATTTTAAAAAATATAATAAAGACAGATCCATAAAAAATTCACTATTAACAATCATAATAACGTGACTGGAAAGTTAATTAATTGGTTTCGTGATAAAGTTGATTTGAAATATCGTGTCCTTACAACATACCGGTCTCGAACTGCTACTAGATTTTAAGATTTTTTTTTTTTGAAACTTAAATTTAAGATTTTCAAGGTAAAAGACATGACGAAGATGACTGATGGGAAATTCGTCTAAAATTTAATTTTGATACTGAAACTATTCTCCCTATTCTTCAAGACAAAATAATTGGTGAATTATTACAGGGTTTTTTTTTTTTGTAATAAAAAGTTAAATCATATAATCTTTTGACTAAGGGTAGATTTTTATATTAGATTCTTATGCACTCACAAAAGAGAAGATATTCTTGAAATTATATAGATTTACTTCAGTTTCGGGATGAATAAATTTATTTGAAACCAGAAAGGCAGAAATCCACCGCCAGATGTAGTGGGTCCATTGACAATATCCGTAGAGATTCCTTCAAAAGAAGAGCAGAATCAACCTCTTTTTAATCTCCGTGGCATGCCCAGATTTGCTCAATTATTGTCTTCGAGCTCATGGTTTTCTTGAAACTGGTATTCTGTCTTGGTACCTTACTCTATCTATCCATGCCCACCAAGTATGGAATTTTCCTCTTTAATTGGCTTTCCGAGGGTTTTTATTGTTATTTTTTTATACTATAAGTAATATATCATTTTTTTAAACTAGTTTCTGCATTAATTAAAATTAAAATTAAGTTTTTTGAGTTAAATCAGTATCAAATTATATCTTGATCAAGACAATTTATGATATCCAGTAAATAATTACCAATATTTGCTTTGTAAATTCATTTTAAAAAGAAAAACAGACACAAAAATATTGATAATTATTTTTTGAATGTTTTAAAATCAGTGTCAAATTCTAGAGAATGGTTGCTTTTCTATGGTTTATCCACCAACGACAAATCAAAATCCAACACTATGGATCGGATTGAAAACTTGAAATTAACCCTAGGATTCTTAATCATGGTGGGTTCCGCTTAATTACTTTTTTAATTGCCAAGGACCACCATGGCACCATCCACACCTGCATTATCCTTTTGTTTTGTATGTCCCGATTTTTTTATTTTCCAACATCTATTTAATAATATTATCGTTTACTTCATAAATGCCATGAACTTGAACTGCTGATGTTCGTGATCAACCAAGATGTTATTTTCATAGATGGACCATGTCTACCCTCCTGATTGAGGATCTCATGAATCCCGCCGTAGAAGTAACTTCTGGCCTGAGGTGCCATCTCTGTTATATTTATGCCCAGCACTATATTTGTGGGCCCGGTAGTGGGTATTAGTATTATCACGTTATTATTTATTTATTTATTTATTTACATTCTTCTCTGATGAATACCAATTGAATTATATATATTAGCTTTACTTTAAAATATTAGAATGTTTCAATTTAGTTTTCACTATTCTAGAATCCTGGAGAATTAGTAGCCACCCACCTATCCTTACAAGTCTAATTGCTTTTAATTTGTCTTAATATTTTAGTTAATTCTCCAACATATAATCCTATTAGGTATTTCCATATCAACTGATAAAAATATCCTCGTGTGAGACATTTAAATATTACCTGGTTTATTAAAAAAAATAACCATGAAAAAAATGAAATTTAACATCTGGCATTTTCTTTTAGACGAGAGGGAATAATATATTTTTATGCTAAAAAAAAAAAAAAAAAAAAATCCCTTCCAAAGGAAGACTGAAAACAGTTCACCAGCTACCGGCGGGTGTGCACTGAAAATAAAGACTTTTTAAAATTTATACAAATTGTACCTTAAATACTCCATCTCCGAACCGACCAAAGTTCGTAATGCCGTTTTCATTGTCGTTTTTTGGTGTTAGGATACCCAATTGTTTGAGCCAATCCACATATTTGCTTCAATCATCACTGAGCCCATTTGGATTCATTCAGTGGCGAGTGGTGTCACATGTCACAACCCTGTTTCTAATGAAGGGCAATGTGTAGAGATGATCCCGATGGATGGATGGAACCTGCCCCCTCTTGGCTCGAAATGGGTTTGGTCACGGAAATATAAAATGATCTCCTTTGGTACAAATCGAGCAGATTGTTAAAATTCGGAGACTAGATTCTCCAACATTATTTGATCCAGTTGCAAAAAATCATGTTAGAAAAAGATATATTTATGTTATTTTCAATAAAATGTCTTTTTATACAGATTCAGAAAATTATATATTATTATGATATATAAAAAAATTTGTTTGTGTTTTTTTAATATATATAATTAGTTATCAAATTTAATTATGAATAAAAAACTAATATTAACTATAAATAATTTTTAAAAATATACTACTTAAAGTTTTTATTGAATAGATATTTTTAAATGTATATAAATAGAAAGACGGAAATAGTATCGACTACGTCTTACAATTATATAGCTCTTTGTTTCTTTGTTTTTTTTTTTTAAAAAAAAATCCAAATAATAATTTAGGCATATACAATGTGTATCGAATTTTCAAGTCCTTACATGTAAATCAACAAAACAACAAAAATTGTATTGTATTTGTAAATATAACAAGTTAGGTAGTGTGTGAATTTACTCTTGGAATAATCATTTAGGTTCAAAATTTAAGGGGAGTTAGAAAAAAAATAATTTCTTCACAAATACAAGGGTTTAGGTGCAGACAACTTGCTTAAAAGTTGATCGAAACAAGACTTAACTTTAATACGTATAATTATACAAACATATATTTACAGTTAAGATCCAAAACAAAACGATAGAAATATGCTTTTTTCTTTAACTAATACCACAAATTCAAATCAATTCAAGTAATAAGAATATTCAATTGTTATTTATTCAGGAGAATGAAAACGATCATTAGTTTTTTAAGTTTAACAAAAATATCTTACTAAAATAGCCTTACGTCAAAGGACTATCTTAATGTAACAGTTTAATTGGTTATAAGAGAAATATGAGTGATAGATTTAAATGGATAATCACTTTATTCATAAGATCTTGATATTATGTATAAAGATTATCGTAATCCAACAAACTTAAACTCTTAAAAAATATTTCAAAATATAATTTATATTATTTTTTAATATTTTAACTTTTGATGTATAAAATCTAATGCGATGATGCCAAATGACCATGTATATATATATATTGAAAAAAATGGTCTTATATTTTATTTATATATGTTTTAAAATATTTATTTAATTAAAATTTTAAATAATGCATTTTAAAAAAAACCATTAATTAAAGTTAGATTTTAGTGATTGATAATTCTAAAATATTAATATAACACAATAATTAATAATTTATTTAATGTTTGATAAAAAGTTATAGAAGATAATTTTTTGGGAGATAAAAAAAGAAAGAAAGAATATTATATCTTAAGCTACCTAGGCCCACCAGTGGTTACTTTCTGTCCTCCTCCGGGCCCAGTGTTTGCTTTCTGTCCTGCTCTTAAAATCTTTAATATGTATAATGGAAGAAATATATATTTACAGTTAAGATCCAAAACAAAATGAGAGAACTATGCTTTTTTCTTTAACTAATACCACAAATTCAAATCAATTCAAGCAATAAGAATATTCGATTGTTATTTCTTAAAAACAGTGAAATGACCATTAATGTTATAAGTTTAAGTAGGATATCTTACTAAAATAAAATTAAATTTTGATAGAGAATACGAAACCATCATAAAATTTAAAAAATATATACCTTATATGCTTTAACAAAAGTGGTTTAACGTTTTATTTATATATATATATTATAATATTCATCTGATTAAAATTTTAATTGATGCATTAAAAAAACCATTAATTAAATTTGATTTCAGTGAATAATAATTCTAAAATATTAAAATAATATAACAATTAATAATTTATTTAATATTTGATAAAAAGTTAAAGAAGATAATTTTTTTAGGAGATAAAAAATGAAGAAGTAATATTATATCCTAAACTACCTAGGCCCACCAGTGGTTACTTTCTGTCCTACTCTGGGCCCAGTGGTTACTTTCTGTCCTCCTCTTAAAATCTTCTATTCGTATTTAAAAAAAAAAAAAAATCATTTTAGCCCTTGTCCCTTTACAAAACGGTTGGTTTGTCACATGATTAAGGCTGAAACCATTCTAGTTTAAGCTTCGCACGTTGGTTAACCATGGGTCCTAATACTCGCTGAATCACACCAAACATGCCATGATTAACCGGACCCCATGACCCATCAAGAACTGCAGACGTGCCCAAAAGGGTTCCATACGTGGCAGTAACACTTGACGGACTTCACTCTGGCTCGATTCAATCCCAATCCAAAAAAAGGAAGATGCCTAAGAATATTCCCACTTTTTGTGAATCTTCCCCCAATGCGAAAAATTACGGATAAGTCCCCACCTTGATTTTCCCCTATATAAACTTCCCTCTCTCCTTTTCCTGCTTTCAAACTGCTTTTCCTCACAGCTTCCCTCTCAAATCAAGACGTCAACTTTATTTTTTTTCTCTCATAATCATGGCTTCCTCTTTATCTCTCTCCCAATCTGATCAAGAAAATCTCATAGAAAAACTCGGAATTTTCAAGATTCAAGGCCGAGATAAACGTGGCCGTAAGGTTCTTCTCATCATCGGCAAACTCTTCCCTGGTAATTAAGAGCACGTAGTTTGCTTGATAATTTTTTTTTCTTTTAATCGTAAAAGTAACAGTTTTTTTTTCATTTTTTTTTTCTGCGATTTTAGCTCGGGTGGTGAGCAATGAGGTGGTGAAGAAATACTTGGAGGAGAAAATATATCCAAAATTAGAAGAAAAGCCATTCTCGGTGGTGTATGTCCACACAGATGTACAAAGGAGTGAGAATTTCCCTGGAATTTCAACCCTTCGTTCAATTTACGAGGCTATCCCGATCAACGTCAAGAATCACCTCGAATCTGTTTATTTTCTGCATCCGGACCTTCAAGCCAGACTCTTCCTTGCCACTTTTGGCCGTTTTCTTTTCAGTGGAGGGTAAGATTCTTACCCCTTCTGCCCTTTTGATGGGGCCCTTTTAGCCTCTTTGACCAACCTCCCCTCACATGAAAAGCGCTTAAAATTGAAGAGTATAATAATTAATTGTTGATTAGTTGGTGTATTAATCAATTAATTAATTTTGTGAGCAGGTTATACTCGAAGCTGAAATATGTGACAAGGCTGGAGTTTTTGTGGGACCATGTGAGGAGGCATGGGATTGAGATACCGGAATTTGCGTATGATCATGATGAAGAGCTGGAGTACCGTCCGATGATGGATTATGGATTGGAGAGTGATCACCCTAGAGTGTACGGTGGGCCAGCGATGGATAATAATCCAGTTTCAGTGTATTCAATGCGATGTATTGCGTAGAAAGATGCGATGTTTTAGGGTTTTCTTTCCATGTAAATATTAGCGGATGGAATGGAATGTGGTTTTCGTTTGTGTTTTAGGAGCGTTTAGGGGGTTTTTGTACGCTTTGAAAATCAACGGTCCGAGTGTCTTGACCGTGTGGAAAAAAGGATAAGATATGAGGAGGGGATTTAGTTTAGGTCCGGTATATATCCTTAGCCCATAAGGTACTTTTGGGAGCAAGATTTGATGACTCTGTTCGGCTTTAAATGCGTGACCTGTTATGTTAATAGAACTCAAATTAACAGATATGAACGAATTGTTATGGAGTTAAAGCTTTGTTTGTTATGTTTATTATTTATTATTATATTTCTTTACTATATAATTCTTAATTTAGTGTATTTTTTTTGTTGAGAAACAAACTAATTGTGATTAGTGATGGACGCTTGGTATTTCTCGAGTAGTTGCTTATTAAAATTTGAAGTTTGCTGTTTTACTTTTTTTTCTTTTTATATTAAAAAACAAAAGATCGGAGTAATAATAATGATATAAAAAAAAAAACATGAATTGATAATCCAATCGTGTTTCTGTCTCTATTGGGCTGTAATCTATTTCTCATTGTCTTTTTCTCCACGTCTACGTGTTAATTGATTTCTCCTTATTTGAAAAGCACTAAACTTTTAATGGATTTCTCTTAAAAGATTTTCTCAAATATGGCTTGACACTTTACCGTTGGAGATTCTCGTCTGATTTCTTATATCTGGTACTGTTTCTTTTTTTATTTTTTTTCTAGGAAAATGGAAACTTGATTGTTTGATTTTAAATTGGTTTTGTTGAATGTAGGGTTTTAATAATCTACAAGACTTTTGGTGATTTTTTGCTACAAAAGCTTGTGGTCAAATGATGATAATAGTATTTTGAAAGAAATCACATGTTAAAAAATTTTAACAGATTAGTTTTGTTAAAAACTTAAATGTGTGAGTTATAAAAAAGAAAACAAATTTTTTAAAAAAGTGATTCTTTGCCCTTTCGTTTTTTCACACCTGGTGATGTTTCACTCTGAATTAATTAGGATTTTTTTTAAAAAAAAATTAATTATTTAGTTTTTTTTGTTCATTTTATGTTCTTATTTTAAAAATAGAAAGAAATAAATAGATATTATGAAAAATTTATATATTTTTTTTGAAATAGAGTAATATTAATTTAAGGGTCATAAATACTGGTCAAATTTAACTAAATAATGCATTTTTAAAATAAAAATATTAATTAAAAAATATTTTTTCGTCACTGTAGAAACTACGACTTAGTTGAAACTCAAGCTAGAAAACGCTTTCCTTGTGTACTGCTTCCTCATGAATTTTCGAGCACCGGCGATCACCCTAGAGTCTGCAGCTGACAATGATCCAGTTTCATTGTACTCGTTAGAGAGCAATCACTTGTTCTATGCTACTATTTCTGTAGTTGACCTGTTCTTTTTCGTCAGTGTAGAAACTTTTCTGTGTGTGTGAATCAGGGGATGGGTTTGCCCTTATCGTTTCTGTTTATTAGGAGTTTTTTCACACGTTATAGAACGGGTATTTTATACATCATAATCAAAACGATCTTATCTATAATCCTGAAAAAGTAACCAGTCTTTGTCATCCTTTTATCATAATTTCTACCGAGTCAATTTGATAGCTTTTTCTGCCCCCTTTGAGAGGGCAATCCTTTAGCTTAGTTGAGACAAGAAAGCAAAATTAAAGACCATTAAGTCCCATTTTTTCTTCTGTTCTCCCAAGTTTTCCCTGCAACCAAACGGACGGTAAGCGAGAAGGAAGAGACAGAATAAGAGGTAGCAGGCCGGTAGTAGGCCTGGGTTCGGGCAAGGTATCTATAATCAATATATTACAAGGAAGCAGAAGATTTCAGCCACTCATCTTATAAGGAATATAACTTAAACAACAATGGACTTGTGACCAAGAAAAAGAGTGCCCGCTGCCACCCTCCCAAATTCACCACATGCATATCTACATAAAACTTCTTATTTCCCACAGTTAATACCTTCTTCGATTTTGACATTCATATGACTGAAAAAGCTTACTAAAGTGAAAAAAACATAACTGTAAGAACATTAGGTAGCGTACAAAGAAATTTGATTCAAAAACTGTGCTTACGCACAGCACCAACAACTTCCCACCTCTCTTTGAAGACTCCAAACACTTCAGCTAGCCCTTTAACAGGCCACAAACTAGCCAAAACTCCCTACCACAGTGTGAACACAGATCAAGAGCAGAAACAAGAATTGAATACACATACCTTCTTCTGCCAATGAATCTCTTAGCGTTAAACGATCTTGTATACAAAAATCCGAGTCTGAGGAGAGAGATTCAATTTGAGCGTTCAACAAGATCACACGAGTTGACACAGTTAACTCCATCATTTCTTCAGTAGTAACAGGAACTTGATACCATTTGCAGTAATTGTAGTTTGACTGTTTTGTAAAGGTTAGTTTGTAACTGTAAGGTGTCAAACTCTCTTGCATGTCTGCTTTCAAGGCACATATCATCCGTCCAGCAACATACCACAACCCATTTCCACAAATTTGGCACTTGGTCCAGGAATGAATTGAGAAAACCAAGATAATACACATCCGCCATAGCATTTTAAGTTGACCTATTTATTACTTAAATGCAGTATCAAATGAGATGTCAGTATTCCATCTAGAATTATCACCTCTAGACACACCTGATTACTTATCAAATTGCAAGCAAACTTACTTTCACTTGCGCCTTTGCCCAAATAGGAATGGGCCATTAAATTCAACCTAATATGTAATGTACCTAGAAACAGAGCATACATAGAACGGAAATAAGAATTTCGGGCCATGCACATTTCCCATTTTCATCAAATACAAGAAATCAATGGTTTAAGGTATCTATGTAAAAAGTCCTTCTTTTAAACACTAACACCTTTTATGATCTTCGAAAATGCGTCCAGATCTATTAAAACCAGAACATTGCAGAACACTATTTGAAAGAATAGCAATATACCAATGCAAGGTCAGGTCACTAGTTAAGCTTGATAGAAACCTGGACTTAACAGACAAATAGATTGAACCACATACAATGTTATAAATAAGGTCATAAGCATATACATAAAAGGGTATGGTATGGTTACATAATTTACAACAAAAAAACATCCTTCTTCTGCAACAAACTGTTTGAGCAGAGGGATTACTTACACATTTTACATTTACACGATGAAGATAAACACTTGTACTTACAACGTGTGTCTGAAATTAGCATGGATTGGGTGAAATCCAAAGCGGTGGAGGCCTTTGTAACCGTGAATAAGAATTCCGAGGATAACAAGGCAATGGTTCAATGCTTCCATCCCATATCCTGAAAATGCCCATATCATGTTCTCCAACATGAAAATCATAATTAGTCGCCGAGTAATCATCAGTATAATATATACAGTCCCCCATACACCCTGAGAAACCCGAAGCTGGTAAAGCCAATGAAGAATTTTCTCCAATGAATAACATCAAATCACCCAAACTTCTCACCCTTTCCCACCGCGGTCCATTCAAGTCTAGCTTAAAAACTTCAAACCGCATTGTTGTATAGATAAAATCATCAAACTCAACATCAAGATCCAAATACCTTGTAACTAATAACAACTCATCTCCAGAACTAACCAAATACTGCATATCCCCACCACTTTGCTGCGGTGTTTCGATGATCGAAACCTTAGGTGAATCACCACTAACATCACATACAGCAATTTGGCCAGCCTTATTGACAGCATAAAATAATCCATTAAAATAAATAACATCTTCACTAAACGAATGCACATTCTCAATTATATTCCAACGTTCATCTCCATTTCTACAGTAAGCCAAATCACCTGTTGAACAAAGAATCGCCATCGCCACGAAGAAATCTCCCTTCTTTTCCAAAGGGCTTGAAGACATAACCAATTTCTTTATAAACCCATCTCTCATTTGCCTCAAGCTAGCTGTATAACGCTCTCCCTGCGGCTTAACAAGCAAATACTCTCGCCCCACATTAGCGTAATCGAAGCTAACAACATTAGGAAAACTCGATATCGCAGGCAAATGAATTTTCCTTCGTGTTAAGGGATTAATGACAAGAATTGAAGGAGAATCGTCGAGGATTATGAGCCAACCATGAGAAGAACCACAGTGTTTTTTACGATGAGACGCTTCTGGGAGATTAAGGAAGTGGAACTTCTTGGTGGAGAGATCGAAGAAACCACGGTAAGAAGATTGGTTTGATTGGGACTGAGGAAGCAGGAGCCAAGGGAGTTGTGGAGGAAGGTGGTTAGGTGTTTTTGGGATTGAGGATTTCCATGTATGACATACTGCTTGGAAATGGAGATAATCGGAGTAAATTGTGACTTTTCTGGAGATTATTTCGATTATTTCAGGTGGGAGTTGGGTCCAGTCTACGGCCATTTTTGGGCTTCTTAATAGAATCAAGAAGGAAAAGCTAGAGGGTTAACGAGGAGAGAGAGAGAGAGAGAGAGAGAGAGAGGTCAACGGCCTTGTAGCTTTTTTCTTTGGTGCATTTAGAAAGGGATAATTGCAGTACACCAACTTATATAAACTTAAATTCTTTGTTTGAATATATTGATTTTTTCAAAATTACCAATTAAATAATTTCCGTCCTAACTTTTGTGCATCTTTTTCTCTAAACTCCAAATTATTTTGCACTTTTCTACTTTTTTCTTATAATAAATATTCAGATTGTTCTTACATCCAGAAAATAGAAAATGACCAAATAATGTGGAAGCCAAAGTTTTCTCTAAAAATAAAAAGTTAAAATTATAATTTAATAGTTTGAAGAAAAAAACATATCATCAAATAATAGAATAATTGATAAAAATCAAATAAAAAATACTTCATTGATAATTTTTTCAAAATTAATATATCAAAAAAAATAAAATTTATATATTTGATTAAAAAAAATATTTTTATGCTTGTAATGCAATTATCCTATTTCGAAATATTGCTACTAGAATTCCAATTTTGCCCCAGCATGTTAAATAACTAACCGAAACTAACAACAAACCACTTTTTGAATTTAGTTTTTAGTTTTGGAAGGAAAAGATGAGAAGAAAAATGAACAAAAAAGAAGGAAAAAATGGCATTCGTTACAACATTTTGTTATTTAAAATCAACAGTTAAAATTGTAACGTTTTGATACCACAACCGGGTTAATATTGCAAAATTTTAAGCTCAAAGGACAGAATTGAATATTATTAAATACACAAGAATTCTAGTTTTTTTTTTTTTAACTAATTTTTCATCTTTTAATTTCAATTCATACTTAAATCCCTGACAAACTCAGTGTGTGCAAAATATATATCTTGACTAAAAAGATAGTTCTTGAATAACTGCTATTAGGAAGTTAGAACAGCAGGATTCAAATCAGCAAAAACTCAGAGAAAATGGAAACCTGAAAGCAGACACAACTTCAAGTCACAAAGATCCAACCCTGGAGGCAATCAATCCCAAACAAAGGCCATGCTTTATGCACCAGCTTGTCATAAACAACGCAAACAGAGAGTTATAAATATGACAGTTTTTGAGTACCCTTAGTCGCTTGCGAAGTTGCGAACAACTAAACCCCAGAAATAAAATTTCTCAGGCTTTAGAAGGCAAACGCAATCAGCAAAAATTTAAATAAAATTACTTGTATGAGGGAAAATGATAACCTAAACCCAATTGTAATAATTCCAAAACAAGTAAACAGTTTCTGTGAGTGATCAGTTTATGGATAGTTAACTAAGATAAGTTTCACAAAGTTGTACCCTCGGCCATGTTTTCAACTTCAGTGCTTTCCTTGGCATTATTATCTTCACTATTGTTATTATCTCCATTGTTGCAAACGCCAAGATCAGGGTAGTTTCGGTGATTGAGAGAATGCAACCACAGAGCCACTGATCCTTCTTTGTGTTCTGTTGTCGCAATGTGTGAGTATATGTGCTTCATTTTGAAGTCCTCTGCCTCTTCTTCGTAACCTTTCATAGAAAGTTCTTCATGGCTGTCTTTCCACTTCTGGTTATATGATGTGAAAAAACACTCGTCCAAGTATAATCCAACCTCAGGAGCCGTAGGCACATTGATGTTAACATCCCTGTAAATTTAGTAAAACATGGATTGGAGAAAAACATCAGTGATATGAGAATGTAACCCGTTGAAAGGAAAATAAAAATAATAGAAGTCCTTACTTTTGTAGAGCAGTTTCTATCAACGACTCAGGTGCACAGTTCCTCATAATTGCCACAGCAACCCCAATCATCTTCCGTATCTGATGAAGCATGAAACTCTGCCCTATAACCTCACACTTCACAAACTCAATGCCTTCAACAGTGACTGTGGTCTTAGCTTCAAACGAAATAATGTAGCGCTGAGCAGAGGGGTCTTGAGCCTTAGTTCTAGTAGTAAAATTGTGAAAGTTATGACTCCCCACGTAATAATTCAATATTCGATTGAACCTCTCCTTCTCCTTCTCTCCATAACAAAACCCACTTCTCTTAATCAACTCCTCTTCTGATTTTGTATTATTATCATCACCATTCTCCACGGAAACCATTATCTCATCTTTAATTTCAGGATTGGCATCAGCATCTTCACTGTTTGTAGAAATGCCCAACTCGGGCATTGCAGATTTTGTTTCATTACCATCATTTTCCAAGACCTTAGTTTCAGTAACAGATTCACGATTCCTATTATCCCCATCACCATTACACATAAGCACACTAATCTCCTCTTTAATTTCAGATTTTACAAGACCATCTTTATCATTAGACGAAATGTCTGTTTGAGAAACATCAGATTTCGATTCAAAGCCGCGCTTACCCACAGCACCAACAACCTTACGCCCTCTCTCTGAACACTCCAAACACTTAACAAGCTCGCTATCAGACCCTAAACTAGCTAAAACACTCTCCCTATCAGGATGCGAACAGGGATCAAGAGCAAAAACTGGAATCAAATACACATACCTCCTACGGTCACAAAATTTCTTAGCATTAAACGATCCCGTCACTCTCTTGTATCCAAATATCCTAAACTGAGGAGAAAGATTTGATTGCAAGCGTTCCACAAGTCCAGGCGGGTCGATGTAGAACCGGCCCGAGACAACCTGGCCCACAGCACTCACGCCCTTATCAGTGCGAGCCGAGCGGGCCCAGTCATAACGCTTGGGTATGCCACGGTCCTGTTCAGGGACAGCACCGGCGTGAAATAGGGCTTCTTCGAGGTCCCCTTCTATGGTTTTGGCACCTGGGTTTTTCTGCATACCTTGATAGCCAACGCCGCAATAGGCGAAGAATATTGCGATTTTGCGGCGCTTGTATCTCTGTTTTTTTGTGGTTGTGTCGCCACCAGGGGTTGTGGTGGCAGCATCTTCATCGTCAGAGGTTGTAGTGGACATTTTGGGCTTTTTGAGGTCTGGTTCTTGTTGTGGTGGTGGTGATGTTGTGGTTTTTGAATCTGGGGTTTCCATTTTTTGTTTATAAAATGATTGAGGAATCCATTAAACTGTCAACATTGCTTGCTTTCTATCCCCACATAAAACCCTAGAGCGGGAGACATTGTTTAAGAGGGAACGTTCCCGTGCGGAATGCTTGACAGAAATGATCCATGTTCCTTGGTCAAGGACAGTGTAACTGTCGTTTGATCTTTATTGGGCGATGCTATCTGGCTCTCACAAACAACGGGTTAACCTGCACCGTTTTTGTACTAAAAACAATTATCTTTAAATCAATTTGTTTTACGTAATCTTTTTATTAGTGATAATTGCATAATCAGATTCAGACGACATGTCTCTTTAACGTGACTTCTTAGTTTTTTAAAAAAATTACTTCAAACATTTATAAAAATTATTACAAGAAATAACTGGGTAATTTTTTCTATAAAATTTATTTTCTTATGTAATTTTTATAAATGCTTTGAATAATAATAATAGAAAGGAAAAAAATAATAGAATCGATTAACAATGTTAAGTTAACAACATAATCAGACCATGTCTCTTTAACATATTAACACCATTAATTTTTTCTTGTTAATTTCTTTACTTATAGAAATTACAATATATATAAAAGATTTGGAGTATGAACAATGAGTTTCAGTATTCATCCCATCACAAATCACTATTCACCATTTTTTTGATAATTTTAAAATTATTTCATTTTGGTCCCTAGAAGTTTAAAATAAAAATTTTAACCCCTGCTATACATGCTTTTTTTGTTTTGGTTTTTTTCTTTTGATTTTTTCCATAAACTCATGTTCTTTTTTTTATTTATTTAACTAGGAGTTAAAATTTTAAAAAATCAATAGTTATTTTTTTTTTAACATAAATTGACGATTATATAATATATACGATATTTTTTTATATTTTAGAATAAATATATATTATTCTTATTGTTTAAAATTAATCTTTTTAATTTATTATAAAAATTCACATCAAGTTAACTTTTATTCTTATTTTTATATTAAAAATTAATATACATCTTCCAACATAATTATTTTTTTTCCACATAAACTAACGATTATATAATATATACGATAAGTTTTTAGATTTTAGAATAAATATATACTATTCTTATTGTTTAAAATTGATGTTTTCAATTTATTATAAAAATTCAAATCAAGTTAATTTTTTTCTTATTTTTATATTAAAAATTAACTATACATTTTCTAATATAATACAAATTATTCACTATGAATATTTTTTGACATTATAGGATCAATTTATTTGAAATAAAATAATTAAAATAATTTTTTAAAGGAACCAACCAATTATTCAAATATAGTTTTTTATGTTAATTTTATTGATTATTTTGTAAATAAATATCAATTGCTATTTTTTCGCATAAAATGACGATCATGTAATATATACGATATATTTTTTTACATTTTAGAATAAATATATACTATTCTTATTTTTCAAAATTGATATTTTCAATTTATTATAAAAATTCACATCGAGTTAACTTTTATTCTTATTTTTATATTAAAAATTAACTATACATCTTCCAACATAATTATTTTTTTCACGTAAACCGAGGATTATATAATATATGAAATAAGTTTTTAGTTTTTAGAATAAATATATACTATTCTTATTGTTTATAATTAATCTTTTCAATTTATTATAAAAATTCACATCAAGTTAATTTTTATTCTTATTTTTATATTAAAAATTAACTATACATCTTCCATCATAATACAAATTATTTACTATGAATATTTTTTAACATTATAGAATCAATTTATTTGAAACAAAATAATTAAAATAATATTTTAAAGGAACCTAACAATTATTCAAATATAGTTTTTTATGCTAATTTTATTGATTATTTTGTAAATAAATATCAATTGTTATTTTTTTTACATAAACCGACGATTATATAATATATACGACATGTTTTTAGATTTTAAAATAAATATATACTATTCTTATTGTTTAAAATTGATCTTTTCAATTTATTATAAAAATTCACATCAAGTTAATTTTTATTCTTATTTTTATATTAAAAATTAACTATACATCTTCCAACATAATACAAATTATTTATTATGAATATTTTTTTTAACATTATAGAACCAATCTATTTGAAATAAAATAATTAAAATAAATTTTTAAAAGAACCAACCAATTATTCAAATATAATTTTTTCTGCTAATTTTATAGATTATCTTGTAAATAAATATACATAGATCAAATGCATATAGTTGGAAAAAAAATCTTCTCATCAACATTAAATAAAAATAAAATTTTATTCTTCATTTATTAATTTTTATGTAAATCTATATGTTAATTGTAATTTTATTTTTTAGATACATTTTTATAAAAAAAATAATTTTAGTGGAGCTAGATTCTAGTGGAGCTTCAGATAATACAATGGAAATCAGAAGTCTATAGAACCTGGTTCAGGTGGTGACTAGTGGTAACTTTTAAGGCCAGAGATGAATGCCTCGCATGCTGCAGTAACTGGGACTGGATCTCAAGCATGGGGAAATGAAACCTTTTGCAGATAGAGAGACGAGGAGTAGAACAGTGGTGGTGTGATTTACACGTTCACGTTTTCTGTTATATTTGAACAAAAAAAATTAGAAAAACTTAATTTTAAAAAAATTCTGAACTTTAAGGATCTTAGAAACAATAAAAAAAATTTCGAAACTCAATTTCAAAAAATTCAAACATAGTTAGACCTCTTAACATCTGTGAAACAAGGTTATACTTTTAATTAAAACTAAATCACTATCTCTTGTATCACAAGTTTACAAGGGAGAAAAATCAGTCCTTGATACTATGTAGTTTCTTTTATTTTAGTGCGAACTAGAGATCTTGTTCTTATTTTACTCCTTTTTTAGTTCAATCATAGATAATTGTTTCATATACTTTACAAAGCCTACTAATTTAACGTATGAAATATCTATTCAATGATTGATATTTTTTTGAAAAATGAATTATGTAAACCAATTATTTAAGATTAACATTATTCGATTTTTTTCCTTTAATTTTGATATTGTTAGATCGTGAGAGAAAGAACAAGGGTATTTTTTTTCTTTTTTCTCGAGAAAGAAATAACAGAGACACCAACAAGCTATAATTGAATCTAGAACTACACTCTTATACTTTAGAGGGAAAAAAAAAACAATCATTGACAAGACAACTTACGAACGAAATGGGCTGCGCTGTAATTCTTTATTTATGATATTTAATTTAATATTATTTTATTTTATAAAATATTGTATTTTGACATCAATTTTTTTCATATATTTTATTTTTTATTTCTGAAAACATACCATCAAAATAAATTAAAAATATTAAATTTTTAAATATTGAACAAAAAATTAAATAATTAATTTTTAAAATAAAATGATTAATCAATTCGTTTTTCAAAACTAAAAAACTAAATTATAATTTATTCCGAGAAAGGTCATCCTCTCTCTTTTCTCTTAAGAAAGTTAAAAATTGCGCCTCTGATGCTAATTTGCTTAGCGTGGAAGAATTTTAGAAACACCGTTGAAGTCACGTCTCCACTCCCCGGCCGAAAAAGGCAATCCCGCTGAACAGCGAACTCCCATTTACGCTCCAGTACAATCTGGTCCACCCATCTCCACAGTCCCTCATATCCCAAGCCGCCACGTTTTCCAAATCCCACCACTTCCAAATCAGAACCGTCGAAACATTTCCTTAAGCGAGTTGCCAAACCCTCTAATTGGCCGATTCCAACCATAGAAAATAAACCGTTGAAACATGAAGGCAGACTCTCTCTCTCTTTCTCTCTCCCCTCCTACGTGATAAATTCTAATGATTTTAAATAAGAAATATATATATATATATATATATATATATATATATATATATATATATATATATATATATATATATCAATAAAATGTACATACTTTTAAAAAATAATATTCTCGTTAACATTAAATAATAATATAAACTTAAATTTTAATTAAGTTTTTACATCAATTTTAACTCTATTTTTTTTATAGAACCTTAAATAAAAATATGAAGCATTTTTTTTTATGAATTATGGATTCATTTTTCTATTTAGATTGTTACATATTTTTATTTAACAATCAATATATACAAAAGAACAAATCATGTTTTTCTTTAATTGAAAATTTATGGAAAACACAAAAAATAATTAATTAAATATAAAATTTTGATTAAAAATTTATTAAATTTAATATATATATATATTTTACTTTTAATTCGATGTATTTTAATAAACTTGCAATATAATGTTAAGTATCAAATTAAAACGTTTTGATTTTATCCGATTCGTAACATAACTCGAATAATAAACTTGTTAAAACTAAATTACTATCTCTTAGATTACAAGGGAGAAAATCAGTCCCTGATAGTGTGCAGTTTCTTTTATTTTAGTGCGGACTAGAGATTTTGTTCTTATTTTACTCAGTTTTTTAGTAATATTAATCATAGATAATTGTTTCATATAATTTACAAAACCTACTAATTTAATTTATGAAATATCTATTCAGTGATTCATGTTTTTTTGAAAAATGAATTATGTAAACCAGTTATTTAATATTAACATTGCTCGTTTTTTTTTTTTTTAATTTTGATATTTCGAGATCGTGTGAGAGAAAGAACAAGGATATGTTTTTTTTTTCTTTTTTCATGAGAAAGAAACAATAGAGACACCGACAAGCTATAATTGAATCTAGAATTACACTCTTATAATTTAGGGGGAAAAAAACAATCACTGAACAGACAGCTTATGAATGAAATGGGCTGGGCTATAATTCTTTATTTATAGTGTTTAATTTAATATTATTTTACTTTATAAAATCCTATATTTTTACATCAATTTTTTCATAATTTTTAGTTTTTTATTTCTGAAATCATACCATCAAAATAAATTTTAAAATATTAAATTAAAAAGGTAATAAACATAAATACTAAATAGTTAATTTTTAAAATAAAAAAACAATTAATTCGTTTTTCAAAACTGAAAAGACTAATTTATTCCGTGAAAGGTCATCCTCCCTCTTTTCTCTATAAAAGGGTGAAAATTGCGCCTATAACACTAATTTGCTTAGCGTGCAGAATTTTAGAAACGCCGTTGAAGTCGCATCTCCATTCTCCACCGGCCAAAAAAAAAAAAAAGGCGCAATCCCGCGCAAGCGAGTCCGTTACAGTACACGCTGCCCCACCTATCTCAATAGTCCCTCTTATCCCAAACCACCACGTGTTTCGAACCCCACCCTCTCCAAATCAGAACCGTCGAAACATTCCTTAAGCAAGTTGCCAAGCCCCCTAATTGGCCGATTCCAACAATAAAAAAATAAACCGTTGAAACATGAAGGCAGACTCTCCCTCTTCCTCTCTCTCCCATTTAAAAAGCCATGCCCTTTTCCTAAATTCTCCACTTCAATCTCTGCAATCTGTAATATTCCGTATCCGTGGTTCTCCTCACGTAATCGAAACCTTTTACAAATTCGCTGTAACCGAATTTGCCTTTTCCGATTCTATCCGAGTGGACTCACTTGAGTTCTCCACTTAAATTTCCTATTTATAGGCCAAATCCACAAGAACGAAATCACGCTGCGATCACTGCCTTTAACTCCGGTATTTTTCTTCCTCAATTGCATTGAATTTTCTTTGTCTCTGCTTTTGAATTCGAGCATTGAGAGATAATCGTGAATGCAGGATTTTTGTTTGGATAAGAAATTATCCGATCCAGCGTCGAGTAATTGAAGCTCAGTGAGTTGATATGGTTTACGACAGTAATGTACGTCTCTTGCTTTCGACTATTGTTTTTTTCTTTCTCAGGCTTGGGTTAATCTTTTTTTATTATTATTATTATTAATAAATGCAGGGTTACGATAACAATTACCAGCAGGCTGATCTTGGTATGCTGCTCCTATCATTTCCTTTCAGTAATATTTCTGTTCATTAATTATTTTCAGTGTGGTTATGGTAGTGTTAATTACTTTTGTTCAGGAGCTGTGCTGCGGAGCGGAAGAGAAATCCTTCTTCAGGTAATTTTGGGTAGAAATATTTTTGAGAATGTCGAGAATAGTAGTTATTTGAAATGGGAAGAATATCATGAAACAGTTGGTCATGCCGGACTTAAAAATAAACTGTATAGATGTGATTGAACTTTGCTCAACAGGCTTTTAACTGGGAGTCGCATAAACATGACTGGTGGAGAAATTTAGAAAAGAAAGTTGCTGATATTGCAAATTCTGGGTTCACCTCGGCATGGTTGCCACCGCCTACTAATTCCTTCGCGCCTGAAGGTTAGAGGGATGAAAGTCCTTGTAGTATTTGAGGTTGATGTATTTTTCTGTTTACATGCCTTAGCACGGGGTAATTTTTGTTTTTAATTCCACTCTTTTGTCATTACAGGCTATCTTCCACAGAACCTTTATAACCTCAACTCTTCATATGGTTCTGAGCACCTCTTAAAAGCTTTACTCCAAAAGATGAAGCAGTACAAAGTTAGAGCAATGGCTGACATTGTTATCAATCACCGGGTCGGAACTACCCAAGGGCATGGAGGAATGTACAACCGTTACGATGGAATTCCATTATCGTGGGATGAACGTGCTGTTACATCTTGTACTGGTGGATTGGTAAGTATAGTCTCATGTGCGTGAACAATATGTGTTATTTGGGAGAAGCGTATGTAGGTGATTCTGTAGAGTAGGAAGGATGAACAGGGTAAATATATTTGTGTCATAACACAGTCTGACCATTAGTTTCTTGAAACTAAGATGGGATACAAAGTCCAGGACATGGATTCCTCACCTGTTACTGCTACTTTACAGGGTAGTCGAAGCACTGGTGACAATTTCAATGGAGTTCCAAATATTGATCACACTCAACATTTTGTTCGAAAAGACATAACAGCATGGCTGCAGTGGCTACGTAAAAATGTTGGCTTTCAAGATTTCCGTTTTGATTTTGCTAGAGGGTAAATGTCTTTTTACATTGTAGATGTATTGTTATCATTAATTGGTTTTATTCGTTTATTCATCATTTACATCTGCACAATCTGCAATTCAGCTACTCTCCAAAATATGTGAAAGAATACATTGAAGGAGCGAAGCCAATATTTTCAGTTGGAGAATATTGGGATTCTTGCAACTACAATGGTCATTTTCTCGAGTACAGCCAAGGTATTACTTCTATGTTAAATATACCATGCATCCTTGCTTGTTGGCATACTCTCAGCTGCAAATAAGCTGAAGTTTCATGCATGCATTTGCGACTTGCTGGATCTCCTCCTTTGAGTGCTCTTTTGAAAATGGCTTCTGTAGATTCTTTTTGTTCCATTTTATTTGGGATCTGGATTTGTCACTGTTACTAGGGGAAATGTCCACACCTGTAATTAATAAAGGTTCACTTACATAATATTTAGGGCTCTGGATTAGTCACTGTTGCCATGTCCCACTTTCTCCCTCCTTTCCTTCTTGCTTCTCTTCGTACTTGGGTTTGGTCATCAGTTCTTGATTTCGATTGTACATTTTTTTTTTTTTACATTTTCCTTTCATAAGCATGTCTTTGTTAAATATCTTGAGTTGGACTAAAAAATGCTGCTTTGTTAATCATGGTGTCTATGTACCCATTAGGCTTAACATTTTTCTGTAAATTCAAACTTCAGACAGCCATAGGCAACGGATTATCAATTGGATGGATGCTACAGGCCAGCTCTCAGCTGCATTTGACTTCACAACAAAGGGGATCCTTCAGGTACTCCCAGGGATATCATATTGCAGACAAAATTTTTCCTTTATTTTAGTTGCGACCCCCTTCCATTTGAGATAAATTTAGGCTTAATCATATGTATAATGTTCAATACAAAAAGTGGCATAAGAAGCTATATCCTTCCTTGGTTATGTCACTTTTTTGGTAATATTTATTCCTGATTTTCAATGCAGGAAGCTGTCAAGGGGCAATTCTGGCGTCTGCGTGACCCTCAAGGAAAGCCACCAGGTGTATTGGGATGGTGGCCCTCAAGAGCTGCCACATTCATCGATAACCATGACACAGGCTCAACACAGGTACCCAATATTTTTGTTTATTTTATTTATTATTTATTATTATTGCCGGTTTATCCTTGTTTTTTTTTTTTTCACTTTGCTTCTCCTGGGAGTTCTATGGTCTTACCATCCTGATATATTAAGCCTACGGAACTTAACCTAATTTGAACTAGAACTTGAGTTTCTCCAGCATCAATGAACTGTAAAGGTTATAGTACTGATTAGCATGTGAGATAGGCTGCTGGACTTTTTTTTTATTTTTATTCCTATCCTAATCTGATCTACTACCTTCCTGGAGTAAACTATATTGTCTTCAAATGAAAGTTGATGCATGGTAATACTGTGCAGTATCCGATGTTCTAGTATTTTTTTTTTTTTTCAAAGGGAAGTAATATCTTTTTGATTTTCATTCTTGCAGGCTCATTGGCCTTTCCCTTCAAATCATATTATGGAGGTACATCAACTTATGGTCTATATGCAAATTTGTTGTATGAGTTGAATGGTTTGTTTCCCTCACGGTTTGACTTGATCGATTACCCTGGACAGCTTGCAAAAGACATATCTTGTGCTATGGATCTATTTGTTCAGTTTTTGTTTGTTCTTATTTGCTTAGAGTGTCTTTTAAAGGTTAAGAATTTCATAGAAAGAAGACTTGACAATTTTCAAGTCTTTTATGGCTGGTGTCACTTTCACGTTTCTATTAAATGAAGTTAATATTCTTGTTTTGGGTTGTTTGAGCAACAATTTTGGTCTAACTTTCTTCTCTGGTTTCGAACCAAAGGTCTGAAAATCGAACTTTGGACTGTAATGATTGGTTCTGACTTCTTGTTCCATGGTCTCCTGCAGGGTTATGCTTACATACTTACACATCCAGGGATTCCGACAGTTTTCTATGACCATTTCTATGACTGGGGGAATTCCATTCATGACCAGATTGTGAAACTGGTATGTTAAATTGGAAATTTTCGTCCGTTGAATTCCTCACTTGAGGGAGGTCTTCTCCTTTGTAACTTCCTCCACATCTGCAGATTGACGTCCGGAAGCGTCAAGATATCCACAGCAGATCATCTATCAGGATTTGCGAGGCCCAGCCAAACCTCTATTCTGCAATTATTGGTGGGAAGGTGTGCATGAAGATTGGGGATGGTTCCTGGTGCCCAGATGGTAAGGAATGGACGCTTGCAACCTCTGGCCACCGATATGCTGTGTGGCAAAAATAATCTTCCTCTTCCAACCCCGCCCTAGTTGCCCCGGGTTTTGCTATTTTCTTTCCGAGGGGGATGGGTGCAGAATGTATGAGGTCACTTCTATAGCTACCAGAATAGCATAACTAGTGGACGAATAATGCTCTCAATCTCCAATTTTGCATAGGAAATCATTGTACTCGTAAAAGCCAGTGTCTTGAAGCATATGTCCAATAGCAAAAATGATAACAATAACAATAATAATAATACTAGTAGTAGTAAATCCGCTCCTTTTATTTTCCATTTTGCAGTTTACTTGATAAAATTCAAAGTGCTCTTTACCACCAAAGAGGTATACTTTTTGTTTATGCTTCTTTGTTTATCAAAAGATGTGAGCCTCACCGACAACATATTACCAACCACCAAGCCACACCCACGGCCTTGGGTCAATTAGTGATACCAGCCCACCAGCTGGGCATCCTGGGTTCGAAGTTTCGAACCTTGATGGCAATAAGTTGTACTAGGCCCTATGGACCTTCTCTTGACCACCCAAAAAGGGCAAAAAAGAGGACATAGAGAAGAAGAAACTAATGATTGTGCGAGTTTTATTGTGAGGAAACGGCATGAGATTTTGGAAGAAACACGAACAAATGACAACTTAAAAAGGAAAGAAGACACCGATCATGGCATCGAATTGTCTATGCTTTAGATTAAAATCCAAACACCATTAAAATTTAGAACCAACAAAAGCGTTTTGGACAAAACTGCACAACAAGTATTGACTGGGTGACTAGCAATGAATAATCTTAAAAAGTTAGCCCACGAACGATACGGGAGAAAGGAAAACCTCAAATTAGTTCCTCACGGTACAATGATTCTCAATGTAATTCACAAACAACATTTTATTCCCATTTGGTCCCTAGAGTTTAACTAAATTCTCGATTGAAATCCTCAATTCATATTTGTTATTGGATGTTGTAGGGTTCTTGACCTGAATTAAAAAAACAAAATTGAACAAGTTTAATGTATATATAAAACTCAATAAAGAATCCTTGAATAATTTGAGGATCCGATTAAGATTAAACATTTTTGCCCATACTTAATTGAGATGTGGATTATCGCCTGGAAGCAAATTTGAATTCCCACATCTGGACTTCAAGCACAAGCCAGTCACCAGACAGCAACTAGTGCATGTAAATATGTGTACATAAATAATCAAGAGAAGCTTTGTATGGAGCCATTGAAGCAGCCGAGCAGAAGTAGAATATTTAGAGAATTCACCCATTTAGATTGGTAATTAGTTTGATGTTTGCGCTAAATTGAAGTTGATTAGAATAAAACTATTTCAGTTTAATATTTCATGCTGTAATATTGCAGGTTTACAGAGCAGAATATTTAGAGAATTCACCGATTTAGGTTGGTAATAATGGCTCTCGCTTGCATAGTTGCATGGCGCAGTGTTTAGAGAATTCACCGATGTTGGTGGTATGTTTTTTAGTAGATTTTGAGAGAGTGGTCACATGACAATAGAGCTGGAAAGATGCTCTCGCACCTATCACAATCATACCAATCGTCATCGACCTCATCATTTGTGTTTTGAAACTCAACAAAACACATCTTCCCCACACATAATTTCCCCTTCTCCAAAACAATGAGATGTTTTTTTACAATTTTTTAATTTTTTTTTTGTAAGAACAGACAACTGAGCTTATCTCTCTCTTTCTCTCATGTGATACACACACTGTAGTGAGTGAAAATCTGTCATTCATTGAGAATTGTAAAAAGGAAAAAACCCCATTTCGATCCTCAATCATCAGTGCTCTTCCTTAGCTCTATCCCATGTTCTCCACGCATCTCTCTCTCACGTACAGTGCAATCTTTTCAGTTTTCCAATAAATGGGAGTCAATTTATCAGGTTCTATTAATTAGTTCAGAACTCAGAAGTCACCCTATGACACTTATTTATCAGAAAAGCCCCTTGATCACAATTTTTAGAGACTTTATTCCTCTTAGAAATCACTAGAACGTATTCGATTACCATAGAAGACGAAACGACAGAAATTACATTCAAAGATGACTTTTTTTCCCCCACGCACACACCACAAATAGGAATAACTTATAAATCAGTTGTTCTAGTTTTGAGAAAAGAATTAATTAGTTCTCTTTATTTCGAAAATTAATTATTTATTCTTCATATTTTGATTTTTTGTTTTAAGAAATAAAAAAATATAAAAGAATTGATGAGAAAAATATATATTTATTTAAATAAAATAATATTAAATTAAAGATGATTCAATAATTAGTTTTTGAAATGAAAAAAATAATTAATTCGTTCTAAAAAACAAAGAGGCTAATTTATAGTTTACTCTCAAAATATCAATACAAATAAAATTGTCATAACCTAACCATATACAAACATATAAGTCCTCTACCCGCAAACATTTTTTTTTTTTTTTTGCTCAGGACCCTAAACAAAATTAATGCTTGCATTTGATGTTTTCAATGTAAATTAAAATTAAATATTGGGTTTTAGAAAATCATAATTGCATGAGAGGCACAACGCATGCATAAAAAGTTAAGGATGGACGGTAGAGTCATAATGATTGATGCATGGCCGCAGCATAAATTCCACTCCTTCGCTCGTGAAATAATTAGCAATTAAATAGGTTGACATTGTTGTTTCGCTTTAATTAGAGGAAGAGAATTACAACTCAACTTGCACCAATTACAAGCAAAGCCATTGGTTTCACATGGTAAAGACTTTCTCGTGTCAACCCTTGTCTGCCACTCTTGTATCTAGGATTCGTCTCACATTCTAATTTCAAACTTCATTGTGTTCCAACAAGAAACGATTACCCACCTGTTTTAGATCTACATAGTATTTCATATTCAAAGGTCTAAATTAATTTCTCATTGTTCAATACAATGTATAAAACAGATACAATAAGTTTTTCTGTGTGCACAAAAATTTAAAATCAAAACTGTTTATTTAAATTATTAAAACTCTTTTATTCAATTTCATTCTCATGCGTAAATGATGTTATTTAGTTATGTAAGTTCAAGGACCTAATTGCACTAATTGTGCATAATGATTTAACTCTTTATGATGAAGTTTTTCTCTTTTAAGATTTTTGATTGAGTTAAAGCATGAAAATGTTCATGCATTATAATCATACGATTCATTGTGTCATTCTACTATTATTTTGATTTATTATATTTTTTATTATTATTAAAAAACTTATTATGTCCATAGATCAAGGAGCACAAAAACTATAGTTAGTGTTGGATACATAATATTCAATCGGATTGTCGGATGTCAAAATTTGAAATTTAAAATTATTTTACTTTTAAATAACAAATTATTACATAATTTGATTTTTTTAAAAAATATTTTAACAATTAAAAAATTTAAATTCAAATTTTGATACGTAACAACAACTTGATTGAATGTCATATGTCCAACACTAAAGATGATTGGCGTGTTACTTAACTTGAAGACATAATAAAATAAGAAAATCTAATAAAAAGACGTAGTAAACCAAAATATAATAAATGAAATCGACATAGAACAAAAACACGATCATATTTTAACTCATTTTAATTGTAGTTTTTTTTTTTAATTTAACTAGTGTTAAAGGTAGTTTAGGCATTTAGAATTACTCCATAATTTTTCATGACACGTAGCATTCTAATTTTTAAAAAAAATAGTTTTTTTACTCACGCTACGTTGCGAATCGGATATAATAAATAAAATTATTTTAATTTGATATTTTATATTATATTGTGCATATAATAAAACATATCAAATCAAAACTAAATAAAAATTCATTCAATTTTATAATTTTTTATTAAATTTTTGGATTTGACTCGATTATTTTTTATATTTTTTTTTATAAATTTTCAAAACATTATTTATTTATCTCTATCCACAAACTAAAAAAATTGTAATGGTATAAAAAAATATCAAAATCAATGGATTCTTAGCTAAAAACTTATTTTGTAAATTATTTTTTCTAAATATTTTTTTGCCTTCAAATTTTAATTAAAAAACAAATGAAAAAAGAAAAAGACCTAAGTGATCAAAATGAAAAAAAAATCAAAATGAACAAAAAATATTTATAAACTAAAAAAATAATGTTTTTTTTTTAAAGACTGAAGTGTAATATCATCAAAATTTTTATAATAAATATCTTTAAAATATTTTAAAACTACAAAACTACTACTATACGGTGAAATGAATAATTCATCCGAATCTTGATAAATGATGCAAAGATAAACAGTTTTTTAAATAGTTTAATAAATAATAAATAATCATTTTATTTTATTTTTTGTTTTTGGTTAATCACGGTAGGTGTAAAATCTTGATAAATGATACAAAGATAAACAGTTTTTTAAATAGTTTAATAAATAATAAATAATCATTTTACTTTATTTTTTGTTTTTGGTTAATCACGGTAGGTGTGGACATGCTCATGTCTCGTTATATTTTTGGATTCCGTGCTTCCTAGTTTGCACTTTTGTTAGTTGAAATTGAAGGTTTATCAGATCTTATAAGGTTAAAGACTTATAGCCGTACATTGTGTTAGCTTTCACCTTTCCTGTGTTTTAAACCTTCATTGACTCATCACAGAATTTGAAAACAAGCACCCCAAAATGCAAATTTTTACTTTAATCACTAAGTTGTGGGTTGAAAACCCTTTTCAGACTAAGAAAAAAAAGGCAAAAACCCTTCCCCTTATAAATCAAGACCTTTTCTTCTAGTCACAAGTCAACAGCCAACAGAAGCCGTTGTAGTTAACAGTAAAAAAATTATGATGGATATCTAAAATAAACAAATCAGATGAATAGCTTAGTGGATGTGAAAAACTTGGATTACGAGACAGAAATGGAAATGCCAAATGATATTAAGTTAAAAAATGATAGTGTTCCTGCCCGTCTGACCAGCACCAATAGGCATGATTGGCATTTTCTTTTGCGTAAAGTGGGAAATCCAGTGTGTTGGTGATGAACTTTTTTGAAGCTTTAGTTACCTGAGA